CTATGCCCAAGATTACCATCCGAGTTGCCGTCGGGGAAGTGGCTCATATAGCCTCGGCTATCACTTCCTTTTGACGGCCGTGATGGTCAAGCGGATTAAGGCGCCCTGTAGTTACCAGTTGCGTTGCTTCTGGGAGTATGGGTTCGAGTCACTTCTGGGGTGTGAGTTTTCATTCGCATATAGTCCTGGGGACCATTCAGGCTTGTTCGCATTTGTGTTCCTCACGTGTGCCCCAAAGAATGAGGTGATTTGGTGAAATGCTATGCCCAAGATTACCATCCGAGTTGCCGTCGGGGAAGTGGCTCATATAGCCTCGGCTATCACTTCCTTTTGACGGCCGTGATGGTCAAGCGGATTAAGGCGCCCTGTAGTTACCAGTTGCGTTGCTTCTGGGAGTATGGGTTCGAGTCACTTCTGGGGTGTGAGTTTTCATTCGCATATAGTCCTGGGGACCATTCAGGCTTGTTCGCATTTGTGTTCCTCACGTGTGCCCCAAAGAATGAGGTGATTTGGTGAAATGCTATGCCCAAGATTACCATCCGAGTTGCCGTCGGGGAAGTGGCTCATATAGCCTCGGCTATCACTTCCTTTTGACGGCCGTGATGGTCAAGCGGATTAAGGCGCCCTGTAGTTACCAGTTGCGTTGCTTCTGGGAGTATGGGTTCGAGTCACTTCTGGGGTGTGAGTTTTCATTCGCATATAGTCCTGGGGACCATTCAGGCTTGTTCGCATTTGTGTTCCTCACGTGTGCCCAAAGAATGAGGTGATTTGCTGAAATGCTATGCCCAAGATTACCATCCGAGTTGCCGTCGGGAAGTGGCTCATATAGCCTCGGCTATCACTTCCTTTTGACGGCCGTGATGGTCAAGCGGATTAAGGCGCCCTGTAGTTACCAGTTGCGTTGCTTCTGGGAGTATGGGTTCGAGTCACTTCTGGGGTGTGAGTTTTCATTCGCATATAGTCCTGGGGACCATTCAGGCTTGTTCGCATTTGTGTTCCTCACGTGTGCCCCAAAGAATGAGGTGATTTGGTGAAATGCTATGCCCAAGATTACCATCCGAGTTGCCGTCGGGGAAGTGGCTCATATAGCCTCGGCTATCACTTCCTTTTGACGGCCGTGATGGTCAAGCGGATTAAGGCGCCCTGTAGTTACCAGTTGCGTTGCTTCTGGGAGTATGGGTTCGAGTCACTTCTGGGGTGTGAGTTTTCATTCGCATATAGTCCTGGGGACCATTCAGGCTTGTTCGCATTTGTGTTCCTCACGTGTGCCCCAAAGAATGAGGTGATTTGGTGAAATGCTATGCCCAAGATTACCATCCGAGTTGCCGTCGGGGAAGTGGCTCATATAGCCTCGGCTATCACTTCCTTTTATATATATATATATATATATATATATATATATATATATATATATATATATATATATATATATATATATATATATATATATATATATATATATATATATATATATATATATATATATATATATATATATATATATATATATATATATATATATATATATATATATATATATATATATATATATATATATATATATATATATATATATATATATATATATATATATATATATATATATATATATATATATATATATATTATATATATATATATATATATATATATATATATATATATATATATATATATATATATATATATATATATATATATATATATATATATATATATATATATATATATATATATATATATATATATATATATATATATATATATATATATATATATATATATATATATATATATATATATATATATATATATATATATATATATATATATATATATATATATATATATGTCCATGATTCAGTGCTTGGCTCTTATGAAAATTATAAAGTTATTATTTAGATAAATTTAATTTATTTTTGTATTGATGCAGGTGATTGAGATGAGGATATTAGATGAATTTATAGCTAGTTTTTTATCTACACTTTCTTTGTAATCTTTCAAATAGAATAGCGCAGCAGCACATTGCTATGTATACCTAAGCTTGTTAATAAAAAATATTAATTATTATTATTATTATTATTATTTTTAACAATATACTTGCTGAAGGCTCGAGAAAGAGGAGTATTTTATCAATCAGATATTTTCAAAGAGAATAGTCACCCTCTCAATACGTGTGCTCGTTTTCTGTATTTATTGTAAAGTAAGTTATAACAGAAAACGAAATTTGTTTTTTGAAATAACATACACGCAAATAAAATTTAGTTACATTGCCCAATAATTTCCAATATACGAAACTTGAAAGGAACAGCCTATATCAGAGCGCATCGGGGTTATATGTAAAAAATGGGCTGGCTTCAGTAAGGGCTTCCCGTCATCTTGTGAATTCAGTGGAATCCAAGGTTGTATAAATTATACCAAGTTGTACTCACTTAGCTGTGTTTACGGGGGTTGAGCTTTGGCTCTTTGATCCCGCCTCTCAGCGGTCAGTCAACTGGTGAACAGATTCTTGAGCCTACTGGGCTCTATCAAATCTACATTTGAAACTGTTTATGGAGTCAGCCTCCACCACATCACTGCCTAATGCATTCCATCTGCTAACTACTCTGACACTGAAAAAATTCTTTCTAACATCTCTGTGGCTCATCTGAGTACTAAGTTTCCACCTGTGTCCCCTTGTTCGTGTTCCACCCGTGCACAATAGTTTGTCTTAGTTCACCCTGTCAATTCCTTTGAAAATTTTGTAGGTGGTAATCATGTCTCCTCTTACTCTTCTGTCTTCCAGGGATGTGAGGTTTAGCTCCCGTAGCCTTTCCTCGTAGCTCACACCTCTCAGTTCTGGGACTAGTCTGGTGGCATACTTCTGAATCTTCTTTAACTTTGTCTTGTGTTTAACTAGGTATAGACTCCAGGCTGGAACTACATACTTCAGGATTGGTCTGACATAAGTGTTATACAACGTCCTGAACGATTCCTTACACAAATCTCTAAAGGCCAATCCAGCATATGCCGCTGATTATACTCTTTTGATGTGGGCTTCTGGGGACAGATTCGGTGTGGTATCAACCCCCAGATCTTTCTCTCTATTTGACTCTTGCAGGATTTCACCTCCCAGATGGAACCTTGTGTTCGGCCTCCTGTTCCCGTCATATAATTTCATTACTTTGCACTTTCCTGATTGTAAAGTAATGAAATTACTTTAGTATCTTTATCTTTTTAGTATCTTTTAGTATACTTTAACCATTTTCTAGACCATTCCTTCAGTTTGTCCAGGTCGTCCTGTAGTCTCTGTCAATCTTTATGTCTTGGTTCTTCTCATAATTTTTGCATCAACAGCAAACATTGAGAGAAATGTGTCTTTACCCTCTGGAAGATCGTTTATATATATATCAGAAACCGGATAGGTCCAAGTACAGAGCCCTGTGGGACTCCGCTGGTGACATCTCGCCACTTTGATATCTCTCCCCCCCCCTCACAGTTGCTTGCTGTTTCCTGTTGCTTAGATACTCCTTAATCCACTGGAAGGAACACCTTACCTTTTTCTGCCGCCTGTTTCTCCAACTTTTGTAACAGCCTCTTTTGGGGTACTGCGTCAAAGGCTTTCTGACAGCCTAAGAAAATTCAGTCTGCCCACCCATCTCTCTCTTGCCTAATTTTTGTGGCTTTGTCATAGAATTCTGTTAAACCTGTGAGGCATGATTTACCATCCCTGAACCCATCCCTGGAAACAGAAACCGTAACTGTCTCTATTTTCCGTTTGTTACAATTTGTAATAAAGTTGTTACATCTTGGCTTAACCTGTTTATGGCGTATTAGAACGTTGTTACAACTTGCTATATTGGTTTTTATAACTGGTTAGGAGGTGTTAAAACTTGTTCGAACGTTGTACCAACGTTATAGTTTCGGTGTGTGTTTGGTGGGATGTTGGTGGTGTGTTACAAAGCTATTTCCATTCAGATGTTCTACGAGCCTTTTCTTCACGATCTTCTCCATCACCTTGCATGGTATACAAGTTAGGGAAACTGGCCTGTCACCCTTTTTGTATATTGGGGCTACATTAGCTGTCGTTCAGCTTTCCGGTAGGTCTCCTGTTTTCAGTGACCTGTTATACATCATAGGGAGTGGCACACTCTCCACTAACACTATGGAGTGGTAGACTTATCTCTGGACCATATCCTGATCTCCACATTGTTCCAATTGATTTTCTCATTAATATGTGTAGTATAAAATTCCCATATCATTTGAGTTTAGAAATCACTTTTTGCCAAACGTAGATACTGCCTGTAAAGTGTGCATTATATTGCATTCACTAGATAACGTAAACTTGAGGAATATAATAAATAAATAAAATATGATAAATACTAGATGTCAATCCTTTGAGTGTTTACTTGAGATAGTTTAGCTAGTCCCAGCTGTGTCTGGGACAAGATGAACAACACATGATGCTGTGGCTGTATGCTCGCTGACAGGACGAATGAGGCTGCACAATAAAGCATTTACCTGCCCGAAACGCTGTGCGTACTAGTGGCTTTACAAGAATGTAAATACTGTACTCTCCAATGTATTCTCACAAACCCAATGTACCTTCTTGTATATATATAAATAAATAAATAAATAAAATAAATAAATAAATGTGGCAAGAGTTGAAATTGAAATTGAAATTGAAATAAGTTTATTGATGTAAAATACACACAAAGGGATGAGGTAGCTCAAGCTATTCTCACCCCGTTCAGTACATGGTGTTAATACATACATATACACACATCACAAGCAATAAACATATTACCAAACATTCTGAGAGATAAACATATACATTTCCTCCTTCACAAGTAGTATGGTATCAGACGTACACACAAATACTTTTATGACCTAGGTATACTGTATAGACAATTTGCAAGAGACATGCAGTTAATTCAACAAAAAATTACAGTCTTGGTGAGAGCCAGGAGTGTACGTGAGGCTGGTGCCCGGGGCGGGGCCGCGGGGGGGCGCCTCCCTTGTGCACAGCTCGGGCCGGCCATGATGATTGAGTCAGACGTCTCCGAGCCTCCGTTCACTACGGAGTGTTGTGGGGAGCTGCTGTCAAGGCGGACTTTTCCTTGGGCACGTAGTCAACACAAACTCCTTGCAGACGTCACTGTCAGCTGAGAATATAAGAGGTAAGATATACGCACCGCTTAATCGAGTAAAATGGGAAAGGAGATATGTATGTATACACTTCGCTTCTCGTTGTTTATTCTCAGTTCACTGTAGCTCTGAAGTTCAGGACTAAAATATACTTGCTGGTTGGTCAGTAAGTTAATATGGCAGTCATAAGGCCTCTTGATAGGGCTTATAAGTCAAACTCCGCAACCAGGAAAAAGGAAGCCTCTTACTGTAAAATTTAAGTTTTTTTCGGAAATGTTTTGAGTTTCTACCCGAAATTTGACCTCGACTTCTGTGTTAGCTTAAGCCATTATACCAGAAACAATGTGTGTGCATCCACTAACTTTGAGCCGTTTAATAAAATTACACAAATACAAAATAGCCTATTGTACATTCCTGAGCCAGGCCCGGCCAGGCAAGAATTAAAAAAAAAACCGGTCGCATCTGGAGCTACATCCCGATGTTAACATAGGTACCTAGGTACGGAAAGTGATGTACTGTTCCGTTTTCCGTTGTGGGTCCTCTGGTAGGTTAGGAGAGGACATTTTAATTGATTAATGCCGCCGAAGGCGGCTTGTTTATTGTGCACCCCATACTCATCCTGTGAGCGGTAGCGCAAAAGCATTACAGAGGGCACAAAAGGTCTTTATCAAACCTCATCTTAGATTATTACATAAACAATTTCTTCTATCCTTCACACCTTATAGTTACAATGTCAGCTAGTTACAGAGAAAGTGCTATTACAAGAGCTACATATTTACAGTAAGTCATCATACATTAATGGTAGGTCTTATCGCTAATACATAATAGTTTGGCCAATGGGGATATTACAGAGTCATAGGGGAGCTTCTGTTTATTATTAGTCCTCACAATACATTACTTGTTTCTGAATCTCATATGTCGTTCATCTACTGGAAGCGAAATGTGGGTACAGTGCAAGGATTTCAGGTAATTTATCCTTGGTAATAAGATAGGTTGCCATATCATACAGAGTGAGCTTAGATTTATCTCTAAAAGGCTCAATTTTACAACAATCCAAGATATAGTGTTTGAGTGTGTGTCCCTGCCTATGTCCACACACTTTACACTTTACTTCATCTAGATCCCTATACAAACTGAACTGCCAGAGATACTTGTAGCCAAGTCTTATACGAGCTGTGACAACATCTGTTAGTCTACTGACTTTGTTACTTGCCCCATACACATGTTTTACTTCACACATTTCATTGTGATGAACAATGGACCTGCTAGTTCCAGTTTGCACTGCTCTACTTTCCTCAAATCCATCCAGGAGTTCTCGTCTAATGACACTTTTAAGGGACCTATCTGATAACTCAAGATTCCGTTCAATACTGTCTTTATTTACTGCAGCCTTAGCAAGGGCGTCAACTTTGTCATGTTCCTGCATGCCAATGTGAGAAGGAATCTACAACATTTTTATATTTACCCTCTTGCTAAGTATTCTTATATATCTACGTCTAGCTTCCAAGACAAGCACGTTATTACTTGATTGCAAACTGTTTATTGATCGTAGTGAGGAAAGGGAGTCAGAAATAATTAAGCTGTCTACTTCAGTGTTGTCAATAATTTCGAGTGCTACCAGTATCGCTACCAACTCGGCTTGCATTGTGGACGCCCAGTTACTAATTCAGATATTTCTTTGAATTGTGCTGCCATCGGGCTGATGAGCAATAACAGCACTTCCTGCCCTCCCTGTAGCTGTATTGAGTGATCCGTCAGTGTACATGGTCTGTGCAATGTTGTTTTCAGCTAGTATATTGTGAATGTGTTTTATGGTGCTTAATTTAGCAGCAAGCTGAGCATGAGGGTTGCTTGTGATTAGTTTCTTGGTGGGGTAAGCAGGGGTCAGGATGGCAAAAGGTACTATCTGCCAGGGTGAAAGGAAGTGCTGTACTCTTTCATCTGTATATACATCGTGCAGTCCCATCATTTTAATATGAGTGGCAGTCCATTTAGACTCGCTAATTCCATTACGTATGTGTTCTAACAGTGCAACTGACACAATGTTGTTTTTGTTATCACGCAGCAGCTTTAGTCCCATCATAAGATTAATTTCAAATATTCTATCTCTAATGCTAAGTATATTTAATTCTTTCCGCATGTTGAGAACTTAGGTAGTTATAGGACAACCAAGTATAATTCTGAGTGCTTCATTTTCATTTTTTCCAGTCTATCAATACTTTTGCCATTCTGCAGGACCAAAGCTGGTGCATGATAGTCTATCAGAGACCTTATATACGCTAAATACATCATTCTTGCTATTCTAATATTAACACCATATTTCGGGCTGTACCCCACTACAGTTCTGAGAGCCTTGAGTCTGTCTCTACATTGTTGATGTAACTTATTGACTGCAGTTGAGGTACAAGGAACAGAGACACCAAGATATTTGAAAGAAGAGACATAGTCTATTGGTATGTTGTCTATCTTAAGTTTTCGTGGTCCACTTTTGCGGTTGCCAATTTGTCTGTTAAATACCTTAGTTTTAGCAGCGTTGATTACAAGACCAAGGCTCTCACAAGCTGTATGTATACAATTTAAGACTGTGCATTTCGCGGTGGGTTTTAGTATGCACAAGGATGTCATCTACATAGCTGATAGTGATGTTTGCCGGACTAGTTGGGATTGATTTTAGAACATTAAACAAGGTAGGACTAAGTACTCCTCCTTGTGGGGTGCCTAGTTGCATTACTTTAGTTTCACTCTTGTAGCCTTGGAACAGTGCAGAGGACTTCCGGTTGGTAAGATAGCCTCGTACCCATTGTAATAAATGTCCCCCTATATCCATTCTCGCTAATTCATACATAATCACTTCCCTATTAGCAATATCAAAGGCATTTTTTAAATCAAGAAATGTTGTGTACTTGTGCCTTTTATCTCCATGAACAGTAAGAAAGGTTGTGATACAGTTGTGTACACTTTTACCATGTGTGAAACCATTGATATCAGGTGACATGTGCTCTTTAACTCTATACAATAATCTATTAAGCACCATTCTCTCAAAGGTTTTGCACATGCAACTGGTCAGTGAGATGGGAGGGAAAGCATCAGGTTGGCCAGGCTTTGGTACAGGTACTGTAAGACTGGTGGTCCATGATACTGGCAACTGCCCAGTGACATAACTGGCATTAAACAATTCTAATAATGGGTTACTGGGTACACAATGTAGGAGTCTTAGAATATCATAGGCACTTTAAATTGACTTTTCCTGATGTTGAGAAACCTTAGGCGGGCGGGCTGAATGATAAGCCTTATCATCAGAGGACACAGGAGTCGAGGATGTTCTTATAAGAGATGCCAGATATTGCAGTGTGGATGAAACGTTTTGGGTTGCCTCGCCCATGGTGCAACTCACATCCGTCATCTCTCCTCCCGTCCTCCCTACCTCACCGCACCCCACGGGGAGCCTGCTACAACAGTGCCAGCTTACAGTGTGTGGCACTATGTACAACAGGGCAAGCTTTATTATTTGTTAACCCATAAACAATCCCGGGTTCGTGGTAATAAACAATTAGTGATAAAGCTGATTGTATGACTTGAAGCAGCCAGGCCGAGAGCGACCAAGCCTGGGTTGTACATTATATCTTTATGAATCGATGACTCAAATAATGGTAGCATCTCCCTTGCCTTTCTGACTGGCCCTCTCCCATCATATGACCGAGGTTTTCAGGGAAGAACTTGGCCGCGGTAACTCCTTAGGTTCTTGGTAGTGAACTACCTCACTACTCTGTAATTTCATCCAAAATGTCATCGACTCCGCCGAACTAACTCAAAACACCGTAATGTTTTCTCATCCTACTGTCTATGTCAACCTCATGTCATACGTTGGCTGTCATGCGATAACTCGACTCCTGTTGGTGACACCCAAACTGACTTGTGACCAAACACGAATTGACAATCGTGCAGCCTCGTGCACTCGTATCGCAGTTTGTGTGCTCACTTACCACCTCATCTAGTGTGTGCACAAACAGGCGAGTTGGTGCTCATTCCATTCTCTCAAGTGGTGTCAGTTGATGAGTATGGCAGCATGGGATGAGGAATGGTGCAAGTGATGAACATGTTTCTTTGCAGGCTGCAAAGGCAGAATTTTAACAAATAATTTATTTGTATTTTACAGTTCTGAAATTTTAAAAGAATAATTAACTTAAATTTCTTCTCTTCTGTAAGAAATTAAAATTAATTTTGGTTTACAAGAGTAAAACTCTGTAGAAATATAACAATCTACAAATAACTACATTATTTAATTCCTCTTTGCTAGTATAATCAAATATAATGTTCATTACAAAATCTGTATATTTGTCTATATATAACATTATGTATTTCAGCCCTCCATGTCTGACTGTCAACAAGACCACCTCGTCACTGTGTCGGTGTGTCAGGACTGTCAGCAAGGACGTCACTGTTTCACTGGTCTGTCAGGACTCTCAGCAAGGACGTCACTGTTTCACTGGTCTGTCAGGACTCTCAGCAGGGCCACAATGAGATGTCTTATTAGTGTCAGCAATTTTGTTTAACTTGTTTATTATTAAACAATTTTATATATTTTAAGAGAAAAATTATCTATAACGAATATTGATATAATTACCTTCCACAATATAGTTGGTGCTGCCAGACAACGCGGCTCAAAGACAAGATGAATCCTTTAAATCAAAATATTCTCACCCTCGCTGCTCTTGGGCGACCATTCAGCCTTGGGATGCTGTACGACTGTAGGACTGATAACGTAATCCCTGGTATAACTCTCTGGGACCAAGCAAAACTCAAAGAAAAAGCCGTGCAAGAAAATCATACCTCAGACTTCAAATTTATTGCTTCTGATTCTCTGGAAGACAAAGCTTTAGCTCTTGATGTCAGTGCAAGTCTGAAGCTGAGCTTCCTCGGAGGTATGATAAAACTGTCTGGATCTGGTAAATACCTTGAGGAAAGGAAATCTTCCATGCACCAGGAAAGAGTCACTCTGCAGTACAAGTGCACCACCAAGTCTGAGCAGTTGACAATGGAGCAGCTGGGTCAGGGTCAGGTGCAGCATCCATACGTGTTTGATCATGGAACTGCCACTCACGTCGTCACTGGAATAGAATACGGAGGACACGCTTTCTTTGTCTTTGACAGACAGAGTTCCTCCTCCTCATATAACAAGGAGGTTCATGGAGATCTTAAGGCTATGATAGAAAAAATACCCTCTTTGCAGATCGATGGAGCAGGGCAAATTGATATAACTGAAAATGAGAGGAAGAAAGTAGAAAATTTTAGTTGTAGAATTGTTGGAGATTTTCGGTTACGAGAAAACCCTAGCTCCTTTGAAGATGCAGTTCGGATCTATAAAAATATACCGACTCTCTTAGGAGAGCATGGACAAAATGCTGTTCCAGTCAAAGTTTCATTATATCCTCTCGCTCTTCTGGACAGTAAAGCGAGTAAATTAGTTCGTGAAATTAGTATAAATTTGACGAGGGGAACCGAACGAATAATTGAAGATCTTCATGAGTTAGATATGAGGTGCAATGATTTACGTAATTCTTCTGCTGCAGAAAAATTCCATGCCATCAAATCGGAAATATCTGACTTTCAATCAGAAATCGATACTTACAAGCGTGGATTACAAGGACAACTGTCAGTGCTGCTCCCCAGCATCAGAGGGGGCGGTGAAGAGGAATACCACCTGGCAGAGCTTCTCAAGAAGAAAGAGGCGTCTCCATTCAGTTGTCATAAACTGAACGCTTGGGTTCAAGACAAAGAAAAGCTTGTTAAAGTTCTCGGTGAATATACGAAAGCTCTCTCGGAGATTAAGTTTGCTTCACAACCTGGGGATTTAGAGTCAATGATTATGAGTCCAGAGAATGACTGCATTCTTTGTTTTAACATTCTTCGGCCACACAGCAGTTCTCATCTTTCTGAAATGAAAAAATATAATGGACAAGAATTTGACCATGAGAGTGACCATACAGGTGTTGAAGAGCATCTTAACAGCCTCCCAGGGAAAGATGATGAGGGGGATCAAATCTCCCCGATGGAGTCAACCATACTCTTCAGAAACTTCTTTATCTCCAACAAAGAGCGAACAGGAACCGCCTTTGTAGTGGCACTGAATTTGTCTGACACATCGGAATATAAGGCTTTTATACAATGCTACACAAAAGGAGAACTCATAAATAGGAATTATATACTTCCCTCTGCCCCAAGAATGCTTCAAGCTGACAGTGAAGGAATTACTCATAACAGCATAACCATTAACTGGACAGTTCCAAAATATGGAGCATCTAATATCCAAAAATATGAAATACTTTGTCAAGAAGACAATACTGACCAACCTAGGAAATATACGACAGATCCTAACACACTCAACCTCACTATTCCAAACCTTAATGCAAACTGTGTTCACCGGGTGTGTGTCTGGAGCTGGTGTGAGGCAGGACCTGGTCCCAGTCACACAGACCTAGCAGTGTCCACCAGGCCGACCAGCCCTCCAGGGAAGCCTCAGGTATGGCAAACGTCACCGACAACTGTAGAATTACAGTGGACTCAACCAGAATGTGTTGGTGCAGGATGCAGCATACAAAATTACATAATCAAACAGCTCCAGGAAAGTTCAAACACATGGGATACAATAGCAAGCACGAAGTCAGATGAACTTGCCTATTCAGCAAAAGTAGCAGAAAACGCTATCCTGACGTTCAAGGTTGCTGCTTGTTGTGGTGCTGCAGGATGCAGTGTGGACAGTGATCCCAATGATCACGTTTCAAAGAAAACTGATGACAAGATTATTGGAGCTGATAACAAGAGTTTAGAACATGAAAGCAGAAAAAAGCTGAAAGAAAAATTGTGTGGTGTATCAAAACTTGTGCATATGGGTGACCCTTGCATTTACTTGCTTGAACCAAAATTAGTTATTTCTAAAGATCAAGACTTGATAAGAAAGTATGAACTTGGCAAACCAAAATATGATACTGATGAAAAAGTTATCTTACTTGTCGGAGCAACTGGCTCAGGCAAGACAACTTTGATCAATGGCCTCATCAACTACATCTTTGGTGTTAACTGGAAGGATGCTTTCCGCTTCAGATTAATATCTGAAGTGACTGACAGCAACCAAGCCAAGAGCCAGACTAAGCACATCACCTCCTACACCATTCACCATCAAGAAGGCTTCAACTTTCCCCACACGCTGACCATCATTGACACTCCAGGGTTTGGCGACACCTCTGGAGTGATGCGAGACAGGGAGATCACCAGTCAAATCCACAAGTTCTTTACCACTCAAGGTACCGAAGGCATTGACCATATTGACGCAGTAGGCTTTGTAGCCCAGTCCTCACTCCCGCGGCTGACTCCAACACAGACTTATATTTTTGACCAAATCCTCTCCTTGTTTGGTAAGGACATTGCCGACAGCATCTTTTTACTGCTAACTTTTGCTGACGGGCAACCACCACAAGTTCTCAGTGGAATAAAAGAATCTGGTATACCATACCGTAAACATTTCAAGTTTAACAACTCTGCTTTATATGCCAACAACATTCAACATAATGGCAACACTGCTCATGAAGTTGACAGTGATGAAGAAGGTAATTTTGATGAAATGTTCTGGCAGATGGGAGCCAAGAGCTTCGGTATTTTTCTCAATCAGTTAAATATAGTGAAGAGAAAAAGTCTCGTACTAACTCAAAATGTCCTTAATGAACGTGCTCAACTACAAATTTACATCTCAGGGATACAGCTAGAAATCCAGAAAGGCCTCAGCACTCTAGAAACATTAAAAAAAGAAGCAGAAATAGCGAAGACTCACCAAGCTGACATAGATAAAAACAAAAACTTTACTTATACAGTGGATGAGGAAGAATATAAACCGGTTCAAATTCCACCTGGCACATATATAACTAATTGCCAACAGTGTAACCGTACATGTCATGAAATTTGCATGATTGTTGATGATGACAAGAAATATAATTGCTTGGCAATAACTAATGATCACTGTACCGTTTGTCCTCATAAGTGTCACTGGACAGTGCACAAGAATTTTCCTTTCAAGTATGTTCTTCATGTCGTGAAGAAGACAAAGACTGCAAATGAATTACGTGAGCGCTATGAAAAAGCTAAACAGAAGAAACTCTCTGCCGAAAATCTTATTTTAGAAATTCATGATGAATTTAAGGCGGTACAGCTGAGAGTTTTGGGAATGACCGAGTCTGTGAGGAAGTCTCTAGAGCGCTTGCAGGAAATAGCTCTCAAGCCAAACCCTCTGTCAACATTGGAATACATTGACATCCTGATTGATTCTGAGACATCACAGGCACATCCAGGCTGGAAGGCGAGGGTTGAGCAGCTGAGAATGGTCAGAAAAGAAGCAGAATACATGAAGAGGATTGCTGATCAAGGATTTGACCCGTTTGAGGAATATATAAAAAAGATAAACATAGAAAAGATCTCAAACCCAAAGGGTATATGGGCAGCTGCAGGACAATACATACGTAACATCTTCAAGTGATATATTATTATGTTGAAATCTTCTCAAAGAACATGCAAAGGACATATTTTATTCTGTAAAATTGTGTTGGTGCCCTGATTCATCGGTGTTCCCAGCTGTCAGTGCCCACCTATTGATGCCTTTGGTGCTTCTAGCTCTCAATGCGCAGTTGGTGATGTCCCAACCATCAGTGCATCCAGCTATCCATACCCAGCCGTAGGTGTTCTGCAGTCATTGCTGTTCCTTATAAATCTGGATCCTAGTCATCAATGCCCCCATCTATTCGTGCCCCAAACGGTTGGTGCCATCAGCAGTAAGTGCCCAAACCATCACTGCCCCAACTATTGGAGCTTCTAGCCGTCAGTATCCAAACATTTGCTCCGTTGTCTGTTCTTTGGGATGATTTGTTTAATATAATTATATTTAAAAGAAAATATATATTGCAAATTTTGATTTGTAATTCATACATACAATGCCAGAAACAAGCATAGTTTTCAGGCATCATAAATTGTTTAATGTTAACAATTTTAAGCTTAGTGGTAGTATAAGTTACAATTTTCTGGGTACGGATGGAAGTGCTCACCATCACACAGCCTCACTCCTCTACTACACAACCCATCACCGCCAGGAATCCTTCGTTGGTAGGTCAGTCATGCAAAATATAAGTGATCTGTGTGTGTGGAACTTGTAATACATATGTATCTTTGGAAAAACAATATTATGATAGGATATTAAAGGAACGTTAGTAAGTAAATAGAAATTGCTAAGCATTAAAACTTAGAGAGACCCATGGTTGCTCGAGGCAAGGTACTTTATTTCATAATGTAATTTGTAACTTAAATAGGCAGTTTAGAAATTATAGTTCACCAAGGTTACAATTTTGTCAGTTTAGAAATTATAGGCCTACATATTAAATAAATCATAGCAAATCAAATTTAGAAGCCTAAGTCCTATTTTTTGTGTTGCCTTCCAATCTCCGGCCATCATGGAATGTTTTAAAATAAAAAATAAAGAAGCAAAACATCTTACCTATCCTAACCAAGGCAAATACATGCATTGAACACAGATAAACTGTGTTATATCTAAATGTTGCAATGATTAACTAATCATTTCCTTTCTTGAAAAATGCTGTTAAGCTTTTAATAGGCTTCTATGAACACATTGTTTTACAGAACGTTTGCAAAAGTATGTATTAGATTAGATAACAGTACTGATTTTTGTAATATGATTCAACACTGAGTAATTTAATAAAAATTCATTAATTACTGTCTACTTTTTGTATAAACATTATACCATTTCCTTAATATCATTAAGTACATAAGTGAATATGCAAAGATAATACAAGAGTATGAAAATCTATTCTATATCTATGCAAGATTTAGGTTTGTCTGTCCAAGGTCCAACTGTCCAGACAGTTGAGGTTTCTCTCACCAAACTTTGCAGGATGACTGACAGGTGGTAGGGGACTGTCACATGTGAGTCGAGGTCGGCTCCATTGCAACCCTTTAAGGGGGACCAGCTTTCATTGCGATCTCTGTGAAGACCGAATTTGTGTTTTTTGTCCAATGTGCTTTCCAGCTGTTCATAATATTGACATGTAAAATGCACGTTTAAAGGCGGATTCGCCGCCTGAAGATGTCCCTCGTATACCATTTGCAGGAACCTCGTCCCACTTTCTTGCTGAATAAAATGATATGCCACTGCCAGATGCAAGATGAAAACAAATAACTTGTGTTACTCCCCATTTGCCAAGACCACGTAATAATAATTCACTGCATCGGGGGAGAGGCAGTCTTCTGTTTCATCTCCCTTATTTGCCCCATTTTTTCCCTCTCTTCCCATCTCCTTACCCATCCCCGCTCTCGCCTCTAACCTCGAACAGATAGACATTTCAATTTATATATAAAGTAAATAATGAAAAATGTGCAGGTAAACGGCGGGAGTAACTTGCACACTGGACAACACATCTTTGATTTCATTTCCAACCAAGAAAATTACACGGGGGTTAGGGTTACAGGCTCTAATTTTTAAAGCATTTAACTTAGGCGTACCTAGACCAGCCTATGACCGTCCCGTTATCTTGAGGTGATTTCGGGGCTGAGTCCCCGGGGCCCGGTCCTCGACCAGGCCTCCTTTTTGTTACACACCCCCAGGAAGCAGCCCGTAGCAGCTGTCTAACACTCAAGTACCTATTTACTACTAGGGACATCATGGTGAAAGTTTGTTTCCATTTGTTTCCGCCTCTACCGGGGATCGAACCCGGAACCTCAGGACTACGAATCCCAAGCGCTGTCCACTCAGCTGTCAGGCGCCTACGTGCCCAAGACCATTTCCCCTGCAAATCTGGGTGAGGCTAACCTCAGGCGTCTGGCCTTCAACTTTGGACAGACAGATAAACAGATAGACAATCAGACACTCACCAGGCAAGTGTCGTGATACATGTGCACCAGGCAAGTGTCATGATACATGTGCACCAGGCAAGTGTCATGATACATGTGTACCAGGCAAATGTCGTGATACATGTGTACCAGGCAAGTGTCATGATACATGTGCACCAGGCAAGTGTCATGATACATGTGCACCAGGCAAGTGTCATGATACATGTGCACCAGGCAAGTGTCATGATACATGTGTACCAGGCAAGTGTCATGATACACACTTACCAGACAGTTCCAACATAACGTCATCAAATTCCTTGCCTTTCCCACTATATATTTGGAGGCGTTGTGCGTGGCAGTGAGTGCGCTCAGGGCGGACACAAAACGTTTAGCTGGACGGCTTCTGGGAACTGTTTATTCTGCTTGTGAAGCATGGCACCGGTGGCGGCTTGTTGCACCACGCCAGCGCTCTGGTGACCTTGAAGCATGGCGCTTGTGACGGCTTGTTGCTACCCGCCAGCGCTGTGCTGACGTACACTCTTGTAGCCTCTCCATATGCCACAGCTTGGCAAATAAATAATATAATTATAATTTTATATTAATTTAATGGTATCAAAAACATTGAAGACAGAGGATGTGGCACAGAGAGGAACACGCTATGAGGATAAACTGAAAAAAAGTGTACTACACAACTTTGGAGACAAGAAATAGAAGAGATATGATCACAGCACACAAAATACTGAGTGGGGGAATAGGCAGGGCGGCATTGTGGAAATAGGCATTTTTAAATTTTGCTAGAAATTACCTACTTAAAATAATCTGTTAGAATAAGGACCTGCCCGAAACGCTATGCGTGCTAGTGGCTTTACAAAAATGTAAAAACTTCAATGCTATGTACTCTTATAAACCCAATGTACCTTCTTGTATATATAAAAATAAATAAATAAATAAGGTGGACAAGGGCAGCTTCTTTAAATTGAAATAAAGTAGGACAAGAGGACACAAGTGGAATATGGAAACACAATTGAGGCGAAGAAATGTAAGGGAATACTCGTACCCTGTATGGCTGGCCAACAAGTGGAATGCACTAAAAGAAGAAGTTGTGAAAGCCACCTCCATCCCCAACTTTAAGGACAGATTTGACACGATTTTGAACGTGGAATAATTAAGCTTTAACGCAACAGGTACAACAATTAGGCGGGGCATAAAGAGCTAGATTTTTTATTATTTTCTACCACAGATGTTGCTATACATATACATTGCTAACCAGCATATATACATTTTTTTCTGTCCGTCATGGACAGAGTTAGAGATCTGTTAGACATATAGTTTAGTAATTTATTAAGCAATCAACCAATTGTAGTGCTTTTACAATGGCAATCACCATACTTAAATGCATACATTTATGTCTGTCCTGCACAGTGTTCAAGGCGTGTTCTTTTACTCATAATGTGATTAATGTGTTTTTTTTATACAAGAGTTCTTACATACTTGTTTATTTATACAAGAAAGTACATTGGGTTTGTGAGAATACATAGCATAGTGCAGTATTTACACTCTTGTAAAGCCACTAGTATGTTAACTGACACTGTACAGCCACTAGCACGCATAGCGTTTCGGGCAGGTCCTTAATCCTAATTTTCACACATATACATTCCCATGAAGCAGCTGCCTAACTCCCAGGTACCTATTTACTACTAGGTGAACCGGAGCATCAGGGTGAAATAAACTCTGCCTCTTTGCTTCCGCCTCCGCCGGGGATCGAACCCGGACCCTTAGGATTACGAACCCCGAGCGCTGTCCATTCAGCCGTCAGCCTCCCCCCCTTTTACAAATTTGAAATGAAAAGGTAAACAGGAAATGCTGCCAAGTGTCGTGTTGAATGATGGGTGTGAGCGTCCGGCGCCAGCCTCGCCCACCACAGCCAGCCTCGCCCACCACAGCCAGCCTCGCCCTCCACAGCCAGCCTCGCCCACCACAGCCAGCCTCGCCCACCACAGCCAGCCTCACCCACCACAGCCAGCCTCGCCCACCACAGCCAGCCTCGCCCACCACAGCCAGCCTCACCCACCACAGCCAGCCTCGCCCACCACAGCCAGCCTCGCCCACCACAGCCAGCCTCGCCCACCACAGCCAGCCTCGCCCACCACAGCCAGCCTCTGTGTTAGACCTTTCACTGATTATGAGCGATTATAGATTATACAGGAAGAAATCAAATGTGGTAAAAATACCTGCTTCTTTACTGACAGTAGAGGAGCGTTAGAGTCTTTAAATAGCAGACGTCCACATCTGGCAATACGGTGTTGATGTCAGTGAAAAAGATAAGAAGGAGTGTAAATTATGTAGTATGTCGCACGCCCACACCTTAGAACATTATGTTCTAGTGTCAACAAGTATCAGTCATGGAACTTAGATAAATCAAACTTCACATAGATTACTGAAACAGTACAGCTGTGCTCCGTGCCTAAGCTTAATATTAATAATGATAATAATAATACAGTTATGTGCGCTTATTCTGTTATGTTACAGCTTGTTTAAGTGGCCCGCCGAGACTCCTCAATTTTCAAATGGTCCGCTACAAGTCAAATAGAGAACCACCGCTGGACAAGAACACTTGCGATGTTTACAGAACCTCCGGCTGGTATTTTATTGAACATGTTTTACAGTAGACAGTTCTTTAACAGCATATAAATAAAACATGTGGCGTATGTATTGTTAATTTGCCATAGCACGATATGTTGGATCAAAAGCCCTCCAATACTGTTTAAAAATCCCGCCATGCGTCATTTGTATTCTAGGTTTTTAAATATAACCTGATACTGACAGCTGTGATAGAGAATTGTTTGTATTTAAATAAAAAAATAACATTATACTAAATTATAAATTGGTTATTTACTCTCGTTTAAAATTAATGAAAAATGGTATCCCTTGAAGGTTTGTTATGGTGAGCGAGAGGCCGTCCTCCTCCCACCACCCGCCGCAGAGGTGAGCACCGCCAGCTGGCCGCTCTCTAGTTTGTCACCATTGTCCAACAGCAGTTCGTATATTTATTATTTGCCACTCAGAAATTGATCTTCAGTAGTATTTGGTGTTGAGGGTTACAATATCCTGCGTGTACAGTTATTATTAGCTCGGATGATGACTGATATAAGATGACTACGCCTGTTGCTCCCAAGCCACGGCATTCTCCCACAAAAGAAAATGTCTTAGGTTTTTGCCTTTTCAAGTTACCGGGAGGCGAGTTAGGAAGGGAATGTCGGTTGTTGCATGTTGTTTGTTAATTGTAACGCATTTTGGAGTTAACTTGCCAGTTGTAATAACAGTAGATATGCCTTATAGGTCAGAGTTGCTGTTGGCTTGCCGCTGCCCCTATTTCCAAAGTTGGTAATGTAAGCGCATAATAAATCAGGAGTAAATGGTAAACGCCATGTAGTATACTCGTAAGAGTTTCGTGGTCAGAATACCCCCACTGTAGTATTTCAGGGGTAACAGGCAGCATTGTCGAGCAGACTAATACCGTTAGTATTGTGTAATCTTCACTATAGGGTCCCGGTAGTACAGTCGGGTTTGTTCTCATAAGAACATAAGAACAAAGGTAACTGCAGAAGGCCTATTGGCCCATACGAGGCAGCTCCTATTCTATAACCACCCAATCCCACTCATATACTTGTCCAACCCGTGCTTGAAACAATCGAGGGACCCCACCTCCACAATGTTACGCGGCAATTGGTTCCACAAATCAACAACCCTGTTACTGAACCAGTATTTACCCAAGTCTTTCCTAAATCTAAACTTATCCAATTTATATCCATTGTTTCGTGTTCTGTCCTGTGTTGATACTTTTAATACCCTATTAATATCCCCCCGGTTTTGTCCATTCATCCACTTGTAAACCTCTATCATGTCACCCCTAACTCTTCGCCTTTCCAGTGAATGCAACTTAAGCTTTGTTAATCTTTCTTCATATGAAAGATTTCTAATTTGGGGAATTAACTTAGTCATCCTACGCTGGACACGTTCAAGTGAATTTATATCCATTCTATAATATGGCGACCAAAACTGAACTGCATAATCTAAATGGGGCCTAACTAGAGCAAGATATAGCTTGAGAACCACACCAGGTGTCTTGTTACTAACGCTGCGATTAATAAATCCAAGTGTCCGATTTGCCTTATTACGAACATTTATGCATTGATCCTTTTGTTTTAAATTCTTACTAATCATAACTCCCAGATCCCTTTCGCAATCCGACTTCGCAATCACAACACCATCTAGCTCGTATCTTGTAACTCTATCATCATTACCTAACCTCAGAACTTTACATTTATCAGCATTAAACTGCATCTGCCAATCCTTTGACCATTTCAAAACCCTATCTAGATCAACTTGAAGTGATAGTGAGTCCTCCTCCGAATTAATTTCCCTACCGATTTTCGTATCATCGGCAAATTTGCAAATGTTGCTACTCAAACCTGAATCTAAATCATTTATATATATTATAAACAACAGAGGTCGACTCGTTCTCGAGAGGTTCTCGACTCTTGTCAAGAATTTGGGTTCGAATCCCAGGCAGGATAAATGGTTAAGTGCGTTTATCACCTAATGCTCCTTTCCACCTAGCAGTCAATAAGTACCCCAGAGAGTTAGTCTGCTTGTTATAGCCTTAGTGTTCAGGAGTAGCAAAATACCGGTTTTAAAATGCAAGTTCAGATTGTACACCGCCATTTTGACAAGGCTCATTTGTTAATTGGGAAAACTATATGTAACTGTTTATTACCTAGACTGAACCCTACATTCATTGGCAATAATTTGCCTTTAGCAATATTTTGTCTTTTAAAATTAAATCTTATAGTCTTGAATTTATTTCTGCATCAATTTGATCTAACTATAACCAAATATTGCTGTTCTATCCAATTTCTAAATATGTAATTTGTATACATGGTGAAAAACAAGGTGCCACAAGAACTGAGATATTGTGCTTGCATGGCAGGTATGTAGCCTAGCCTAAGGGGGCCTCGTAGCCTGGTGGATAGCGCGCAGGATTCGTAATTCTGTGCCGCGGGTTCGATTCCCGCACGAGGCAGAAACAAATGGGCAAAAGTTTCTTTCACCCTGAATGCCCCTGTTACCTAGCAGTAAATAGGTACCTGGGAGTTAGTCAGCTGGCTTCCTGGGGGTGGAGGCCTGGTCGAGGACCGGGCCGCGGGGACACTAAAGCTCCGAAATCATCTCAAGATAACCTCAAGATATGTATACTGTATAAATAGAATTGGCAAATAATAAATGCCGTGGCCCAGTAGTTCAAATGGCGATGACCGCATATTAACTGTAGGATGACGTTGTATGGAGTGGAGTGCCGCAGGGCTCTACAGTGACTTGTTTGCCACATGTATATATAATTTAGACAGGATCGACTGCTAAAAAGGCCATTTGTTTGTTCCAGCTCCCATAAACTTGATTTCTTCAGATTTGTACCCAGTCATTCATGCAGCAATCTGCAACTGTTGGCATAATTACTGGTCAAATACTGAACTGTATAAACCTAATGTGACTTCTCTATGGCCGTCCTCCTACCACTTTAATAGGTAGCGTGACAACAAGGAACTGGTCTGGTTATGCATTGACCACGTGTGTTTAACTCTTAGACACTTGAGGGACAGTGCACTGCTCCTTATAGTTTTAACTACATGTTATGTAGTCGTTTACCTTATGGAATGTCCTGATTTTCAGTAGTAGTAGTAGTAGTAGGCATCCATCAGTCTCGGTAGACTACGGAGTTGCGCACCGGTGTCGGCCTGGTCAGTATCCAGTATTTTCTGTATCGGTTTTGCTTTCCCAGTGTTTGTCACTTGTCCCTCGGTAGAATCCAGTACCTTTGGCATAGCTTGACTTGTATTTCTGCCCTTGTATTGGCATCCTGACTGATATCTAGGGCTGTTTGCAAATCTTGCAACACATTTGGTGCTAAATAGTTCGCAACTTCCAGGGTCCACCGGATGCTCGATGATGCAAAAATGTTTTTACAGTTAATTTGTTTTCCCAAGTTATTTGTTGGGTTCTAACTATAAATTTTGTCAAAATATTCACAAATCGTTCCTAGAGAATATATGTAAAATACTGTATTTATAATTATGTATGACAGCAATGAATATATGAATGTTTATGAGTAGTCAATGAAGAAGTGTTCTGGTATCATAATGTTTACTATTTGGAGATAGTAATAGTAATTATCAGGGGAAAGTGCCACGCCATTACAACTATATAGCACTGGGAATGGATCAGGATAAGGATTTGGGATGGGATGGGGGGAAGGAATGGTACCCAACCACTTGTGGACGGTCAGGGATTGAACTCCGGCGCCGCAGACTTTGACGTCATGGGGCGGACAGTGCGGGCGAGTGTGCAACGACGCTTAAATGTGTGTACTCGTTTCAGTTTTCTCACCTTAATTCTTGTGCTACGTCGTTCGTTTTGGCATCATTGTGTTTACATTTAAATTCCTTGCAGGTGTATATGCATATACTGTACTGTAATGTCCAAAAGCCCGGCGTGACTCAGCAGCAAAGCCTAAAGTTACCCGTGAATGAGCACCAATTTGCACACTGCAGCCTAATGTATATACTCGTTCAGTTTAATAACATCAATTTTCATGTTACATTGCTCATTTTGGTATCAAATTGTTCGCAATATAAAGGTGTGCATTTTAAAACTAATCTCATAATAATAGAGCAATAACTGGAATTTTAACAAATATTTAAATTTTTGATGCTCATCAAAATTATTTATATCTTTTTAAGTGTTCTGACATCAATTTTCGTGTTATGTCGCTCATTTTGGTATCAAATTGTTTGTAATCTAAAGGCGCGCATTTTAAAACTAGTCCCATAATAGCACAATAAATAGAATTTTAACATTTTAAAATTTAGACCCAAAAACATATTTATAATCTTTAAAGTGTTCTGACATCAAGTTTCGTGTTACATCATTCATTTTGGTATCAAATTGTGCACATTCTAAAGGCGCTTATTTTGAAACTATCCCGAGGTCGATCGGATAAAAAATGAATTTTATACAAATATTTTTGGAGTGTACACAAGTCCTGTCCACGGCTAGGACTCTGGAGAGAAAAAAAATGGATGTGATCGATGTCCAAAGCGAGCGATAGTGTTAAGAGCAAAGTTATATTGTGCATCAATTAAATGCCCAACCACTTCGGATGGTAGAGTCTCCCTTCTTCTTATTCGGCATTTGATCCAAGGCTGCCTAAGTGGTTGGGCACCATTCCTTCCTTCCAGCCTATAACAAATCCTTATCCTCATCCCTTCCAAGTGCAATATAGGCATAATGGCTTAGTGTGCTCTCCTGATAATTACCTGTGTATGAGTTAAATCTTTTGATTCACGTTGAGGCTCATCCTCCACTTTTCTGCATTTTCTGCTGTGAGAGTGCCAAATATAATAGTAACATTGACCAGCCCATGCAAGAAGTCACTGAACAACTGTTTTAGGTGCAATACAGTACTGTCAGGCTTTTTAAAATGCTGTACTGAAGTATTTTTCCTTCACAGATGCAAATCTTTGTGAAAACCCTAACGGGTAAAACCATCACCCTAGAGGTGGAACCTTCAGATACCATTGAAAATGTGAAGGCAAAGATCCAAGACAAGGAAGGTGAGTGGTATGCATTATAATACAAGTCTTACAGTATTGTATACAGTACAGTACACAATACAATACTGTATTGCAATTCATTTGTACGACTAATAAAGTTTATATTGTGAAGCTTTTGTGATTTCAATGTTTATGGGAGATTTTGGTTGAAATTCATCACCTACAGGGAGCCGGTCGGCCGAGCGGACAGCACACTGGACTTGTGATCCTGTGGTCCTGGGTTCGATCCCAGGCACCGGCGAGAAACAATGGGCAGAGTTTCTTTCACCCTATGCCCCCTGTTACCTAGCAGTAAAATAGGTACCTGGGTGTTAGTCAGCTGTCACGGGCTGCTTCCTGGGGGTGGAGGCCTGGTCGAGGACCGGGCCGCGGGGACACTAAAGCCTTGAAATCATCTCAAGAAGATACACCAATGTGGGGTGGGTAATATGTAAGAATTGGATTTGGGTACCAACTAGGAGCCTTCAAAATTCCTTGTAATTTACTAGAACTTTAGGTGTTGCATTTTTGGCTCCTTGTGATAAAATAAGTAATGTGTACTTTGGGGGTGACCTGGGATGCAAATTAAATTCCATCACATTGCTCCATAAAAAAAATTTCAGGTATCTCACTATTGTGATTCCATTGTACAATGTATTGTACTGTGTTATTCTTAACTTTGCTTCTATATCAAATACAGTGCATAGTATTGTCTGTACGTACCTGTACACTACAAGGAACTAATGGAAAGAAATGAATTTTTGGTGTAAATGGCTAAATCCAAAGATTTTAATGGATTGAAATACCATTTCTTGTGTATCATTCAATCTAGCTCAATTTGAACGGGTGATTTTGGTTCTCATTCCTGCATTTCACATTAAATGGGGTGTAAAAGAGACTGCCTTTAATAGGGAGATTGATACTCTGTTAAAAGCCTGGTTATGCTACGTCTTTTTACACGTTTGATAATTTTGGTTTACATTTTTTTTCATGTTGGTTATCCTGCTAAACATTTCAGGTATCCCTCCTGACCAACAGCGACTCATCTTTGCTGGAAAGCAACTGGAAGATGGACGCACTCTGTCAGATTATAACATTCAAAAAGGTGAGTATTTTCTTTTCATAAAATTAACAGTATTAATTTATGAAATTGAATTTTTTTTTTTAACAAGATACAGGCCTCATTTCATATTCATGAATAAGGTCTGTTTCCTTGTCCAAAGTGAATTACAGTACAGTATCCTGTTGGGCTACTCATTCATTGGTATGTTTAAAGAGAAATACTCATACAATTTTATTTTTTATAAAGTTATTTTAAATAAAAACAGGAGACAAACTATAGTACCGTATCCTTTGCAATGTTACAGATTTTTGAGAGACTGCAAACCTTCAAATTTATGTAATTTAGGTCTTCCAATGGGCCATAGAAAACATGTTCAATGAAGATGAGTTCCAGGCACTATGGAAAAACAAAATAAATTGAAACAATATAAAATGGTCAAATCACACTATAGAAAGAGAGCAAGCAAACAAGCAAAAACAAATTTTTAGAAGTATTGTACTGTAATCATGTCAGAAGACTGTATTTCTGCAATAAAATAACTGCCAAAAGTGCAATAAAAATGACAGGTTTGATAAAAAATAAACCTTTCAAACAAGCTATCACTTTTCAAGATATTACTTAGCACTTTTTAAGATAGTGCTAGTGCTCTCTTGGGTGGAAAATTGTTGCTTTAGCAGCTCCAGTCAAAGCTGGAGAACATGCAGATAAATTTTAGTAGCGTAATCCATTTCTTAAACTAGTCTTCAAGTGCAGTTGGGAGGTATACATAACAATTTACATTTGGAAGATATTAAGAGGGACTACTGTATGAGCTCGGTTATCTGAAGCCCACTGAATTTGCGTTATCCGGCCAAAATTAAGTGGATAATTTACCGACAGACTTCGCCATATCCAAACAGAATTTCAGATGAGAGATTTGGCCGAATAATGCAAATTGGCACAGAATCCAAGTCAAATCCAAATAATTTTTTGGCAAAACTTCTTCATATCTGAACAGACATTTGGATGAGTGGAGATTAGGTTATGTAAATTTTCAAGAACTACACATTTCAAGATATAAATATCACACAGGAAGTGATCACAGTAATATCACATGGGAAGATCTACAGTATAACACGGGAAGACGAGCTACAACAAAGTAAGCTTAAGTTTCTTTTAAATTATATTATTTTTATTTTAAATTATATTATATATTATCTGTCTGCCTGGCTTATCTGGCAGAGGGTTCTTCCCATGTAGTTCGAATAAGCAAACTTAGACAGTACTATAATTCCAAATCTGTACATGGAAATAACTCCTTAACACTTTCGCGTTCCACAGACTGATTATCTCGTCACTCATTTTTCTACTGAATGGGTTCCAACGACGCAATACTGAGTCACTCATTAAAATATTTTTTAAAAATTTAAATTTTATCAGATCAATCTGGTAGTGGTTTTAAAATAAGTGCCTTTAGATTGCACACAATTTGATACCAAAATCAAAGATATAACATGAAACTTGATGTCCAAAGACTTGAAATATTATAAATAGGCCTATGGTCCGAATATTAAAATATTTGTTAAAATTCTATTTATTGTCCTATTATCTTGGGACTTGTTTTAAAATGTGCGCCTTTTTATTGCGAACAATTTGATACCAAAATGAAAGATGTAACACAAATATTTGTCAGAACACTGGAAAGATATAAATAAATTTGTGATGATGAGCGTCCAGAATTAAAATATTTGTTAAAAATCCAGTTATTGCACTATTATTCTGGGACTAGTTTTAAAATAATCGCCTTTTTATTGCGAACAATTTGATACCAAAATGAGCGACGTAGCACAAAATTTGATGTTATCAAATTGAACGAGTTGAACATTAGGTTGCAATGTACAAAATGGTGCTCGTTCACGGGTAACTTTAGGCTTTTCTGCGGGGTGGCACTCCAGCCTTTTGTACATTTTATTCATACACATCTGTAGGGAATTTAATTGCGAACACAATGATACCAAAACGAGCGACGTAGCACGAGAATTAGGGTAAAAAAATGGAACGAGAATGCACATGTTACTGATTTTGTGCGTTTTTGCCGACTTTACACTTTGCTGTTGGGAGTCACGCTAGGCTTTTGGACATTATATTTATACACACCTGTAGAGAATTTAATTGCGAACACAATGATACCAAAACGAGTGACGTAGCACGAGAATTAAGGTGAGAAAGCTGGAACGAGTATACACATTTGGGTGTCACCGCGTGCTTACCCGCACGGAGGGGCTACCTACCCCGTCAACCGCAAGTTTCCATGGAGCGCGAAAGTGTTAAGAGACAAGGAAGGAAGTGTAAAATATCCCTGTTGAAAGGAGGTCCAATAGTTTTGCAGAGACAATTATATCAATATTAAGTGACCAAGACTTAAATTCTCTCCCTTTCTAAATGTAAAGGGCGTATAACAGCCAACATTTCACTGTGTTCAGAAGGAAACAAAACACATCTAAAGGATACCTTATTGTTGACCAAACCACACGCTAGAAGATGGAGACGACGACGTTTCGGTCCGCCCTAGACCAAATAAATAGTCGATAAATGACCAATAAAGTCAATTGTCCGTCCTGGACCATTATCACAATCAACTTTATAATGGTCCAGGGCGGACTGAAATATTAGTCGTCGTCTCTGCATCTTCGAGTGTGTGGTTTGGTCAGCATTAATAAAGCCACGGGACTCATCGTTTGCATACGGATACCTGATTAATCGGGCCGTTTGCATCGGACTGTAAATAGCGGTGTCATAACAGCCTGATTGACCACGCCTCCTCGTAAGGCATTGGTCAGAGATGGCCATGGAAACAGATTCCTGGAATGAACAACAGGTACACAAATTGGAGGGTGGAGAGCAGAAAAGGCTCTCCCCATAGCCACAAGATGAGAATAATAATTACAAGCTAACTTTTTTCTTGCCATAAGAGATGTATATAGATATATACGCCACAAAGATCACACACAAACTGATCCAGGTGTATGGAAAGCCACATATGAAAAATAGAGAATGCTAAATGCGTTTATGGCTCGACTCGTTGCCTTCAGAGCATTTTTAGGAAGAAGCATATTTAGCTTCATTCTAAAAATGCTCTGAAGAAGGAAAGTTGAGCCAAAAATGCATTTAGCATTCTTTATTTTACATGTGGTTTTTCTGCATAGATGTGTGTGTTGGTATATGTGTATATAATTATTTATTATATATATGAGAGATTGAGATTATGGGGATTTAAAAGTACAAATTCCTATTTAGCAACTATTACACACAGAAATCACACTAACGTGATGCATCAAATGAACAAATCCACAAGGGCCGTGACGAGGATCCTCGTCACGGCCCTTGTGGATTTGTCCTATTTAGCAATCTTTGATCTGATGCCACTGTCACCGGAGACCCTGCCCTTTACCTGACTTGTACCTTCTCGATAATAATGGGTAGTATTTTGATGATAAAGGTTCATGTAGATGAACTAAGACTTTTATTTCAAAATGTGGATGCTACTAGAGAATGGAACCATAAATAGCAGTAAACCCTTTATTGTCTGGTGTTGCATTTTCTTGGGCAAAAACAAAATTAATGTTGACATTTACAGAGTCCACACTTCACCTGGTTCTGCGTCTACGTGGTGGTGTCATTGAACCTTCATTGAAGCTTCTAGCAGAGAAGTACAACTGCAACAAGATGATCTGCCGTAAATGTTATGCACGTCTCCATCCAAGGTACAGTACTGTATAGTTTTAAACTCAGTTACATGACCAGTCAGAATTGATGTACACTATTGTATAAAGAGTTGGAAGCCAATCATGGTCACATTTTAAAGGAAATTGAGGGATTAAATAATTCCTGAATTTATAGCTTCCTTGGGCTGTTGCCGTTTCCTTGGAGTAATTGGTAGTTGAGTGAGGCTTTCATCCCATTTTATTTTATGAGCATGGTTGCTTAAGATAAAAAAAAAAAAATTATTTGGCTAGAGCAGAGCTGACTTCACAAGCCAATGTTTATTTTATGGCTATACAGTCATTTTAAACACTACTTGTTGCCTGCTTAGTGTCCTTGGCCCTAATCCAAGCCAGGTTTTGTATTTATCACTTAGCGGTATGGCATCATGCCACGTTCCCCTAACCTAAACATTTCGGGCTCCCTCGGGCACTCCTCGGTGACACACAAAATGTTTGCTATTTTTGCTCTATCCAGTTTTCTTGACGTCTACGTTTGTTCTGGCAATATTTCTCATGCTCGCTGGGAGGTTGTTGAACAACCACGGACCTCTGATGTTTATACAGTGCTCTCTGATTGTGTCTATAGTACAGCTGCTCTTCACCAGTTCTATTCTGCATTTCCTTCCATATTGTTCACTCCAGTATGTTATTTGTACTGTGTAGATTTGGGATCTGGCCCTCCAGTATTTTTTCCATGTGTATATTATTTGATATCTCTCATCTCCTTTCTAGGGAGTACATTTGAATAGCTTTGAATTGATCCCAATAATTTAGGTGCTCTATAGTGTCATTCTTTACTGTTTGAGTGAAGAGGATGTTTTAGCTTCATAATGTTAATGATTGCTGGTCTTGCATTGTTTGGCTTTTCAATGGCATTATTTTGGCTATACTGTATTGAAATAAAACTATTAATATAACTACATTTCATTGGTACATTAAGAATATTGGGGAAATACTTAATTAATTCGGTCATGAATTATTTAATTCCATTCAGTCATGAATGCCTTAACATATGAGAAAATTAATGATAATTTTTTGATTGCTAACAACTACAACTTTTAGGGAGCCCCACACTTTCTGGGGCGCAGATATACAATTGCTCCTCCATTTACATTTCTTCCTAGTGGTGTCTAAACCGGACTCTGGATGCCCCCCCACCTTGCATATTCATCGGCTTTGCCTTTGACCCTTCGTCTTGATGAAATGCATCATATGGGCTTACACCTAAACTTGGGAGCTTTCATTCATCCCCATTTCCCAGAGCCTGTTTGTAGAAACCTATGCTCAGTCATGAGGCCACTGTAATTGGTAATGATTTTGGTAATTTGCATTGACCCTGCTAAGCTTTCTTTCACATTTGTATGGCATCTTGAATGGAACCTTTATTGACCGCCCTTTCCTGCTTGCTCTCCTTTAGAGCGTTTTTTTACTGCAGGGATTGTGCACGTTTGCAGTGTCCACTTGTATTGGGCTACAAGAATTTTATTGCAAATGTTTACTTGTTACTGTACTTGACAAAATGACATTTGTGACTGATGGCAGGATTGATGGTAACTATTATAAGTAATGTTTTCTCAAATGTGGCCTAACCCTATAGCCTTCCTGCCACAGTAAAAATAAAAAGGTGGGAAGTGTCTCCTGGCTAGGTTACATATTGGCCACATTTAACCCACTAGCAGTTGCACACCAACCAGCTCATATTGCACACTAACCACCTCATTGAATATCTTTTTTTTCAAGATTTTCAATTATCCTGAAAACTGTTTCCCAATGAAGTCAATGTCCTTCAGTAAAATCCCAGGTAAATCTGATATCTTTGGCATTTCTTAGTTTAGCTGTGAAACAAAATTGCATTGAAACATCAAAATGTTTCATAATTTCTACACTGCCTTTTAAATTTAAATGTGACAGCCTAGGGATACTTGTCTTGACTGGGTACCTTACTTTGCTTTACTTACTGATTTCGGGGATCAACGTCTGTGATCCGGTCTCTGACCAGGCCTGGTTGGTTGATGGTCTAGTCAGCCAGACTGTTGGATGCGGCTGCTCGCACCCTGGTTGATCAGGCATCCTTTGGATATGTTTATTGTTCTTTCTTGAACACCGAGGGGTTGGCCAAATGTCCCTTTATGTAGTGGAAGTGTGTTGAAGTCTCTTGGGCCTCTGATGTAGAAAGTTCTGAGTACCTACGCTCTTCTACAGGGGTATTCTGCACATCCTGCCATGCCTTTTGGTCTCGTGATGTTATTTCTATGTGCAATTTGGGACCAGCCTCCCTCATATTATCCATGTGTAAATTATGTATCTCGCCTGCATGCTAGAGAATACAAATTTAAACATTGTAATAGGTCCCATTAATTTTGATTTATTGAGAAGACAATACAGAGACTATTGTATATATATGGTTGATTGTCATGATGATACATTGAAAGGTTCCCTCTACAGAGGTGTTTTACCCGACACACTACGATGCTGTGAAATTCAACCTGACGATAGCTTTTTGTTAAGCTTCGCTGACAAGTGGGATATTTGTTAAATATTGGTATATTATTTCAGAGCCACGAACTGTCGCAAGAAGAAGTGTGGGCACACCTCCAATATCCGACCCAAGAAGAAGATCAAGGGTTAAATACATTGATAATATTGTTACCAATGAGATCTGGAGATAACACTTAATTTGTGATAACTAATATCAAATAAAGCAAGTCTCCAGTAAATTTTCTTTTAATATTTCCTCTGGTTATTTAGGTGAAATTTATCCTGTTTCTAATATCCATGGGAATTTTTAGTCATTTATTTATTATCTACATGTTTTAAATACTAGTGAACCAACTATTATATTATCTTGTACTTTGCTTAAATAATCATTGTGCTTCCATTTACCTCAAACTGGATTGGCATATCCTTGACTTCCTATCCGCTTTAAAAGATTTTGGCAATTATTGTCACACCATGGTCAGAAATCTAACCAACTGTACACCCACCATTTTAATTAAAGTTATTCTATGTTAATTTTTAGTTTAAATGTAATGCCCATATTTGGGGACTTGTGTATTACATATTCTTAAAGATTTGCATGTGTAGTATTGGTATAATTTCCAGGGACAAATGCCATTCCATCTATCTGATATCATCCCATATGTTATGTATGAGCAAAACCACCGCAGATTGTGGCAGTTACACTAAAACGAAACAAAAAATTTCAATTTACTTTTGAAAAGTAAAACAAGCCATTCTGTCAAACTTTATTTGTGATATGTACATTAGAAAATGAAGCTTAACAATTTGCTATCTTTGGTATTTTTTACAAATGGAATGAATAATTAGTACACAGTAGAATTAAAGCTCGACAGGGAAATTATTAAAACATTAGTGCATTTAGCTACTCGTTACATCGGTTTAAATTTTTCTAGGAGAAACTAGCAAACTTTCTGTACATGAGAAGATCCCTATTTGCTGGTGGCTGAGGTCCTTTAGTTGCCATAGCAACATACCTGCTGTATATGTCTCTTGAGCGTCTGGCAACAGTAGGTGGGTCAGTTTCTACTGAAGAATCGAGGCAAAAACTTGATCGCTGAATAAGTACTAAAGGTGCTGTAAAATATAAACAGGGATGCATCAGTAGTTTCCCATAATTCACAATATAGATATCTATATACAATATTAAATTTGTCCCCTCAGTTACAGGCTCTGCTTGGTTGTGCAGGGCTATACGGAGAAATGGCCGCAATCCATACCTTTATAAGCTATGTGAAATATATATATACAAGGGATGCCTTATGCTTTCCAAAATGTGATTTGCAGTGGACTAGGAAGGAAATAAACTGACCTGTCATACTATATAGTTGTGTACTCCATTTTGGTTCCGCCTTTAGATTATATATTTACTGTCTTTTGCGCAATGTGGGTAACAGAACAATTTCCCTTATGGCTTGGGTGCATTAGCATTTAGTTTGGGAAGCTATTGAAGAGACTTTCCCATGGTAAATGCCAAGGATTTAATGAACTTTTATAAAATTTTGTATGAATGCTCAGTATGTAACTTGAGGCTGTAATTAAAATGGGTCATGACTCACCTGCAGTACTAGTGTTCTGGTTCATTTTTGTCACAGGACAGCTTGTTATTCTGTAAATCTGTTCATACCTGCAATTTGAACACTGCTTAATTACTATGAATAAAATTACCGTAACCACACATTATAAATATATAGCATGTATGTACTGGGTGGTGTATGGATAATGTTGCTAATACTGTATTTAGTAACTCCTATTGTAGCGAGTACATGGAAGCATTACTTAAAACAGATTGCAGTAGGCTGAAAAATAATTGGCCAACAATTTCTTGGTGACCCAGAATATGGTATCTGCCTCAGCAGGTAGGTCAAGTATGTTTGAGACAAGAAAATACATCTCGGTGACAGTAGCTTAGGCTATTTCTTACCACCCTCACCAGGTAGTCTTGACAAACCAGCTTGACTGCATACTTAAAATATAGTACTGATAATTTATTACTAATTATTTATAAGTACTGATAATTTATATTAAAAATTTCAACTTGTCTTGGCCAAATATTCTTTGAACACATTGGAAGTAACAGATGTTGTTTACCTAAACATGGCAAGGTGAAGAGAGGCTAAATTGATTGAGAAATTAAGTTTAGTTTTGTGCAGGAGGGACAGAGAACCACAACCAGAGGAGCTGAGCTCCGAGAGTGAATCAACGTGTATGCACCTGTTCCCAAAACCCCCACATGTCTCCCTCAGTTACTGGAGGCACTGCTTTGCAAAGTGTCAATCGATACAATATACTAAACTGTCCAGTTGTAAAGTCTTTTATGGAATTAAAAGGCCCATCCTCATGAAGGCCAAAGTCCTCTCCATGTACACGCCAACCCAGTTTGCAAGTGAAAAATGGTTTACACACTACTCAACTGGTGGCATTCGAACAAATGCTTCGTTGACGACTTTTGTTCGAACCAAAACAATGTAAATGCTTCTGCCACATACTACAAACAAATAATAACTAAGAGAACCTAAACCCCTAACTTAACCTAACCAATGCCTAAATATTCACAGTATACTAAACTATAACAATATTAATGTATATACTGTATGAGAACATTCCTATTTTGAATGAATAACATGCTAAAATTTATGAATGCTTCTTTAGAGTCGATTGCTGGATGGAATGGACTTGGTCTGAGGACGGGTTGAATTAAAATGCTGTATTAAATTTTGGCAGTCTTGCTTTTCATAGGAAGGGAAGATTTGACATTTAGCTATATTTCTTAGACATATGCAAAATTAAATTTTTTAATTGTTGCCAATGATAAAACCCAAGACACAATACTGAAGATGAAGAAATGCCAACTAGTATTTTTTTGTTTTATGTTTTCTTAAGAGGAAAAAAATCGAATTTAACAATACAAATAACACCACTTTTATGCAAATATATATGTGTAAATAAACTTTAATATTAAGAAGTATAACAACTATATTAACCTAGCTTATCCTTGGGGCTAATAATTTTGAGGTGCTTTGCTGCTTTTTCTCAATAGCCACACTGAAAAAATATTTGAAACTAAATCCCTCCTGCAGTTAAATTTATGAGACATGACCTAATGACAACCAAATACTAGTAATGTTGATCACTGCTTATTGCAAGACACACTCGGATCTTAGTCTTGCACAAAAAGTACAAGACTTCATGCTCAAGGTTGACCTTTACTCTGCAAAAGTGGGTCAACTAGTAATTTCCATATTGGCTGTGCAGTCAAAGCTAACAGGTTCTACATGCAGTACTGACAACAAATGACAATACTGCAGTACTGTTTTAAAGTGTAAATACAGATACACTTGAAAATAGGATTGTCATCCATCAGTGTCCTGAGACTGATGGATGCCTACTACTACTACTACTACTACAGTATATATCAGACAAGGATGAGCTAATGAGTTGTATGGCATACTTACCTCTTATAAATGGTATTGTCAGTTCTTGAGGGGTCATGCAGGTAGTCACCATATGTTTCAGTCATTGGTGGGAAGAATGATACTAAGGAAAGACTAGGACTATTATCACCATCATCATCACTTGCTGTACTCACTACAGATAATTCATCATCATCGCTTGCCTCGCTCTCAGTTGAACTGAAAAAAATTACCCAAAATATTAATTTTAGTCCACTTAATTTTGGTAAATTTTAATCAGTGAATACTTATACAGATTTGTAAACACCCTTTCCTTAAAATAGAAGTGTAACTAATAGTCAAGGTCTATCAGTTAATCTATAGGTCTATAGTAAAAATAGAAGTGTAAATCTTCATCAAAGGCTCTGAATGTTGTTGTTCAATCCCATGTCTTAAGTTATTTATATAGGAGTACGTACCACCTCTAGTGCAATTGTAGGAACCCATATCAGAGCCCCTGAACACCACTGGTTACTGCAATATTCTTGTGTGTATATTACAATTTATTTTTATTTTTAATTTATTTATATATAAAAGAGTTTTTACATTCTTGTACCGCCACTAGCATGCATAGCATTTCGGGCAAGTCCTTAATCCTATGTTCCCCGGAATACGATCCCACCAAATTGTTTAACAACCAGGTGTCCATTTAATGTTGGGAAAACATAGGCTACAGTTAAGGATTGACGCCCAGTATCTCCTCCCCGGCCAGGATATGAACTCAGGACAAGCGTTTGCCAAACGCCAGGCGAGTCTTAACCACTATACCATGGGGACTGTAAATAGGAGGCCATACTATTATAATAGGAGGCCATACTATTATTATTATATTCTTTATAATGCATAATGCAAACATAACTAACCTAGTACCACTAGAGGTTGTGGAAGATGTAGAGGCTTGACCTGTCATGCCAGGGTTTTTTGGCGAGGGCGAGCCAGAACTCTGGTTACGTGACAATTCTTCTTGCCGCTTACCCGGGCGGCGACGCACACTAAATGGGCTTTCATCAGTGGTAAAATTTGGCATGTAGTCTCTATAAAAAGATAATTTTGTCAGTACTTTTATAAAGCACTAGGACAAAGGTGCTCTAAGCATTAAGTAAAATATAAAGCATATACTATACAAAAATCAATCCCCGGAAGTAGACAGGCAGAGCAACAGAAAGAAAGGAAGACAGACTGGGTGGGAGGGGAGGCCATAAACAACCTGTGAAAGGTGGGCGGGATTACCACTCACATGAGAGCGTGACAAATACTTGTAAGTGTACTGTAGTGTGCCTCAGAATTTCTTTTCTTTGGTGTTGCTATGTGGAAGTTTAGTAGGCTTCTGCTATAAAACTTTGTCCATAAAAATAAAACTTTGCCATTATAATAGGAATTTACTGGAACAAATTTTCATTCTTAAAGTATTTTAATTTAAAATTATATTTTCAGAAATGGATTCTTATTGACATCAGGTTATGCAGCATTGTCAGAAGTGGGATAAAATATATTTTATAATTTAATTAAATTTACTTTATCAAAACAACATCCAAGATCAAGATCTGGCTGTAATACATACCTAACCGAGTGACTCATGTGGTAGCTAAACAATTCTGATAAAATGCAGAATTCTGATGGCCGATGATGGTCCGTGTACAGATCAACCTGAGGATTATGAGTTGACAAACTACAGCATATACTTACATGGCACGGGCAAATTTATTTCACAAAAAGCAGTAATTTGCACATTTTTAAACATTCAAAACACAAGGGAAAAATTATCCATATTTCAGTTACTTATTTACCTTTGGCTCTTTTGGGGTAACAGGTAATAGGAGGGCTACAGATTTTCTGGCTTCTTCCACTGGTAAAGGCAGTGTCTCCATAACCTCCGAGTCCCACCACTGACTTGTACTTCGGCTGATTAAATAGAGAGAAAAAAATTCAGATCCATAATTGCTTAACATTTTATGTGATAATGAATACATACACAAAAAGAAATACTGTATACTGTATCGTGATATGCCTCATGTGGAATGGAAAGATAAATAGGAAACATTAATTTCACATTTCTCAAAATTCAAATAAAATATCTGTACTGTAGTGGAACCTCAATAGTCTAGGTCACAGGAGCCCAGAAACTATTTCCCACCAGAAGTTCTTGATAATTGAAATCTGTCCAGATTATCAAGGCAGTCGCCACAAACTAACTTGGCAAAAATAAATCACTGAGTAATGAAGTGCCTTGTTCTGTGTTGCATCTCAATAGCTCCTCTCAGCTTACATCATCATAACACATAGAAACTTTTAGCCCTCAAAGTGAAGTTATCATCATATGTTGATTTATACTATTACTGTCTACATTTTACATAAAAAATGTATGTATATCAAAAAACACGTGAAGTGTACAGAACCATCCCCTATGTAGAACTAGCCACTGTTTTTTTCCCAAGATATATTACAGGACCATTTACTTAAATTCCTGTCATGGTATGGAAAAAAGAAGAGCATCTAGTAGGTGATACTGTAGTTTAGAGATGATCAAAGATACTTTGGCTATTGGAGCATTCAAAGAGCATTAGCTCAGAACTGCACAGTGCAGTGTATTAAAACTATAACATGTAAGTCCAACTGGTGCATTACAGGACAACAGTGAGAGAGTTTGTGAACTGACTGGAGTTGGACACACAGCTGGATGTGGTAGTGTCATTTTCTGGTGGTTAGTGTAGGTGGCCAGGTAGTATGTGAGAGTCTTCATTGGTGGTCACCTGTGATGCTTATACACACTGCAGGGAATGTTCAAGTATCCCAGCAGGGTCATTCAAGTGCTAGAGGTAGACAGGATAATACTTGTCCCAGCCTGAAATGACCCCCAAGAGGTTCAATCTCTAAAAATGAAATTTTATGGAGTGAACTTCTAGAGATCATTTTGAGTTGGGACAAACTTTACCCTCTCTACTCCTAGCACTTGAATAATCTGAAGGGATGCTTGAATATTCCCTGTAATGCTGTGTAGCATGCTTACCCATGTATTCAGTACAGTATTAGTATTCAGTACAATTCTGTTCATGGTTATGGGAGCAACCAAATGTAAAAGCTCAGAAAAAAAAGTTGCTCCAGGACAACATTGCTAAATTCCAATAAAAAGCATTTACATTTTGGTTAAACTTTTGTCCTTCAAGTTTCAAGGCAACATGCCATAGCATTCTGGAGATACTGAACAGCAACATGTCAGAAGGAAGAATGCAAAAAATATTAAATGGTACAACCAAGAGATATCCTAATCAGGGAAATTGTATCTAATGTTATGTTAATACTTAATATTAACATACATACATTTTGAAAGATTTACCTGTGACATGGACGAACCCCTCGTGTCAGAGTGTGGTGTAAAAGGTAGTCGGAGGATAACTCCCAGATGGGAACTGGTTCTTCACGAGGAACATAAACACCCAGGAACAAATTTATTGCATTTTGCTTCTCGGTATCTGCCAGTTAAGTGTTCAAATTAGTAAAATAATTTTACACAACTAAAAGGAAATAAGTGTCCTTAAAATGATCTTGTTCTACCATGTTAATGAAAAAATTAAGCAATATAAATTCTTGCCTGTGTCATAAAAACAAAGGCAGATTACTATTCAATTGGTTCCTCAATATACCATACTCGAGGATTAGCGTCAATTCTTCTGCTTTAATATCACCATAAAACCAGAGTTAAATGTACAGTAATGAAACGCCATTTTCTGGTGAGCCCCGTTGGCTCCCTGGAGCTATCGAACTGATATATGCTATATTAGTCTGGCTTCAGTCACATGGAGTTCTGCCTACCGGGAACCATGAGCCAGAACCTGGCTCCCTCAAAGAGGTGCAGGAAGCAATGGCCTATGAAAACTCCTCTCTTTGAGAGTAGAGTGGCTCCTCCGTTTATGAATTTAATTCGTTCCCAGAGATGGTTCACAAGCTGAAAATTCATAACCTGAAACAAATTTTCCCATAAGAAACAATGCAAATTTAATTAATCCATTCCACACTCCCAAAAATATTAACTTCAAAATACATTTTATACCTAATTCACACAAATATTTAGTACTATAGTATGTACAAGTTTTAGCTTACCTTTATTGATGACTGTTGTTGGCGTATGGAAGACGGTGAGGAGGAGGAGAGGTGTTACTGCTTGGAAGGGGAGTCCCTTTCAATTATAACATCAGGCAGTGATGACTTCTCTGGGGTACTCTCTCTCCTACGTTTTGCAGGCATACCACTAGGACCTGGTTGTGACTCAATGCTTGCTTGTTTTACTAAGAATCTGTCTAAAGGTACTTGTTTTTCCCTACATTTTAACACTTGTCTGTAGTGAGACATCACAGTCATTTAAAAAGTCAATGTAAGAGCCTGCTACAGCTTCATCTGGGTGAGTTTTTTCAACAAAACTTTGCAGTTCTTCCCATGCTGTAATTCACTCATTTTCTTAATGAGGAAGGGACATCTCTACTGCCTCTACTCACAACTATTTTCTTAGGTTGAACCTTACCAATGACTTTCTTGGGACCCATGGCATGATATAAAATAATTACTTTTATGTTCAAAACACCAAAAAGCCGAAAAACAATGAAACGCTTTACAAAGAATTCAAGTGCGCTAGTCACTAAGCGGGAGGCACTGGTAAACTGAAGCGCAGGTGACCTTACCACCAGGAACCAAGTGCTAGATCGCATATACGCGTATCAACAAACGACATTACCCGAAGCAAAGCTCGTAACCCGATTCAAATTTTAAGAAGAAATTGGGCTCGTAACCCTAAAAGTTCTTAAATACAGGGTAGGGGCATTCGTAAGCCAAGGTGTCACTGAATATTCATGTCTGTCATCAACCGGGGTTAGGCACCCAGAAAGGTAGGCATCCCAAAACAAACCCCAACTGGTAAAAAATTGCAACCCAAGACCAAACAGAGCCCAAGAACTCCCCCAAGAAAAACAATGCAACAGGCAAAATGTCATCAAACAGACGTGCGTTCATTACATTCAATGCTGGTTTTATAGAAGAGCCGAATGGTGATTCCTTGATGCTAACAATGGAGCAGAAAGAAAACAGGTCCCAGGGCAATACAAGCCTTACAGCAACCAGGTAACGAGTTGCCAAGACCCTGGAAGAGCCCGGAGCCAAAGTATCAGCCCATGACGTTAAAAAACCCACATGACTCGGTGGTTTAACCCTGAACGGCCCCAACTACAAGGCCTTGCAGAGGAGTCAAAGACTCCTGCACTACCTGGGGCAAGGCACTCTACACGGTAGCCTGGCTTCTTAGGGGCGAACTCCCGAACTCACCAGAAAAAGAGAAGTTCCTCTGTCAGAACAGGAGACAATGCTAAACAAATGCTTAGGGAAGGGCTACCCTAAACACATTCAGCTTCAAGTGAAGACTAAACAAAGTCCATGCAACAAGTAGGGCTTGAAGCACACTCATGAAGCAAATACCAAAATCCGGAATGATATTCAAGCAAATGGCTCCCAGAGAAGTGTCCAAAGGATGAGCTACACATATCTTGAAAAGAGGTTGAACTCGCTACAGCTAGTAATTCAGGGAAGTCTGAATTCACAGACCTCAGTGACTGGACTGAGGCAAAGATGGTGTGGAGGCCTGGAACTCCCGATGGTGCTGCCATCTGTAGACATCCAGTCATAACATGGGGTATCAACCTTGTTTCCAAGTGAATCATTTGTGAAGTCATCTGACTGTTTCATTACTTTATTTTCCTCGAACCTTGCAGTTGCCTGTAATGCTTGGCTTACTTTGTGTTTTCTCACTGAGGCTGGTTGTAACAAACCCCCGTTCCCTGTGTCTCTGTGAGGGAGCACAAGTTCTGTCTTTGGTCCCCGGTGGGCCAAACAGGACTATGGCTGATGGTTTGGTAGCAGGGAGCCATCTCGGCAAGATAACTTCAGGGAGTCACCATTGAGCTCCTCCATAAAGTTTCTTTAATATGATACAAATATATATATACACAATATAATTTAATTACATATAGTTACATAGAACCAATATTTAGCACTGCACCAGAGAAAGTATTGCTATAATATCTGGATAATGTTTGCATGATGTCATTTCCCTGGCTTGTCCATGGTGCAGTCCGTCGGTAGGTTTTGATCCTATGAACCAATTGTGACCCTCCATACTGCAGAGCAAGGGTGTCTCCGTGATCCTCATACATTTCTTCAAGCATTCGGACACAGTCACTATCAAACTCCAGTGAAGGCCGTTCAAGAACACCAAGTGCATAAAGCTGAAATACATTAATTAATAATTAAATTAATAAGAATACATCAATGTTTCAGTCATTCTTGATCTAGATGGGTTGAATATAAACTACCCTTCCCAGTAGTGTGGCACTAATGAGTTTGAGCTAGCTTCAAGAGATTCAATCATTTGTTTACATTGTTTGGAGAGTTTGGCAGTTTTTGATGCTTCAGTTCTTTTTAAACCCAGCAGTGATCTGTAATACTTTACTGATTTTATGGATGCTTTCCCAGTGGGGGTGGCAGAATGTCACCTGGACTCTCTGCATCTGTGTGGGAGAGCCAGGGTCTGTTTCTGGTCCTCAGTAGGCCAAATAGAACTCCGGGACTGATGTGGCTTAGTAGTTGGGAGCAATTTCAGTAAGATAGCTTCAGGAAACCAGAAGGTGCTTCCCCAGACAAGGGGAAATTACAGTGTAGATAATGCAATGCCATAACATCTTTGATTAAGCCAATCAGCCAGTATTGTAATGACCCGTGGCTTGGAAACACTATTACAGTATATCATTTTTGGTAACCTTTTGTATGCTGTAGTTTCAAGCTATCAATATTTGGTAATAATACTTGTATGATAATTTGTTGCATTTTAGTATTACTGAATTGTAAAAGTTTTATGTATTTTACTAATATGTACTTGTCCATATCGTTAAATTTCCTGTGGGTAAGGACTATATTATGGTGAACGAAAAACAAAACAGAAATGGAAAAGGGGTATGTTAAATGTCCAACATACCAACAAAGTTTTTTCTGCATACCAATAATCAGTATTTTATGATCATCAGTTGCATTATGTGGTGAAATAAAAAGATTAACTTTTGGCTGTTCTGTGTATGTACAGTATATGCTTTTATTTTTTTAAATAATAGTATCTGATAATATAGTTTGTAAACTATTATGGACCTATTTAGGTTTGTTTAAAGTTTATAGGCACTATAAATAGTTTTCTTATATTCGGAGGATGCTGCTAATACAGCCTCATCCTCGTGTTTGCTCTTGGTGGCAGCTTGGGGTGACTATTCTCATGTAATACAATTTCTACTGAATATTTTGAACAAAACACAAACTGTTTGAACTATTTACGAATTTGTTAAGAGTGAGGGCTTATTGTATTCATAAACCCTGAATATTATGCTGTAAATTCTTACCTTTGGGAGCAACTCAATGCATTTGGTCAGAAAAATAATTACCCTCATATTACTAAATAAGTAATAAAAAAAAATTGTAAATAATATAGTACAAATTGAAATACAGAAAATAATAAAATACATTACAATTTTACAGTTATACATACGTGCATATAAATGTACAGCATAGTATGGGTATATATATAGTAAAGAACAAGTGCTTGTGCTCTAGTGTTCAACTGCACATTAAACTATGTATAAAAGAAAATGCTAAAACAGCATAACTAACCTGAAATGCAAGGGCACATTTTCCAAGGCAGAACTGTGCAGTATTTGTCCGATCAAGACAATCTACGCAGTTTACTCGTACAACTCCTGTTTGTAATCGACCGTGACGCTCACTTAGTGTAAAATTTCTTGAAAAACAAAGACAGTATAAATAAAATTTCTCTTAACTTTGCGTATGAATAATAGCAAAAATTTGTTTAATCTTTAACTACTATTGGTGAAATTAGAAATTATGAAACAAGATACAAGTGAAAAATGTTTGAAGAAGGAGAAGGGACTAAGTTTAACATTGGGATATGTTCCTTGATATTCTGTGTCAAACCTAGCTGCCACACAATACAGACTGTTATGAAGAGCTTTAACCTTGAACATACGGCTATCATTAAAACTGTCACCTCTCTTGAGTACAAAATAAAAATCTACATCTTTTCTGGTTTTATGAGTTATAGGCAGAAGCTGGCTGGTGGGGTCATGGTATCGTTCGGCATCATACTGAAGAGTGCAGACATTGGTGTGGGAGAAAAGTCCTTTTTGTTTGTTTCACTTATAGGTTTACACAATGTATGTTTGTGTTGAATAACTTAATTTATGTGCACATAATTGAAAAAAGTGATTAAGACTTGCATTACAGACCTACACTGTAACATATACACCTATTGTACATACATTTGTTCCTGACACAGCTTCAAGAAAGTGTCTTGCAATCCACTCTTTTCCTGCAGTTCTATCTGGAAATGTTGTCCAGGAAGGGATTCAAACACTGGCAAGAAAGACCTAATTGAGATTTGACAATAACTACAGGCCTCTCTTAAGCAATTCCAAAATACTAGCAGTCTTCTTTCATGGGTCTTCGTTAGCTCCATTGCCTCCATACATACATACATACATACATACATACATACATACATACATACATACATACATACATACATACATACATACACGGATGTAGTATAACTATATTTATATCATTTGTATCAATACTAGACAACAACTAAAATCAACATATGATGATAACTGCATTATGCTGGGAATCAACGTATGATGATAACTGCTTTTAAAAGAGTTAAGACCTCATTAATATTATCTTTGTTATACCCTTTCATTCATTTGCATACTTCAAATCATGTCGTCTCCATACTCTTTGTCTTTCTAAAAAAATGTTTTTGGGTTAGCCGAGTGGCTTCCTCAAGCTAGCTCACTGAGATGCAGACACAAATCACAATACTGTAGCATGATACATCAAATGAACAAATCCACAAGGGCCATGATGAGGGTTCGAACCTACGTCTGAGGAAATCCCAGACGTGCCTTAGTCGACTGTGCCACAACATGGTCAAAAGAATTGACCAGTTTCATAAATAATTTTGTTTACTACATACCTGTACCTGTATTTCTGCCTATGTAATTATATCCTTTCTGAAAATAATCTTTTCACATGCTTTGTATTCTAGTTCATTATCCATTTTCTGGCCTCAATCATTAATTTTAAATTCATAAAATTCACTTCTTTATATCAACTGCTTTTACCATTTTATTGTTCCACTAAATAGTTATTATTATTATTCTGGCAGTTTGTACCACTCCACACACTTTAAACAATCCTTGAATACATCCCTAATGTCACTAGGGATTACTTTGTTAATACAGTAGTGTCCTCCTCCAAGATCACTGTCAACTCTTCTTGTGTACAGTACTCATCTACCAGCTTCTGCTATCTTTATTCCTTAACATTTAAGCTTTCACATCTTAGATCCTTGTGATGTACAATCACCCTTTACCCCACAATCTTATCCTTCTCACAGCAATATTTATTCAGACAAACCTCCAAATATTATGTAAATATAGGAACAAGTCAATCCCAAAAATTATACCTGCGGGAGCCAAAGTTATCATCTCCATAGGTGCTGGTTCTTTCCATGTGGCGATAGTGAGTGTTGGGGTTAAGGTGGTGGCTATAGTATGGTGCAGAACTTTGGAAGATCCCAGTTTTCTTTACAGCTCTGTATGCAATTTCAGAGAGACGGCTCATCACATTCTCATCTTTCCTGAGGAAGGAGTCAAGCTGTAGCATTTTTGATTCATAAAAATGTTTGAATGAAAATATAAAATGGACATAGGTCTTATTAAGAACACAACACCTATACGACGTCTAGTTATATGTATGAATTTATTAAATTTTAACATATTTATAGCAAATTTTTTTTATATAAACAAATTAGAATGAACTAGTATGTTAATTCAGGCTGTTGCTCACAATAAGGCAATGTTTAGAATATTTACCTGGTATGTGATTTTTAATTATCATAATAAACTAAAAATAATATACCAGAAGATCCATTTGAACGCACATTTAAAACTGGAAGACAAACTCAAAGGCAAACCTATATAACCATAAGAATGGTAAATATATTTCTGAAAATGACGTTATTAACTGTATTACTAACTCTTCTAGTATTTTGTTTATGGTTCCCTTAACCACAAAAGTTGGTACTCCAATCGCACTGATTTTGAAAGCTATTTGTAGATATATGAATTATATATGGTTCCTATAATTCAGCAAATAATTACAGCTGAATACACATAATATTCTTTATATCTGTTGATAATATTGTCCATTTAAGTTTCAACTCTGTTGTTGTTGGCTCGTTTTGATGTAGAATATTGTTGGACTAATAGTTTTCTGCATGTAACTATAGATATTTAAATAAATAACTTAATAGTGATTCAAAATTTGGTTGACTTCTTAAACAGCCAACAGTATCAACAAAACAGATGGTGCGGGGTCTCTTTATCCCTTACTTTGGTAAATTCATTTTAATGTCACTGAGAAAATGTGGTTTAATGATTATCCTTTACATTGCAAACTTTTCTTTCATAGAAGATATAATGACGATACCTGTATTCAATTTGACTTACTGTTTATTGATGCGAGCCATATCAACAGCAACATATTGGATGTGGTGTTGTGGGGAAAGAGTAATGTTTAGTTGATCAATGAGATGACAATACTCAGTGTTGAGTATGGATTCATGGGGCCGCCGCTCACGTCTCTTCACAAGATTTAGGATAACAATGGGTGATCCAAATCTCCTGAGTAGTTCATTGAAATGTTTCCCTGTTGAAAATGAAAATACAGTATATACTGTGTCACAAATTATTACTGTATATGTAGTCAATAGGCAAAATGCTCAATTGAAAATAATTTTGAGTTTAAAAGTTTTACGTACTGTAATAAGTTTTATTTTCATTAAAATCTGCAGGTTGACATCTACTTCACTCTTAAGTGGTTTTTGCTATATGCAACATGGCCCTTGCTGCTTTTGTGAAGTAATTTTTAGTTTTTGAATTTCATTGCCTTATTGACATTTCCACCTCTAGTGCTAATTTTTCAACTTCTTCACTTGTTTCACATGTCCAAAATCTCTTAATTGACTTTCAATCTATGCTCTATGCAATTGAAACAGTTAAGATATTGTACTGGATTTAAAGCAAGACTCTGCAAATGTCACTTATTTCACAGTTCACAATGTCAACTTTTATTCTCCATTTATTTCTCAATGTGAAATTTTACATTAGGCATAAGTTCCACGGCACTACGAGACATACATTTAGGAATTATTAATAAATTGCTCACTCAGTGCTAATTGGTTCATACACGGTTAAGACAAGCCTATTTGAATGACAGCAACAGCTCTCCTACTCTACTTACACTTGTATAATCTAGTGGCTGATAGTCCACTCAACTGGCAGTACTGTATTGCAAAGAACAAAGAATTTACATCTTTACTGTGACTGCCCTACTACTGCTCTGCTTTTGGATGATGATAAAACCTTGACAATCAGAATAAGTGGTCAAAACATTTAAGCTACTGTATCTTTTTTTTTACTTGCATTTGCTACTGTACTGGCACAATTGATAATTAGTCAGAAACAAGCTGATTGCAGATCCATCCAAGACTGACTTATCAAGATTCTAATGTGCTGTATTTCAACACTCACCTGCAGTTTCTGCATATGGATCCATTACATCAAAAGTAATGGGCGGCTTTGGAACCATCTTGCTCACATCTTGAGACCAGTGTGAAGGAATAGAGCCTCGAATCTATAAAAATCAAGTACAGTATTGTCATACATCTTCATTCATTTATTCATTCATTCATACATATACATCACTAAGAACTCTTTTAACCTGACCAGGATTCGAACCCGTGCCGCCTGAGATCACCCCTAGGCGTACAGGGTACTGTAACTGTAGTGATTACTACAGTTACCATACTACAGTTAGTTACTACAGTTACCATACTACAGTTAGTTACTACAGTTACCATACACTTAAAGTACAACTGAGTTATACTATATGTGTATGGTGCTAGAACTTATCCCTGTGGTACTCCACCAGTAACATTTCTCCAGTTAGATACATTATCTCTGATTACTGTCCTCATTTTTCTGTCATTTAGACAACTTTTCGGCCATGTCAGAAGTCTTCCTGTCACCCCTCCAGAATGTTCCAGCTTCCTTAACAACCTCTTGTGTGAGACTGTCAAAATCCATTTTCAGCTCTAGATAAATGCAGCCAACCCAACCATCTATTTCCTTTAACATCTCTGCAGCTCTATCATAAAACCCAAGTAGATTTGCTACACAGGATCTTCCTGTTTGCAAGTCATATTGTCTATCTGTTATTATATCATTCCTCTCCAGGTGCTCCACCTATTTAGTTGCAATTATTATTTTAATGTTTTGACTACTACATTCGGTAACGATACAGATCTGTAACTAAGAGGGTCCTCTCTGTTAGCATTTTTGTAGAGTGGAACTATGTTTGCTTTTTCCCATATCCAGTATCTGCCAAGACTCCCATACACAAAGACACCTGAAAAATTAATTGAAGTGGAGTGCTCAACTCTGAGAACCCAAGGTGAAACTCCATCTGGGCAAACTGCTTTGTCTCTACTTAGCTCCTTGAGCATTTTGTCCACTGTCTTGAGATACCTCTATGTACACTATGTACATATAGTGTGTGTGTGTGTATTATATATACAGTACATGTCATATGTGTGTGTATTATATATACATTACATATCATATTAACAAACCTGTACAAATGAAGTAAATCTGCCCAGATGGAGGGATGCTACATGGGCATCAAACACCAGCTGCTCCGTCTCAACTTCATTTGCTACATCACCCTGAGAACCAACACAGATCATCTTATTAATAAACATATAATATTAAAAATATAATGATTACATATAGATGTTTTGTCATCTCAATAAATACATGGTTAATAAAAGGTAAAAAGTCCTTTAAAAAAGGCAAACTGGATAATCTTTAACTTTCAAATTAATAAATTTCAAACAGTATTTTCACAAAGGAGATGGCAGTGTGATTTTCTAATTTGGTTTCAGCTAGTTTTCAAAATACAGTAAACTATAACACCAACAACTGAGTATAAAAGCCAACCTAGTCAACAAATATCCATCCACATGAGAGAGAGAGATATACTTTCCATCTCACTCTGTGGTTATGACTCCACACACAAAACAAGGCAGCTGCTCTAAAAACATTATACAGTACTGTATATATAATTGTATCAATGAATTGCATCCAACTATCTTTCTAATTCTATTATAATATCATAACAGATAGGAATTAAGAGGGTACAGTTAGAATTTAATTAACATACCACACGCTAGGTGTGGCAGTGAGCAATAAGCAGCGATATGTTCATTGTAAAGTTCTGAGGTTGTCTATTTTGGCCACCTGAATCTAGGTTTTTTAAAGAGCCATGGCCAGAATCAGTGAGACACACTGATTTCTAATTGGCCTGTGAGCTACCAAGATCCCGTGGAGTCTGGCACTGAATGGTGTTGTGTGTGGAACATGTGGCTCACAGTCATGGGATTGACTGAGAAGCCTGAACTCAGGAAATATCTTTAAATTAAAATATGTTTTCTTACCTCAAAGTTGGCCCCTCGTTTAAGGAACCTTGTGCCTGCATAACGACAAGATCTTCGTGCAATCAGAGTCAAAAAGAAAGATCGTCCATACACGGATATGTTGCTCTGCAAAGAAATCGTTAAATAATTAAAGAGAGATAAATAAAAAGTAAGAGTGCAACTACTAGAATAAATCATATTGGAGGTGGTCATGATTGACTGATGAAACTTTGAAAAATATTTTGCAACTTTAGCATGAATGTGGCAGGTTAATGAACTGCACAAAATTGAATATACATTTGAATACCTTGACATAAATCCAAATATAATTATACAGTACTTTCTTACTCTTAGCCCATTTTGATTAAATAAAGCCACATTATAAGAATACAAACGTTTACTAGAGTAACTCTTTACCTGTGCAACAAAGCCATGGGTAATGGGTAAAATCCAAGCTGGATGTAAGCAATTTTCAACTGGCTTTAAGAGGTACGAGTTCCATACGTATTTGTTGTTGGGTTTATTACGTATTCCATACGAGATAAAAGGCTGTTTCTTGTTTCTTTTATATGAAGGTGAGGTTTTACACCGACTGTCAGATGCATCTGTAGTAACTTCAGGGCCACTGCTATTCACTTCTTTATTTGACAGCGAGCTGGAAACAAAATATATTCTTTGTGCTGTGTACAGCTAATTTGTGAGTACTGGTATACGTATATTATTCTGCCACTCCCTTGGTAGTAATGAGATGACAAATACATGGTACTGGGAGATGACAGACTAAAAATAAAAGTAAAAATTCAAGTCATAATTTACATAATCCTTCATAGCACAAAAATGAGCTATTGGGATACTACATAATATAAAAACCTATTTACCTTGTCACTTTGCCAGCCTCCTCATTTGAATCCTTAGAGTTTACAGACAAATTCAAAAAGTCTTCTGCTTTTTCTGTTTCACCCACTGAAAGATAAATTACTATACTCCATATTTTATCATTGCAATACAAACTTAATATTGGATTATAAATTATAATACTAGATTAGGTATTATAATAATGAATTAAAACTTATAAAAAACCAGCGTTGAATGTAATGAAACGCCATTTTCTGGGTGAGCCCCGGAGGCTCCCTGGAGCTTATCGGGCTAATGTGTGTTATGTTAGACCGGGACATTAGCTATGGAGTTCAGACCTACCAGGGACCAGCGCCAGAACCTGGCCCCTTCAGAGAGGTTTCAGGGAGCAATGGCCCTGGAAAACCCCATATGGTTGGGGGTTTTCCTTATCTGCCATCGACCGGGGTTAGGCACCCAGAAAGGTAGGCGTAACAAAACAAACCCCACATGGTAAAAAACTACAACAAAAACCGAACAGAGAGGTAGAAAACTCCCTACAATCCCAAGGAAAACAATCAAACAATCAATTTACTGCCGCGCCGGTCGTCCGCGCAGCCCTCCCCTCCCCGGGAGGGGGAGGGGGGGGCCCCGGACCTCACCGCGCCGGCTGCCGTCAGTTCGGAAACTAGGCTTCAACCAACGCGAAAAATCCCGCCGACCGGATGGGAGGGAGGGTAACCAGGGAGCCTCCGGGGCTCACCCAGAAAATGGCGTTTCATTACATTCAACACTGGTTTTCTGGGGGGAGCCCCTACGGCTCCCTGGAGCTACATACCCAGAGAAGGAAAAATGGGACTTACCCGGGAGGCGGAGGCCACAAACTCCTCAACTCGAAGTCGAGACAACGGGCTGCAACCTGCGACCCAAAGCAACACAAGAACGACGAGGAGCAGGGACATTCACCAAATAACGGGCGGCCAGGACCCTGTTCGACTTCCAAAATCCATGCACCCGAATATGAGCCCAAGACATATTACCAAACACGGCAGCCAAAGCCGCAAACTTCCTAACGTCATGGGCGCGAGGATAGACCGCAGGCTGGCTAGATTTAATAACCCTGCGGACAACCTGGGAGACCCGAGCCCTGGAACAGGGAACGAGGGAAACCGGATCAACCCAAAGCGCATCCCCAGCCACTCCGGCCGAAGCGCGCAGGTAACGGCGAAGTGCAGCAACAGGACACAACACATGATGCACCCCCGGCCGAACCAACCAAGCATCAATGACCCACGGACCCCTCCAGAAAGCAGCCGTCTCGTTCTTTGCCAGAAAGGACGGAGAAGGCTGCAAACGGACAAACCTACCCCCAGGACCAAAAGAGCAGAAACCCCTGCGCCGGAGGAGAGCATGAAGCTCCCCTACCCGGCCCCCAGAGGCCAATGCCAACAAAAACAAAGCCTTGGAAAAACAATCAGGAACCGAAGGGGCCACCACAAACCGAGGAGAGGAAAGATAGGAGAGCACCCTGTCCAAGGACCAGGACGGCTCAGGCGGCGCATGAGCAGGCCGGAGGTGAAACATAGCACGGGAAAGCTTACGAAACGGGGCGGATGTGACGTCCACCCCGAAAGCGAGCTGGAGCGGCTCCGCCAGCGCCGCACGATACGAGGCGACAGTATTAGGCATCAAATGACGGTCCTGAAAAAGCCAAGTAAGGAAGGACAAAACAACCCGATCCGAGAGAAAAGACAACCTACGAAGAGCCAGAAAATGGCGAAAGGAACGCCAGGAAACTTCATACTGTCGCCTAGACGAAGCTCTCAGGTGGGACACCATCAAAGAAGCCACCTGATCACCATAGAAATGGTGATACACCCGCGTCAAAAAGACCAGACGCGAAGAGCAGAGAAGGTCGAACCAGCCCCGTACCGGATCGGGCCGACCTGCTGAAAGAGGCGGAGCCGCGGGAAACGTCCCGGGTTCGGGCACCGAGCCAGAAGCACCGGAAACCAAGGCTGGGCCGGCCACCAAGGGGCCACGAGGACTACTCTCCCCGGGAATGTCTCTAACCAAACCAGAACCCGAAGCAACAGCTGGACCGGAGGAAAAAGGTACAGGTAACCCCACCTCGACCAGTCCTGCCGAAAAGCATCCACCGCGAACGCCTCGCAGTCGGGGAAGGGCGTCACATATAGAGGGAGACGCCGGGACCACGCCGACGCGAAGAGGTCCACATCTGGGAGACCGTACGTCTGGCAGATCCAACGAAACGAGTCGTCGTCGACCGTCCATTCCGTAGACAGGGGAAGGAAGCGAGACAGACCGTCCGCCAGAACGTTGGACACTCCCCGGACGTGAACCGCACGGAGAGCCAAACCCCGAGAATCCAGCAGACGAACCACTCGAAGGGACCAACCCCAAAGAGCCAAGGACCGAAGAGAACCCCCGCGGTTCAGGCAATGAACCACCGGAGAACAGTCCGAATGGAGGCGAATGGTCGATCCCCGAGCGACCCGAACCCTCCGAAGCGCGAACCAGACAGCCGCGAACTCCCGAACCGTGCTGTGAGCCCGATGGAAGGACGGACCCCACCGTCCCTGGCCTGCCTGGTGAGCACTGGTCACAAAGCCCCAGCCGAGAGACGACGCGTCCGTGAACACATCGAGCGAGGGCTCGGGAAGGCGCCAAGGCACCGAACCCCGAAAAATCCGAAGAGGAAGACGGTGACGCAGCAACCGACATAAGACCCCCGGAGGGCGAACCCAACGATCGCGAGAGAGGCGGAAAGGACGTCCCCGAAGGAACCAAAACAGACGCCGAAGCCAAACCCGACCCGGCGGGTAGACTAGCATGGCGAAGTTCAGACTCCCGCACAACCGCTCGAGCAACCGCCGAGTGACCCGGGACCCTCGCAGAAACAGCAACGGCGGTCCCGCAGCCGCCGCAACGCCACCGGAGGTAGAGACAAGGAAGCGGTCCGAGAATCCCAAACAAGACCCAGCCAGGTCCGAACCTGGGACGGAACCAGATGGGACTTCCTCCAGTTCACCAGGAACCCGAACCTGGCGAGCTGGGAAAGAACCAAATCCCTGGCGAGCAGACAAGCTGACCGACTGGGAGCCCACACCAGCCAGTCGTCGAGGTAGGCCAAAACCCGAATCCCAAGAAGACGCAGACGGGTCACCACAACTCGGGTCAGACGCGTGAAAACGCGAGGTGCCAGATTCAGGCCAAAAGGTAGGCAACGAAAACGGTAAGCGTGACGCCCTACCACGAAGCCTAACCAGTCCCTGAACCCCGGATGAATAGGAACGTGCCAATACGCGTCCTTTAGGTCCAGGGACACCATCCAGGCACCCGGCTCCAACAGAAGCCGGACCTGAGACAGAGTAGTCATCCGAAAGGAGGGGCAAGGAATCCAGGGGTTCAGACGGGACAAGTCCAGAATGAACCTCAGATCCGCACAGTCCCGTTTCGGCACTGGAAACAGGCGGGAAACCCACCTAAGGGACGTAGTCGGTTCGACCACGCCCAAGCGCACCCACTCCAAGATGACTTGACGAAGCGCAGGAGAAGAGACCTGCCCTGTTAGCCCCGAACCCCCCAAAGGAGGACGAGTCGCCCAACGCCACCGCAGGCCGGATGACACGACCGAAAAGGCCCACAAATCGTGGGACCAAGCGTGGGCAAACAGAGCGAGCCTCCCCCCCATCGCCCCGTCAACGGGGCAAACTGCGAAAGGGCCGACGCCCCGCACGAGAACCCAACCGTCGAACAGGGCGAACACTGCGCCGCCCAGACGACGCTGGCCCCAAAGGGAACAACGGCTCAGAAACCGGCACCAAAGGCCCACCTCGACCAGCGGAAACCGAAACCCTGGCACGACCCCTCCGAAACTGCCGAGAACGACTGCTCCGGAGAATCAACAAGTCCGCCATAGGACGACAACTAGCCGAAGCCGCATGCAGAAACTGGGACACCGCAGACTCTGCAAACAGCAACGGACAAAAAGGAGACGAAAACCTAAGAGCCAGGGCCCAAGCGAAATCCAAAGAGAGGGCGAGCACAGCCTGACGGCACGCGAGGCGAGAAGCAAAAAACAGAGACACCGCTTCCTTCAGGATGGGCGCAAAGAGCTTCAACAGTGCAGCCGACGCCCTAGCTGCCGAAGAAAGCGCCCCGGACGAAGGCCCTTCAGCCAACGCTCCCACATCCTCCTCGAGCCAAGCAGAAGAGAGCTCGAGAAGGGAAAAGAAACGCAAGACCGAAGCCAAATGCCCACGGGAGCGCAACTCCTCCGCAACCAATGAAGCCGAAAGCTGAGGAACCTGCACGTGAAGCTGGAAAAGGCCAACATCCCGAGAAAGCACAGGAGCGAATAAGCAAGCATTAAGGTGCTCAAACTCGCCCCCCAGGTAAACCTGCATAAAAGTAGCAGTCTCGCGCCAATCAAGCGTGCGGGTCCGACAGAACCCATGCCACGCCCCCAACGAAAAGAAAGGGCAGTCTGCTAGCCAGGAAGACCCCGGAACCTTCAAACGTACCCAAAAACGGGAAGAAGAACCGAACTCAAACGAGGACGGATCCATTGGGGAGGCATAACCCGGGTCTCGCAAGAGGTATGCAGCAAGAGCTTCCCGAGCCACCTTCGCGGAGAGACGGGAAGTAGCAAACCCCTGTAAAGACGGAGCCGAGGTACCCAAAGGCGCCCGGAACCGAACACGGGGAGGAGCCGAACCCAAATCATACTCATACAGGGAGGGAGGATAAGAAAACCCCTCCCCCTGCAACAATAAACCCCGTGGGGAAGGCAAAAGCACCCAAGCGGGGTCACAGGGGGCCCAAGGCCCCCAGGCCGACTCCTCCCCAGCCCCAGGATCCCTTACGTCGGGACCCGGGGCAGAGCCGTCCTCCAAACCCTCTACCCCTGAAGAAAAGGTAGAGTCCAAGGGAAAGGCAGACAAGGGGGCCTGCTGGTGGGACCCAGAAGCCTCGGCAGGAGGAACCGGCTCAAATGCCTCCGTCCCCGACCCGGATGGGGCAGCCCCCGAAGCAGCCCGAGTCTCACCACCAACTAAATCGTGTGCCAAGGCCGAAAGCCGCATACGTTTCGGAGCCGGACACAGGGGGGGTGGTGCAGGAAGAACCACAGGGGAAGGACCAGAGGGCGTAGGAGTCAAAGCCATAGCAATCAACGCCCCCAGGTCAGGGTCCCTAAAGCAAAAACGGGGCAGCCTCGGGGCATCCAGGCGGGAAACCGACCTAGCGCGTTGCAATAACCTAAATCTAACATGCAACGCTGATGCTGCCTGTACTCTAATAGGAACATCCTCAGAGTAAAACCTGAGCACAAGCAGAGAACAGGACTCGCAAGACTCCGGGTCAAAGGTGTCATTGACCCAACAGGCAGCATGACGGAGGCAAAACAGGTGACTGTCACCCTGAGACAAGGGCACACTGCAACCTTCAAACCCGCACAAGGCAGGCTGGAACTCGGGAGACGCCTCCATGGGTCCCCGAGCCCCGACAGGGGTTTCCAGGGCCCGTAGGTTAGCAACTACGGGAAGCCCGGGCAAGGTGTTGCTAACCGGTTAAGAAACCCAAACAAAACACGGGTAAATGATAATACTGAAAACCCCTGGGACGTGTACAAGCACGGGGGCCTAGCAGAGGACCACCAAAACAATACCAGGGGAACAATGGGCCCACGAGGCAGCACCTCCACCAGGCAACCAAAAACAAAACAAAAGAAAAGCCCCGCAAAAGTACACCGTCCCCAGAGCAACAGGAACCGGTCGCCGCTTAGGTGGCAGGCCGCGCAACACCTTGACGCCCTAACCAGCACAAAACCACTCCCTACCCAAGGCCAAACAAGGGCCCCAAGCCCCAGCTGGCCCCAAGGGCGAGGCAAATGCCGAGCAGCAAAAACCTCTACGGGAGCGGTTCCCGAACGCCCCAGAGAAGATAACCCTGACACGCAAGGGCAGTACTCACAGGGCGCCTAGGGAAGGAAGCCCTAGACGCATGCAGCCCCGGCACTGATGAAGTACTCCTGGCCACCGCACACCACGACAACAGCAGAGAACGCCACACGAGGCAAACACCGCCAAGGAATTTGAGGCCAGAGAAGCGTCTATCCCGGTTGACACTAGCTTGCGAACTGACGGCAGCCGGCGCGGTGAGGTCCGGGGCCCCCCCCTCCCCCTCCCGGGGAGGGGAGGGCTGCGCGGACGACCGGCGCGGCAGTAAATTGATTGTTTGATTGTTTTCCTTGGGATTGTAGGGAGTTTTCTACCTCTCTGTTCGGTTTTTGTTGTAGTTTTTTACCATGTGGGGTTTGTTTTGTTACGCCTACCTTTCTGGGTGCCTAACCCCGGTCGATGGCAGATAAGGAAAACCCCCAACCATATGGGGTTTTCCAGGGCCATTGCTCCCTGAAACCTCTCTGAAGGGGCCAGGTTCTGGCGCTGGTCCCTGGTAGGTCTGAACTCCATAGCTAATGTCCCGGTCTAACATAACACACATTAGCCCGATAAGCTCCAGGGAGCCGTAGGGGCTCCCCCCAGAAATGAATTATAAATTATTATATTTGATTATTATACTGGATTAGAAACTATAATACTGGATTATAAATTTAATATAATTAGAAATTATAATATGGTTGGAGACTTAAAGTCAAAGACAGATTCATGCAAGACAAAAATACAGATTTGTAAGTACAGAAAATTTGAGAAGTATTATAATTATTTTAACTTTGAACACTAAAAGGTGTAGGATTGATTATATTGTACTGTAATAGTTTTAGACTAAAAGTATTTAATACTTCAGCACAATTTGAAGCCAAACCCTTGACTGCTCCACAGTTAATGCAGTGCTGGAGCCAGCACTGCACATCATTTAATACTTGTGCTTAGATCTGCATTATTTAGAAGTAAATCTGGGTTTATAGTTAATTTTCCCCTGTCTAATATATTGGGAAAACCTAGTTCACTACTCAGATCTAGTGACAATGATAAATAAATCTGTAGTAGTATATGTGAACACACACTATCAGATGATGAAATAAGTTACTAATGGTGATATAAGCCAAAGTGATGGAGAAAGCGGTGGCAGGCAAGAAGCCACTGACAATAATTTTTTTTAGTTACCACATGGAGCAAATTTGGTGATACGAGGCTACTGTAGCTGATACAATAACTCTTTTTTGGAGGTTTAAGTGATCAAAGCAGCAGATGGTAACAGTAAAAAGAACTGTATATTGTCAAAAGGAACAAATTTGGTGTTACAAGCTACAGAATCTGAAGAAAAAAGTGCTAATTTTAGTTTTAATGATCATAGGTTATGAGTGGAGGTTATGATCATAAATGTGATATGATCCATTTGAGGCTTGAAATTTTAGTTTTCTCTTACTATATTTAATGACATTTTTAATACAAAAAGCTATTCTAATTCCATATCTACCATGAAAGTATATAAAACAAAAACTAAATTAAAGTTTTGAGTGCTCTAATTTTGTTAGAGCACTCAATACACTGTGTAGGCCACTGTGTAACAAAACAGCCCTTTGTAGCCAAATGTAATTTTGCCGTTTCTTTTAGTCTGATAATTGTACAAGACTCGAAAATGCAATAAAATACATGTAACATAAACGGTGTGGGTGTATACGTATGGTTTAGCCTTGATTCAGCTGCTAGTTGCCAGGACTTGACATCAATCACTCACACATGCGGGGTGTGCTGCCTTATTATTTTTGCACAATGATGAGTTCAAAAACTTCTGAATTTCTGACCAGTTCAGAAATTCAGAAGTGGTTAGACAGTGGTTATAGAGAATGGTCATTCCTGCCTATGGGCAAAAAAAAAAATATATATATATAATTTTTCATTATAGAATTATTAGTTTGTATGTAAAATGTAAGAAAAACAGGAAAATAAATAAGTAAATATTTATCAATTTACTGGATGGAGGCACTCTGAAAGGTTGCACATTAGCTACATAGTCTGGAGTCTGTCAACACATGATATCTTGAGGTTATCTTGAGATGATTTCGGGGCTTTTAGTGTCCCCGCGGCCCGGTCCTCGACCAGGCCTCCACCCCTCAGGAAGCAGCCAGTGACAGCTGACTAACACCCAGGTACCTATTTACTGCTAGGTAACAGGGGCATAGGGTGAAAGAAACTCTGCCCATTGTTTCTCGCCAGCGCCTGGGATCGAACCCAGGACCACAGGATCACAAGTCCAGCATGCTGTCCGCTCGGCCGACCGGCTCCCATGATGCTGACACTGACATACCTGATTTACCTGAGGGGCCACTAACACTAGTGTCCTCGACGAGGACAAGAAGCCGACGGCTTCTCGAAGGTCTCTCCATTTGCCTTGATGAAATACCCTAGTATGTGAGAGAGAACTCCTGTTTTCTTCTCGGATGTTTCACAGATTGTTTACCACTTGTTTCTCTATTTACAAGAGTATGTGTGTTGAATAACTTGATAAATCACATAATTCAGATAACACATGATAACATCTTAATTGATGATTGGTGTACCTGGTATACCTCATTACAACCATACAGAGTTGTGAAAACCACATGATTATTGGTATACAGTACATATCATGTAATTATGATGAAATTTTATATAATGACAATGACTGCATTCACCTTGTAACATTCATGATGATAACCGCATTCCCATAGAAATGTAACCATGAAACGATAGCAGGATTTTCTTCATGGGTCAAGGTAAACTCCATTACATCCACAGAGAGCTATTATATCCTTATTTGCATCATACATGTAAAAACCAAATAATAATCGTTTAAATTGTCATATAACGATAACCACACTACCCTGTGAATCAACATATAATAATAACCACTGTCTAAGGATTAAAACTGTACTGCAAATGAATTCCTGAGATTATAGTATTTATTGTTAAATACCTTGAAATGTGATGAACTGTGATACGTATGCAAATCTCAGTCAACAAATCGGTTGACCAGAGATATGCAAATGCCAGTCAACATATTGGATGAACAGTAATATGCAAATGCCAGTCAACATATTGGATGAACAGTAATATGCAAATGCCAGTCAACATATTGGATGAATAGTGATGTACAAATGCCAGTCAACAAATGGGATGAAATTATCTATTCTAATATACACACAAAAAGAAACCTTACAATCAGCAGTTGGTGTCTTTAAGTGTGCCAGCACTTCCAGAGGTACATCTCGAGGTGGGGCCATGTTATACTGGAGGCTGTGTGTTAGGTCATAACTGTAACTGTAAAAGAAGGAATTATGTATATTATTTAAACTAAGTTAAATATTTTGTAAACCTACGGTGAAATTTTTAATGAATAAGTTATCCCTGTTAAGAGAATAAAGAATAGATGTCCTGAGCAAGAAAAATTTTAAATAATAAAAAACTTTTATTATTCACTTTTATTTATTATATAAAAACTATTTGTTATATAAAAACTTTTATTTATTATATAAAAACTCTAGGGACCCGGAGACTCCCTTGGAGCCTCTGGGTCTCCCCCAAGAAAAAACATTAAACATGAAAGTGTCATATGACAAAGATTATGGAGAAAATGGAACACCACACATATAGCCTTTATCCTGTAACTGCACTTGGGTAATAACACACACACACATGCAAACAAATAAAAAAAACATATAACTCAAAAAATGGCCACATGTAACTACAACTGAGCAAAATTGGTTAGCCATGTGACTAACACACAACAGTGAGTTTTTGTACAGACTCCAGTATGTAAGACTATCAGTGCTGTGGAATATACTGCACTGTATCCACGGGCCCTAAAAACATATACAGTACAGACTCCAGAATGTAAGACTATCAGTGCTGTGGAATATACTGTACTGTATCCACGGGCCCTAAAACTACATACAGTACAGACTCCAGTATGTAAGACTATCAGTGCTGTGGAATATACTGTACTGTATCCACGGGCCCTAAAAATACGTACAGTACAGACTCCAGTATGTAAGACTATCAGTGCTGTGGAATATACTGTACTGTATCCACGGGCCCTAAAACTACATACAGTACAGACTCCAGTATGTAAGACTATCAGTGCTGTGGAATATACTGTACTGTATCCACGGGCCCTAAAAATACGTACAGTACAGACTCCAGTATGTAAGACTATCAGTGCTGTGGAATATACTGTACTATATCCATGGGCTCTAAAAACACATACAGTAGATATATGATTCAAAGAGCAGAGAATTCTGTTTGCAAGGTAATTACAGTACAGTATTTATATTTTTCCTTTAACTTTGAACTCAACAGAATAATTCCACCAACCTGAAATAAAAATTGGAAGAAAGATCAATGTTCTGAAAGAGTCGCACATATTTTGGCTCGTCATCATGGTGTTTACGAACAGATTCATGAGGAATATATATCATTGTCGTGTCCTCAACCTGAAAAAAATTTACAGTATTCTCTCTTTACTAACCTCTGAGCATGATAGTTGCTAACTGCTGAAATATATTCAGTTTGTGACTTAGAGGAAGCAGTAAGACAGTCAAGTGCAACCACTCAAACTAGTTAATATGCATTGTCATAAATGTTTATGTGTATTAATTCTGAAACAATATTTTATATAACAACTTGTGTAACAAAATTAATTTAAAACAATCAAATCGAGCAGAGAGATCTCTTTAATTAATCTGTGTAAACAAATATTTTAATTTCACACAAAAAAAGACACCATACCTTATAAATGGTGTGTAAGCCTATCACGGCCACTTTTCTTCGTTTAGTCACCAAGATAATGTAATAACCCTCTAAGAACCTTACAAATCCAACAATTCCAAATGCTGACACAGTTCGGGATAGTCCAAACATCTGTCGCTGACCAGATTGTGCTCGATTTCCTTCGTTGATCATGGATAACAATTCTTTAATTTGTCTTTGGCTATATTCCACCTGTAAATTGGTGAGATATGCAAGTATAAAGCTAAGAATCTGGTCTTGAACACATTTACATAGTTATTTCTCAAAATGTTAAGGAAAACTGCTTACAGATCTATGAATAAGTAAAAGATACAGTATAGCATTCACTGGCTGGCTGTCCCCTGACACAATGAATTACAGTACAGTACTATTATTATATACCTTATGTCACCCATTAAGTAAAATACAAACATATGAGGAAATTAGTGCTTAAAGTGTTACAGCAACATAAAATCTAAAGGAAGGGCACAATAAGTTAAAATCATTAAAAAGTGCATAAATTCCTCACCTTATCATCAGTAATATTTAAAGAGTGAGGCTCTGTACGGTCAATTTTCAACACCCTGAATTTTGTTTGAGTGTTGTTGGAGCCAATCAGATACAGTCTCTGAAATACATTATACCTTAAATGTGATAATCATCTTAAATCTAATTTCTGATAATAAAAGACTAACTATACAAACACACAATCCATGATATTTTGGAGGTTACATGCAGCTGTTTTTAAGGATACATATACAGGTATCTACTGTGGTTATTGACCAGGATTGGCAACAGTAGGACTGAAATTTTGACATTGGCACCTGTCTTAATGCTTCATAAGGCCCTATGGGGTCATACAGGCTTTAAAGAGCACAGGAGATAACTACAGTATATATAACTTAAAGTGACTTCCCAGGTGAAATCATAAATAAAACTCAACCACCAACCAAACCCTCTTTGACCTCCACAAGTGACTGTCAATGATCAGTTAGGCCACCAGTCTGCCTACTCCCCACTACCACTATATAGCACAACTACACACACAAAACAAATGTATCTGACTCCAGCCAAAATTTTTTATTAAAATATATTATGATTTTAGGCGCTAGGCCAGGTGTTGAAACCTGTTAGTTATTCAGTACTGTGCCTAACTAATTAATAAGGAATTGAGGGTGAAATGCCCCCTTTTTTTGGCTCCATCCCAGTAGCGTCCTTGAACTTAAGCACTAGCCATTACTGGTGAGACTAGTCAGTGCCACATACCCTTAACGACTTTCATTCCCCCTACCCACCCTACAGGGCGTGGAACACAAAAGGATCGAACATCAACTCAATACTGAGGAAACCTGCCTAAATGCAAAGGAAGGAGCACACAAGATGCCTGAACTCACACAAAGAAATGTTTTGTAAAAGTGTCGATCTATAAAACAAACACTCTCTGACACCTACTAAACAAGCAGGCCACCCTTGGTCCAGATGACAAGCCTGAAAAACAGAATCCTCCTGAGGAGCCACTACATAATGAGTGGGGAAGGAAGAGAAAAGGAAAATGCCCCAACACTTTGATAAGGTACCATGCCCACTATAGAGCAGGAGCTGATCCAATAGGAAGAAAAAATCCATACAAGAAGCACAACCAGTCGACAGGAAGGACCAAAGGCAATATCAACCAGAGAGGTTCCTCCTAAACTGAGTGAGGAAAGGTGTCACTGCTCAGCGAGAAAGAACTTACTGTATCCCCAAGTTGTCTGGCCAGCAAAGGCACAAGACAGCATCACAGAAATAGCCCTAAACTCAAGCAATGTGGGGAAAACAATAGCTAAAACCAATATTGGAAAACAACAGAGAGCCACTACAAACACCTAGACTGAACTTCCACAAACAACAAATCCACCAAGGGCCAGATTTACGAAGCAGTTATGCAAGTACTTACGAATGTGTACATCTTTCCTCAATCTTTGATGGCTTTGGTTACATTTATTAAACCGTTTACAAGGATGAAAATTTCCCAATAAACTGTTGTTATTGTTATAAACAGCCTCCTGGTGCTTCAGAGCTCATTAACTCTTTAATAATTGTAAACAAAGCTGCCAAAGTTTGAGAAAAGATGTACAGGTTTGTAAGTACTTGCATAACTGCTCGTGAAACTTATTCAGGAATAAGAAAACTTATTCTAACTTATTTAGGAAGAATTTAGGAGAGAATAGCCATGAGAACTGTTGAGAGGGCATGAAGGAAAAATGCAGAGAAAGCAAACTTCAAAGGTTCCAGAATTGAGGCACACCACAAAGGTACATCCCATTCCTTTCTCCTAGCAAAACTTCAAGCAGCAAAGTCTGATTCTGAGCTGAGCTTTGCTCACAGCACCAGGAAATAGGGCCCTGAAACTCATAATTAGCACAACCTCTGCACACAACTTATGGTCAGAGGAAATGCTGTTCATATATCTTCAAGTCACAAGTCTCTGTGAATACTGGAGATGTTGATTGACCTATCACCAGGCAGAGTGAGATGGGCTCATTACCTCGACCACAGAAATACCAGCCTGCGACTTGGTGGCTGATTAAGCAGGTTAATAGGTTAGTTGCTAAGTAGTTATCAGTCTATTTCGGTAGTTAAGCGCGGTCCAAATATTTCTCAAGAGGAAGTTTGAGTCTTGTAGCCTCCTTACATTACATTTTTAATGGCAATTTTTTAATTTGCCACTTTTAATGGCAATTTTTAAATTGCCATAAATTCCATTTATGGCAGTTTACCTCAGAATTGAGGTGATCTTTGATCATCATGTGCTTCCCACCTTGTAAAGGAGGCAATAAATAATTGCAATTGCCCTTGTTCCTGGAAGACAATGAGAGTATCAGGGGTGCCTGGTGTTGGCTAGTCTGACCAGTAATGGCCTTAAGCACACGGATGCTACTGACAAGGTAGCACAGAAAAAACTTACCCTAGCATGAAACAACACTGAAGTTCTAGATATTTAATCTAAATACAATACTCACCGACTTTGTCTCATATAATGCCATTTTCTGTAGTCCATTTATGATTGGGAAAAACTGGATATTGTTTTCGTACTCCATTTTGTTCTCTCTCACCATTTCTGAAGAGTTAAATGCTCATGATACTATAAACTCATGATACTATAAACCACATACTCATTGACTGATTGATTGGATTTATACATCAGATCATCATTTATTTATACATATATAATTATTTTGACATTAATATATTTTACCATACCTTGCAATATATTTTACTTTGTGATACTACCTATATTACCTTGTGAGTAATATATTTTACTAACCTTCAACCTGCAATGCCATTTAACAGATTTGAAAAGTATTAATTTGATTTTTATACCTTGCTGAGAATGCTGTCTTGATTTTCCATAATTGGGGACGGGAAGCCTATTAGGTTTATCAACGTCCTCCCCTAGGTCAACTCTGAAAGTACTCACCTAATTGTGTTTGTGGGGGTAGAGCTTTAGATCTTTGGTACCACCTCTCAATTGTCAATCAACTGGTGTACAGGTTCCTGAGCCTATTGGGCTCTATCATATCTATATTTGAAACTGTGTATGGAGTCTGCCTCCACCACATTACTGCCTAATGCATTCCATTTGTTTACTACCTTGACAATAAAAAATTCTTTCTAATGTTTCTGTGGCATATTTGGGTACAGTTCTTTGTTTCTACAGTTCCCTTGTTCATGTTCCACCCATGCTAAATTGTGTTTGACATTGGTAGCATGGGTTTGGCTAAGTGTTTCCTCAACTGTGAGTTTGGTGTATAAATTTCTGGTGTGCCCCCCACTTGGATTATTGCATCCAAGCATGGAAACCTCATCTTCAGAAAGACATAGTTGCATTAGAAAAAGTTCAACACTGGGCAGCAAAATTTATTTATTTATTTATTTATTTATATACCTGTATACAAGAGTTCTTACATTCTTGTACAGCCACTAGCATGCATAGCATTTCTGGCAAGTCCTTAATCCTAATTTTCTCTGGAATACGATCTGCCATATCGTTTAACCACCAGGTACCCATTTTACTGTTGGATCAACAGAGGATTCAGTTAAGGATTGGTGCCCAATAAATCCTCCGCAGCCAGGATACGAACCAGGCCAAAGCGCTCGCAAAACGCCAGGTGAGTATCTTACCACTTCGCTACGGGGACTGCAAATCATTCCAGAATTAAGTCATCTCCCATACCAGGAATGGTTGAGGGCCACATGGCTAACACCACAAACTAGGCATGACAGGGCTGATTTCATTGAAACTTTTAAAATACTGAACTATTTGGACGATGTTGATCAAGACAATTTCTTCAAAAGGTCAGATGTAACACAAACAAGAAGCAACAACTTCGAACTCAACGAGCCACAATGTAGGACTGAAAACAGCCTCCATGTACATTACTCCATAAGGTAATAGTCTATGCCTGTCATCCTTATGTATCACCTTTTTTTTGTATTAATTGTTATTTTCCTTGAACGTTCTCATTTTGTCAGCTTAATTCTCTTTTAGTATGAAGTGTTTTATCCCCTCACACCTTTAGTCAAATTGTTTTCTATATTAAGTTTTGCCCGAAACGCTTTGCATTATAGTGGCTTCATTAGTATTTGTAACTCATGCCCCTACAATTGTACTCACCTCTTTGTGCCATCAGGATCAAACATGGACTCTTGGATCCTGCATATAGAGTACATTACTCTTATGTTCTTTGTACACACATTCTTTAGAATAAGAATTATTATTGTTATTATTACATTATAATAATAATAATAATAATAAAAATAATAATAATAATAATGATATTCAGGGTCCCGGTAGTACAGTCGGGTTCGTTCAGACTCACAACTGAGAATTTCGGGTTCGAATCCCGGGTGGATCAGAAATGGTTGGGCGTATTTCCTATCACCTAATGCACCTGTTCACCTAGCAGTAAGTACATACTCAAGAGTTATGTGGGGTTGCATCCTGGGGAGGGTCAGTAATTTGACCCTTGGGGGGGGGGGGGAGATTTCGATATAAGCTTAACATGTACTGTACATATAAACTGGCTGCCTGTCCCCCTGACACAATGGATTATCAATATAATTAATTGCTGGGGTACAGGCAGCCAGTATATATTTAAGTAACTTTATAAACTATATATATTTTTACCTAAACTTACCATGCAACAGATCATAATTTATTTACACTACTCAACCAACAATGACATTAGCGGCATGAGAGAGGCAATACCTAGAGAAGGAACTATTCATTACAGGAAGGAGGAGGCCAGACGGGTCGACACCTTCCCTACTCACCGTGACGTCATCACAACATACCAGAATTCATTTTTGATAAAACTTTTTAAGATTCCGTATGAATTAAAATTAATTAAAAAATCATTATAATTCACTGTACACAGCTTAGAAAATTATTAAATATTAGAATAAATTTATATATTTGTATTTTGTATTTACACATTTTTTTTTTCTGGCAAGCCTGAAAGCTAAGGGCATTTATATTTATATATTTATTTATTTATTTATTTATTTATTTATGTACAAGAAGGTACATTGGGCTTATGAGAGTACATAACATTGATGTTTTACATTCTTGTAATGCCACTAGCACGCATAGTGTTTCGGGTAGATTATAAATATATTTATAATAATAATAATAATAATAATAATTTTTATTTAGGCAAAGGTACATACATAAAGAGATTTTACAAAGTTTGTTGGCTTTATAATAAGAGCTAGTACATACAATGCCTAAAGCCACTATTACGCAAAGCGTTTCGGGCAGGAAAAAACACTACTGACTAAAGCTTAAAACTAATGGGTAAAAAGAAAAAAATGCGTTGAGTACAAATAAAAATAGAGGTAAAAGAGGGGGGAACATTGTTGAAAAACAGCACAAATACAATTACAAATTATTACAGAAAATTACATTAAAACAGCGTTGATTTGAAAAACAAAAAAAAAACAAAAAACATACATGGGTTGACAATAGAGAGGTAAGGTAGGTTACAGGGAATTTATTAGGTATAGCTTCGTTTTTAACTTAAACTGGTTGAGAGAGGTACTGTCTTTAACATGGTTGGGAAGGTCATTCCACATTCTGGGCCCCTTGATTTGTAGAGCATTTCTGGTTTGATTAAGTCGTACTCTAGGAATATCAAAACTGTATTTATTTCTGGTGTGGTGCTCATGGGTTCTGTTACAACCTTCTATGAAGCTTTTGAGATCAGGATTGGCATTATATTTATAATTCAGTGTTCGTGTATCCTATGTTTGTATGTATTTTTGCCTAAATAAATATATTATTATTATTATTATTATTATTATTATTATTATTATTATTATTATTATTATTATTATTATTATTATTATTAACCATGTTCACTACAAACTACATTAATCACTGTAACTATCTTCACTACACATATATAGCTGATCATTGAAACGTTCAAAATTCTGAACAATTTGGAGGATGTTGATCCGGACAACTTCTCCAAAAGGTCAGATGTAACACAAAGAAGGAGCGACGGTTTCAAGCTCAACAAGGCACACTGTAGGACTGATAACATGAGATGCTTTTTCACCCACAGGGTTATTAACCCATGGAACCGCCTACCCGCCCAAGCTGTAAATGCTAAAACTCTGCTGAGCTTGTCCAGCTTTAAAAAATTATCAGGACTAATGGGGAAGGCCTCTGAGAAGCTGCCGGCTTCCTGTCCTCGTCGAGGGCACTAAAGGTGTTAGTGGCCCTCAGGTAAATGTAACGTGCCGCTACCCTAATCTATATGGAGGATTACAGAGCGAAGATCAGAAACTATATAGCTTTAAGTTCTTCTAATATCTCGGTCTCGCAGGATGGGGATATCAGGCTAATTCTCGACTTACACTCGAGAATTCCGGGTCGAATCCCAGGCGGGACAAATTGTTGGGCGCATTTCCTAGTACCTAATGCACCTGTTCACCCAGCAGCTGAGCTAGTCAGCTTGTTATAGGCTGGCTGCCTGTCCTCCGACACAATAAATTAATTTATATTATAATTTTATGCGTTAACTTATATTATTAGACAAGTTTACCCTTCAAATTAAAAAGTTTTGATGTTTTCTATATCAAGTAGTTAGTATTTCACTCACTAGATGACGTTAGGTTAGCTAGCATGTGGAGGCGTCATCAGGTATCATGATAAACTGTGTATGTTAAGGAAATGTTTCGTGTCTGACTGGTCACTACTGGCTGGGTGTTGTTATTATGGTGACGTGATCGTCCGTCTGGGAGGTCAGTCTCTGGGTTAAGCAACAACAATCCAACAATTACACCCATTATTCTTGTTACATGTAACAACACAAATGTTAGCTATTTGTTTGTTTCCGGGTGCGCTTCTTTCACAGTTACAAGTTCAATTGCTTAAGAGTTGAAGGCGCAACAAATTGTTTTATTTAGAAAAAGAACTTCACAAATAATTCCTGTTGTTGGGGACGTTTTCCTAGACTTGTATGGAGGTTTGCCCCAAGGTGGAGCTGACCTTCTCGAGGTTGCAACCCACGACAGTTGTCTTACTTAGGGTACCTATGTCCTATAAGGGGACCCTAAAGCCAAGGGGAATGGCATTTAATCCCCAATGGTCCAAGTAACTTGGCACCATACTTTTACCTGAATATAATTTTCGAGGCCACTAATAGTAGTGGCCTCGATGGGCACAAGAAGATGGCAGCTTGTCAAAGATTTCCTCCCCATTTGTCCTGATGATTTTTTCTAGATCGATTTTAAAGTTCAACAGTTTTGGCATTTACAGCTTCTGTACGATACACTACGATCCTAAGTTTTGTACTAAATGTAGTGCAGTATTACTTTTTTTTTTATCTATGTACCATGAATGTGACTAACTTTCCCAAGTCTCTGATAGCTGGTAACTTTATCCTATAAAAGAGGCATAGCAAGTTAGGAGTAAGAGATTGATCCCTATTGTAAGATAATATTACCTCTGTTCTGTGGCATGGCAAAATTCGGTAATCGATGACAAAACGGCACGCAAGAAGATGAAGACTTATGACATTTCAGTCTGTCCTGGACCATTATTGATTGTGACGATCAACTTGATAATGGATCAGGACGGACTGAAATGTCGTCGTCTCCATCTTCTAGCGGTGTGGTTTGGTTATTATATCTTCAGCCGCATTGTTGTGACTCATCATTTGCATTTTTAGTAATTCTTCAAATATATTGAATTTAGCAAAAAAATTTGTTGGTATGGACTCTTGATCTTTCTTAGATGGGCTGGCAGTGACACCACATGGTCCTCTCAAAACACATTTGTGTCGACACATTGGCACAGTCGTGGCTTTTACACACTAATTCTCATAGATCCGAACACGTGTTATAATAAAAAACATTTATTGAACTTTAATGTGTACCTTTTACAAGAATTCATTCTAGCAAGGTTGCACTACCACATTTGTAATTTGCAGTAAAGGTGGAGGAGGGGGAAGGGGGCAGATCTTGGGTGGCATGGGCAACTACCTGTATTTTCTTCTTCCTACACTCTCCCTCTCCTCTCCTCCCCTTCTCCCCCCTCCCCTCTCACTACTCTCCCTCTCTTTCCCTTTATTTCCCTCCCTCTCTCCTGCCCCCATTCCTTTCTACCCTCCTCTTCCCCCTACCTTTCCCCTTTGTCCCTCTCCTCTCCCCACACCTTCCCCTCTCCCCATCCTCCATGTAGCCCTCCAGGTCTACCTATAATTTCTGTACTCTTAATGTTTATTCAACAGCATGGTTGAGAAAGAACGAGTGCAATGCAGGAAGTGCCGCAAAGTGCTCCTCTTTAAGGATGAATTTTGTCTTCTTGATGCCCATAGCCAGGAGTACCATGATACTGGTTAGTTTCACTCATTTTCTCATCATTTCATAACATATATGAATATGATTTATTAAGGATCAAATACAGTATATGTATGTCAGTTTAAAAATACTTAGTGCAATAATTTGAAGAGGTAACAAGAAGTTTGCCCCATTTCCTTTTAAATTTTGATAGCTAGCTGCACATTTCTGGTCGCTGTTGAGGAATTTAGGCTAAATTGTTTGGGTTAAGGTCAGACTTGAGTTGTTAAGTTATTTAGTTTTAGATTAGATGTGAATTGGAAAGGGAATGATTTGTCATATAATTGTGAAGAATGCTAGCAATTTTATGAATTGGCATTATCAGACATTAGTAAGAGCATAGAATTTGTTTACAATAATACAGCAGTTAGGTATAATATTCTGAGATGCAGTCTCATCTTGCATGCTTTATTTGTTACGATCATTGGACTGGAACCCATGGTCTGTGGTGCCCAGCATGTGCCCAGAACTGAAGACCTCGTATCACCAGCTGGAAGGAACAGAACACAGACTCAAAGACTTGACACCCTGCTGGGAAGGCAAAGGGGGTAGAACTCTCTAGGGCCTCCAAAATCTCAGTGAGCCAAAAAAAGGAAAAAGTGGCTCAAGTGCCTGAGGATCAGTGACGTTACTTTAATTTACTTTAATATTTAATATTCCACAATATTGTGTGAAATGTTCTGTGTAAAATATCAAGGTTGCCTAAAACAGTGTTTCTTCTAATGACCATGGACTTTTATCTGGCTGCCACAGTATGCTAGTTGCACTGAATCAATACAAGTTTTATGTTGGATGCCAGTTGTTATTTTGGGCACAACTGACAACCCGCAGGTCACAATATTTACCCCTAGGCTTATACAAATATATTTTTGAATGTTAGATAGTTTCTATTTCCAAGTTTTCGTATAGATTTTGATGCCTTAGCACTGTATTCACAACTTACTGACTTGCTGTAGAGTACAGTATATTACTTGCTATTTAACATTAAAGATTAATATATGCTTGATACATTTAGAACATTTTCAGTGGGAAATATGAGTGGGGAGTCTGGAAGCTGTTGCCCATCAGTGATGGAACACAACTGCCTGTATTTATCAGAGGAATCTTTCCCAGCCTTCATATTGACAGCTGTAAACGAAGTAAGTTTTGTATTTTGGAAATCATGGCAGGTTAAGATTAATTATGAGCTGCTTATTTTCTTCTTTTATTTCTTAGACAATATAATACGCTACATAATTGAATTGTACTGTAAAGAATTAAAAACCCTAACATTGAATTTTTTTCTTGCAAAAGTTCTCACATTTTATGGTTAACAAATAGGTAAAATGGATCTATAGGCACAATCAGAAAATGTTGTATGAACATCAGAATTCTAAGGATGTTATATCCTCTCCGCAAGTACTGTATAAGAAATATATAACCTCCACTTTCGTTTCGGCAATATCTTGAGATGATTTCGGGGCTTTAGTGTCCCCGCGGCCCGGTCCTCGACCAGGACCTCAAGAAAAAAATTGACTACTACCTACAAGAGGGGCCATGCCAATTGGGTTATAGTGGATGTGAGAGTCTGCAGGCCACTCCAGGCAGCAGTCTGTTGGATTCTCACATACCAAGCCTGGCCACAGGTTTGGCTTGAGGATTAAATCCAGATGCAAACCACACACATGACATCACACAACTGCCTGTGGGTGTCAGATGACATTATGGCCATGTAATTCACCTAATTCAAATTACATCCTGTTGGATATAAATACTGTAGTGAGATGTACTTAGGATTTAGTGTTGAGGTGCCAAGTTTGTCACATCTTAACAATGATAAAACTCTGTATGCATCAGTCAATCTCGGTACTGTACCAAAATAACCAATGCAGCTCATTATTCATATCTGATACCATATTCATACATGTAAGTTGGAACTCATTGTTGGTCAACCCTCAGCATAATGTTGGCTGAAGGAGTCTATTTTCAGGCAATGCACAACATAATAGCTATTACAAAATTTAAAATTAGTTATTTCTTAATTACTTTCTAATATCCAGAAAATAATAAGAATCTTGTTTCATGATGTGTAATATTAGTACTACTGTTCATTAATTAATCTTTAATTATAACATTTATATGCTTTTTTGTATTAAAGATTGACTTGGCAGCTGATGAATAGCATTTCTATATTAAAACCTTCTTATTTAATATTCTTATGCATTTTCATCAATCATTGAACTTTATAGTGATGTAATCCAAAATACAGTATTAATTACAAAGCTTGAATGGTTAAGCATCCCAGATGCGACCTTGGCTGGTTATAAGAGGAAATGTTATTAGTTAAAGTAATAATTCTTTAATATAACTTGGGTGGTGTTTGTAATGTACAGTATTAATACAATGGATGAAATTCCTGCAGAGTTCTTGGACTAAGGGGAAAATAAACTGCCCAAGTTGTCAGGCTCGTCTTGGATCATTCAACTTTGTGTCTGGCAGTCAGTGTGCCTGTGGCTCTCATGTTCTCCCACAGGTTCATATACTTAGATCTAAGGTATGTTAATGAATGGCATTGCATCCATATGTTATTCCTTAAAATGGTACAAATTGTTGCCCTGGATAATTTGCTTAGTTCTATGTCCCCTTGTTCATGCACCACTTATTTAAAAAAGAAAAAAAAAAAGTCCTTGTTATTTCCTGTCAATTCCCTTGAGAATTTGTGTTGTAATCATATCTTCCCTACCACTTTCATCTTTTAGTGATTATTATAGTTTTCCCAAGTCATTCCACTAGGAAGGGGTGGGAAATTTTATCAACAATCTCTAACTTTTTCTCCCAGGAGTATTTGGGTACTTGGTTATAAATTAATTAATTAGATCATTTTACGTCGAAAACTAATTGAGCAAGACTTCAGATAAGCTGTGGGAGGGAGATCACTCAGCCTGCTAATGGGGGGGGGGTTCAAAAGTCATCAGCTCTTGTACCTACATTTGTTAATACTGAACCTCTGCACATTGCACACTCGATTTACATGACAACCAGCTGGTGTACAAGAACTAAGTTAATTCTGGAAAATATTTTTGAGTTAATATTGTTCAAATGTGTTCCCTGATGACAGGAAATAATAATAAAAAATACAGTAGCTTACTTTAGGTAAGGTGGTGAGAATAACTCGCAATGATGTCACAATTCATGAGTGTTCATGGAGCAGACACTCCCGAGAAGTTTACCCGGGCCAGACATGTGGTGGGAATTGCCACGAATATATTGATACTATATATTGACACCATACAATTAAAAAAATGTATGGGTTTTTATTTCATAGGTATGTGGAATGCTAGTTTGTTTATAGTGGGACACCCCCTCCCCGCTCAGCTCGTTGTCGCCGTGTGGGGGCTTAGTGGGCGGCTGCCAGAGTGTGATGCTCCTTGGGACGGTCCTCTGTCCTTTTCTAGCCTTGTGCTCCTGCTGCCGTCCTCTCCAATTCTGCTGGGCATCTTTTCCTTTTCCTTCTGTTTCGTTTTTCTCCCCCCTCTTCTCCTATCTGCTTGCCGTTTCCTACCGACCTTTTGCTCGTTCTGGTTCTTCCCTTGGACTTCTTCTATTTTGACGCCCGGGTGCTTGAGGAGGCATACTCATGCACCCGTAGAACTGCAGTACCCGACGTCGAGAGCGAGGGGAACCTTTTATTGTCAATCCCCACTTCGTCACTGAACCCGATCTCGACGGACTGTCGGTTTCTTAAGGTGGCGTTTGTGGGGCGTATACTCGCGACGCACCCCTAGGAGGCCCCGACAAGATCGGCGATAGCTTCTTGTTGGGTGTCCTGCCTCTAATTGTGGCTCCATGGTGGGTGTGGGGGCACATTCGTGAGTGAATTCTTTCTTTCGTCAAGATGATTACCCCTGCTTCGGCTTCTTCTGGTTTACCTTCTCAGGCTCGCGGGGTGGGCGACCAAGCCCCCGAGTCGGTCCGTATTGGAAGACCGGGCTCTGTAGCCTCCGCTGCATTGGGCCCCGACCTTGCTCCTCCTTTGGCCTCTCTGACTCCTTCCTCTGGCTCCCCTCCCTCCTCTGTGGTTGGGTCGAGCCCCAAGCCCCCAGTGGTGACTACCTCGTCCCCTGGCGTGGCTCCTTCTCTAGTTGTAACTACTGCGCCTTTTAACCCCTCTCTCTCTGGGGGTTCTCACCGCCGTCTTCGTCACGGCCGCCCTCGTTCGATTCCTTCCAGTTCTGCTACCTATCAAGCCTTGTTTGGTCCCGCTTCGTGGGTCAAATATTTTGATCTCCTCCCTCTTGATTCTGCGCCTCCTGACGATTTCTCCCTCCATCGACATCTCATTGATTCCGTGGATGCCTCCATTACTTTCAACCCCACTCGTCTCGGTACACGTGTCGTTGCTGCTCCTTCTCAGGATGCTGCTTCCCGCTTGGCTGCCTTATCCTGCCTTGGCGAGACCCCCGTTCGGGTCTCGAAAAACGTTCAGTTGAATGCCAGTGTTGGCACTATTTTGCTCCCGCCCCATGTTGCGACCGGTGTTCGGGACCTACGCGACTGCCACGACGATATTCGACATATCCTCGCTGCCCAGGGCCATTCTATTCTCCAGGTGGACACGTTTACTCGTCCCCCTCGTGGTAGTCGCCGTCAACCCCTCCGGGTTGTGAAGATTACCTTTGATGGTAGGACCCTTCCACCCTCTGTCATTCTTGCTGGTGCCAGGTGCTCTGTCCAGGAGTACATTCCTTCTCCTCGGCTCTGCAACAAGTGCTGGAGGTTTGGGCATGGTGCCCTCCGCTGCTCCGGGACTGTCTCTCTCTGTCCTTTGTGTGGTGGCGAAGGTCACTCTAAGTCGGAGTGCGCTTCTCCCCAGGCTCGTTGCCTCAACTGCGGTGAGGCCCATCCTACCTTCTCCCGTGCGTGTGTCCATTACAAGCTTGAGGCAGCCGTCCTCAACTTGAAGCACCGGGAGCGTTTATCTTTTCCTGAGGCGAGGCGCCAGGTTCGCCGGCTCCCGCCTTATGCTAATATCTCTTATGCTCGCGTGTTGCGCTCTTCCTCTCCTCGTCCTTCCCGCCTTCCTCAGACTCACAACCGTTTCCAGGCCTTGGACCCTGATGCGCCCACTGCCCCCTCCTCTGTCCCTTTGGGTTCTCTCCCGAAGGATCCTCCTCCTGGTCCTCTGTCTGGGGTTCCCCTTCCTTCTACCCGGTCTGTCGTGTCTTCTGTGTCTCCTTCCTCGTCCCCCTCCGATCCTCCTTCCCATCCTCTTCCTCCATCTATCGGCTCTCCCCGCCGCCTGTCGGTGTGGGCGGATGTCCATCGCTCTCCTAACGGCCGTCGTGTGTGCTCTCGTTCGGCTTCTCCTGTTGAGACACTGGAATCCGTTGCCCGGTACGTAGTTGCTGGGACACCGGTCTCTTTAAGTCAGAAGCGTAAGCCTGGCTCCTCTCCTTCCTCTTCCCCGGCGGGTAAGAAGGCTTCGCTTTCTTCCTCAGCTCCTCCTTCTGGCTCTGTTGCTCCTTCCCCTCCCGTTTCAGTGCTTGCGCCCCCTGTTCCTGCTATGGAGGTTTCTTTGGCCCCTGCTTCCCTTTCGGTTGCTGCTCTTGCTGGGGTGCGCTCCTCTCTTTCTACTCCCCCTCTTCCTGCTGCTGTCCTTGACTGCTCCTCTCCGTTGTCTCCTCCTCCTCCTCCTCCTCCTCCTCCGGACCCTGCCCGCCCACCTCTGATCTGTTCTCCCGTTTTCTTCCCTCCGTCTTTGCTCAGTTTACCCATGCCCCCTAACCCTGACTTTGCTGACCCTGATCCCGACCCTGATATTCTTTAACGTGCTCTGTTGGTCTTTCACCTTTGTTTCTTCCTTGTTCTCTGTTTTGTCCTTTCTCTTCTCATCGTTGTCCATTCTTCAATGGAACGTTCGAGGTTATTACGCCAATTTCCTCGAACTCCAACTTCTGGTTTCGCGGTTTTCGCCCCTTTGTGTCTGTCTCCAGGAGCCGATGCTTGGTGCTCGTCCTGGTCGTTTTCGTGGCTATTCCTTTCTCTCCCCCCCCCAGCCATTGCTGGGGCTTCTAATTCTTCTGCTCTCTTGATTCGGGCTGATGTTCCCTTTGTTCCTTTACTTTTTCCTTCGCCTCTCCATTGTTCTGCTGCTCGTATCTTTGTGGGGAAATGGTACACAGTTTGTTCCATTTATCTCCCCCCGAGTGTCCCGCTCTCTCTTCCTGATTTGAAACACCTCCTAGACTCCTTGCCGGAGCCTGTGCTCCTGCTGGGTGACTTCAATTGTCGTCATTCTCTTTGGGGTGACGTTCTGACGAATACCCGGGGTCGCCTCCTTGAGCCGTTTCTCCTCTCTTCTTCCCTGTCTCTTCTGAATTCTGGTGAGCCCACTCATTTGGACTCTCGAACTCGCACCCTTTCTTGTCTTGATCTTTCTCTCTGCTCTTCTTCTCTTTACTTAGATTTCACATGGCAGGTTCTTGATGACCTCCATGGAAGTGATCATTTCCCCATCCTTGTTTCCTTTTTCTCTTTTCGCCCTTCCCTCTCTTTCCCTAGGTGGCAGTTTGCTAAGGCGGACTGGACCCTATTTTCCCTCAGTGCTACTCTCTCTGACCTCTCCCTTCTGCCCCTCTCTCGCGCTCTCCTCCTTTTTCATGACACTGTCTTCGACGCTGCCCTCCGCTCTATTCCTCGCTCTTCCTCTCGGGGTCCACGGAAGTGCGTTCCCTGGTGGAATGCGGACTGTGCTCGGGCTGTCCGCTGTAAGCGTGCAGCCTGGAAGAAGCACCGCCGTAGGCAGACGACCGATTCTTTTCTTTTCTTTCGGAAAGCGAGTGCGGTGGCCCGTAGGGCCATCCGTACGGCTAAACGTGAATGTTGGGCATCTTATGTCTCGACAATTACGTCCGAAACCCCTCTGGCCCAGATCTGGAAGCGTATCCGCAAGATAGCGGGTAAGTTCGTTCCCGATGTTTCACCGGTCCTTCACCTCCATGATACTCTTGTGGCGGACCCGTTGCAGGTTGCTTCCGAACTGGGTTCCCACTTTTCTTCTGTTAGCTCTGGTCTTCATCTTCCCCAATCTTTCCTTCTTCGTAAACCTGTCCTTGAGTCTCGTCCTTTAGATTTCTGCACTCATCTTCGGCTTCCCTATAATGATCCCTTCTCTCTCTCTGAACTTCGTTCTGCCCTGGCCCTCTGCGGTTCTACGGCGGCGGGCTCCGATGGTATTCATTATGACATGCTTCGCCATCTCCCTCCGAGCACGTCTCAGTATTTACCGAGTCTGTATAATCGGATCTGGGAGTCGTCGTCAGTCCCTGAGGACTGGCTCGATGCCGTTGTCCTCCCTGTTCGCAAACCGGGGTCTCTGGGTACTTCCCCTAAGGACTTTCGCCCTATTGCTCTCACAAGTTGTGTCTGCAAACTCTTTGAACGTATGGTTAACGTTCGTCTGATGTGGTTCCTGGAACACCATCACCTCCTCTCCCCTTCTCAATTTGGTTTCCGCAAGTGCCGCAGCACGACAGATGTCCTGGTGAACTTGGAGGTCTATATACGTACTGCTTTTGCTGCGAAGACCTCCGTTGTTGCCGTCCTTTTTGACCTAGAAAAGGCTTACGACACCACTTGGCGTTATCATATCCTATCTCAACTTCATTCTTTTGGCCTTCGTGGTCATCTCCCTCTCTTTCTCCGCAGCTTCCTCTCTCGTCGTTCCTTTCGGGTGCGCCTTGGTACCGCTCTCTCTCCCTCTTTTCAGCAATACGAAGGTGTGCCCCAGGGTAGTGTTCTGAGCACTACTCTTTTTCTGGTTGCCCTCAATGGTCTTCTTTCCTCTCTTCCTTCTGGTGTCTTCTCCGCTCTCTATATCGATGATCTTACCCTTTGTTGTCAGGGTGATGATTCGCCTCTCCTTCAACGCCGGCTTCAACTTGCGATTGATGCCGTGTCGTCTTGGGCCACAGGTCATGGCTTCAAGTTCTCTACTTCTAAGACTTGTGCCATGACTTTTACGCGGAAACGGGTTGTTCTTCGTCCCTCTTTGTCACTTTATGGTCATCCCCTTGAATACAAAGATTCCGCGAAGCTTTTGGGGTTATTCCTTGACACTCGTTTGTCTTGGTCTCCCCATATCTCTTACCTCCGTGTTGAGTGCTCTAAGTCCCTTACCCTCCTTCGGGTCTTGTCCCATACTTCTTGGGGGGCAGATAGGCGCACTCTCCTTGCTTTACATTCCTCTCTCGTCCTGTCTAAGCTCGATTATGGTTGCCCTGCTTACTCGTCTGCTTCTCCTTCTACTCTTCGCCGTCTTGATGCTTTGCACCATACTGGGTTGCGCCTCAGTTCTGGTGCCTTTCGTTCGACTCCCGTCCTTAGCTTGTATGTTGACACTGGCTTCCTGTCTCTCCAGGACCGCCGTGATCGCTACTGTCTTCGCTATCTTGCGCGGTCCTTGCAACATCCTTCCTCTCGTCTCTGTCGTGCTTTAACTTTTATCCCTTCTGCGGTTCCTGTTCCTCTTCACCATCTCCCTCTTTCTGTCCGGTTATCTCGCCTACAGGATTCTCTTTCCGTTCGTATTTCTGATGTTTCTCCTCGTGTTGTTCCTTTTTTGCCCCCGTGGAGGGTCCCTCTTCCGCGGTTTTGTACATCCTTGACTCGTATCACTAAAGCTTTTACCCCTCCTACAGTTCTAAAACGCCTTTTCCTCGAGCACTTTTCTTCTCACTCCCGCTCCGTTTCTGTCTTCACCGATGGGTCTAAGTCAGCGGACGGTGTTGGCTACTCTGTTGTTTTTCCTGATCGCACTTATATGTGTCGCTTGCCTCCGGAGACTAGCATCTTTACAGCGGAACTTTATGCTATTCTCTATGCTCTTCGTCTCCTGCTTTCTCGTTGTCAGTCTTCCTTTGTGGTTGTTGTTGACTCTCGTAGTGCCCTCATGGCTCTCGGGTGCTTTAATCCAGTTCATCCGGTAGTTGTCGAGATCCAGCATTGGCTGTTTCTCGTTCACAGTAAATTTAAGTCGGTTGAGTTTTGTTGGGTTCCCAGCCATATTGGCGTGTCTTTAAATGAGCGTGCGGATGCTGCCGCTAAGGAAGCTGTCCGCTCTTGTCCCATCTCTCGTAAAGGCATTCCGTATTCCGACTTTTACCCGGTTATCCATTCCTCAGTCCTTACCCGTTGGCAGGCTTCTTGGTTGTCTGTTACTGGTAACAAGCTACGTACTCTTAAATGTTGTGTTTCCTCGTGGCCGTCCTCCTTCCACCGTAACCGGCGGTGGGAAACAGCTCTAGCGAGGTTGCGTATTGGCCATACTCGCTTAACCCATGGTCACTTGATGGAGCGCCGCCCTGCTCCTTATTGTCCTAGTTGCATTGTCCCTCTTACGGTCGTGCATGTCCTTCTTGAATGTCCTGACTTCCAGGACGAGCGTGTGTCTTGCTTTCCGACTGCCCCTCGCGGTCACCTGTCCCTCGATAGAATTCTTGGTGACTCGGATACTTTTGATATCGTTCGCCTTATGCGTTTTTGTTCTCGTATTGGCATCCTTGGTGATATTTAGCGCCCTCTGATTATTTTGCGTATTTGATGGTGCTACATAGCCTTCCCGGTTTGGTGCCTTCTTTTGATAATTACTTACTTATAATGGGACAAATATTGCCTTGAAGGAATATGCAAAGTTTCACTAGAATTTATTCAAAGGATTTGTGTTTTGATGTTCTAAATTTTTTTCCTTACAGGTCGATTGGATGAAAATAGGTGAAGCATTGCCTCGTCCTGTGTCATTTCCTGATCGTGCTGTTGCTCTATCTTCTGTCACATTACCCTTTGAGGTGAACTCATCCATGTGTACTTACGAAGATACTGCCAGTGTTGAAGCTGTTGCTACCCGTCCTTCTGGAGAAAACATCAACAGTGGTTGCTCTCCAGCTCAGCAAACTGCCTTGAAAACAAACTTTAATGGTACTTAAATAAATTTTCTATATTCTTTTATGGCAATTTATTAAAACCATTTTGCTAACAGGGAATTTTGGACTTGAACCATCTGAAAGAAAAAAGCTTAATCTTTTCCTATTTCCACTAATTGGAAATAGGAAACTATCAAACTAATTTATCTTAACTATCAACTTCACTAAATTAAAAAGCAATATTTATGGTAAAATACTACAGTCAGCCTTAAACCTGTGTGGTTCTAGAAAACTTTGTGCAGCAAAATTTAACAATGAAGTCAACTGTATATAAGACAACTAAGGATGCTTTCTAAAAACATCCAAAAGTTCTTTTTTTTTCCAAGCTTCCCTCAATAAAATACTGAACCGAACATTGTTACTAAATGCTTCCAATACTGTCCGAGCACAAAAACTACATAATGAAGTGCAGGGCGTTTGGAGGGTGCAGGGAAGTATCAAGGTAAGTGAAGTGCACGGAAAACAAGATAATTAAGAGAAGTCACAAGGCCAGTGCATAGCATTTGGCATCACTGAAGAAAAAAGTTGTTCAAACTACATGCATCAAATTGTGTTCCATTAAATCTCTCCTTGTGCATTAAAAATTTATGTACATTCAATTCCAAATTGTATCACTGCAAATTCATGCAACTCAAGGGATGACATAGCAGCATACCGATTTTTTCTGTAATGAAATAAAATATTTATGTTTTAAAGCTGCATGTATCTACAGTACAGGTATGTTATTGTACCAAAAAATATTTATAAACCTCGTCTAAAGTATGTTGAAGTATTTATAAAGACTTCAACTCTTTCAGTGTCCATAAATCACGTATAAACATAATTATAGTACACTATCGCAACTTCATAAACATTTTCAGAATAAAATTTTTGTAATTTACCACCGACCTAAACTTACTTGTAACGGTATTTTAATATAAGTGCACCAATATTATATATATATATATATATATATATATATACATATATATATATATATATATATATATATATATCGTACCTAGTAGCCAGAACGCACTTCTCAGCCTACTATGCAAGGCCCGATTTGCCTAATAAGCCAAGTTTTCATGAATTAATGTTTTTTCGACTACCTAACCTAACCTAACCTAACTTTTTCTGCTATCTAAACGAACCTAACCTATAAAGATAGGTAAGGTTAGGTAGGGTTGGTTAGGTTTGGTCATATGTCTACGTTAATTTTAACTCCAATAAAAAAAAATTGGCCTCATACATAATGAAATGGGTAGCTTTATCATTTCATAAGAAAAAAATTAGAGAAAATATATTAATTCAAGAAAACTTGGCTTATTAGGCAAATCAGGCCTTGCATAGTAGGCTGAAAAGTGCATTCTGGCTACTAGGTACGACATATATATATATATATATATATATATATATATATATATATATATATATATATATATATATTATTATTATTTTATTAAATATGACCGAAAAAGTAAGATTAATAATTCTAACACGAATTTTCTCGATCTTTCGTACGTTTCTTTTCACTGTTGGTGGTAATTCAAAAATCAATTCTCCAAAATTCATTTTTATTTCTAGTCTGACGCGACACTTGAGCGCGTTTCGTAAAACTTATTACATTTTCAAAGACTTTAGTTTACACATACACAACTGAATAGAACTTACACATCTTCGATTTGTTTATATCTACATTTGAGTGAGGTGGATGGGGTGAGGTGGTATTAATAGGGTATTAAATTCCTAAACACAAGACAGAACACGAAACAATGGGTATTGAATGGAAGTGATTGTAGAAAGCCTGTTGGTCCATATTTCTTGATGCAAGAAGTCAACACCAGCAATCAACAGCCAATTAATGCACAACTATATTCTACCCACCTCAAGACTCCGCTCCAATATAGAAGCATCAAGAAATATGGACCAATAGGCTTTCTACAATCACTTCCATTCAATACCCATTGTTTCGTGTTCTGTCTTGTGTTTAGGAATTTAATACCCTATTAATACCACCTCACCCCATCCACCTCACTCAAATGTAGATATAAACAAATCGAAGATGTGTAAGTTCTATTCAGTTGTGTATGTGTAAACTAAAGTCTTTGAAAATGTAATAAGTTTTACGAAACGCGCTCAAGTGTCGCGTCAGACTAGAAATAAAAATGAATTTTGGAGAATTGATTTTTGAATTACCACCAACAGTGAAAAGAAACGTACGAAAGATCGAGAAAATTCGTGTTAGAATTATTAATCTTACTTTTTCGGTCATATTTAATAATATATGTCTACAGGAAAGACTGCTACCAAAATATATATGTGTAGAAAAATTAATTTTTGTTATTATTATAAATAAAGTATCTTCTGCTGCCAAATTACATCAAGACTTTACAGTTACCGAGGGTAAACTCTTTTTAACCACACGATTCATTAATGGGGTGGAGAGCCAATTTCTATATCCATATAGTACTGTACAGTCATCCAAGACTCTGGAAAATGAAAATCCAGATAATGGGGTCCACCATATATAAATAATAGGTATCAGTTTCTAAATCACTTTCATGAAATAGGCAAGAATTAAATTGCTGGCAATTATTGTAGAATTACATTACTCTCAGATTCTCTCATGTGCCACTCATGTTGTTAAATGACAAAAATGAACCAAATCTATTTGTAGGGCAACAAAACTTGGAACTATTGTGATCATTCGAGGCATCAGATATACAACATTTCCAAACTATTATTTCTGGTCACTGCATTGGAAGGATTAATCAGGCTGTGCGTAAAACAATTGTCACTATCCTGGATGTTAGTGCAGATGATGAGTCACAATAACGTGGCTGAAGTATGTTGACTAGACCATACACTAGAAGTTGAAGGGACGATGACGTTTCAGTCCGTCCTGGACCATTCTCAAGTCGATTGTGGTCCATTCTCAAGTCCGTCTCAAGTCCATTCCCAAGTCGCAATCGACTTGAGAATGCTCCAGGACGGACCGAAACGTCGTCGTCCCTTCACTTTCTAGTGTGTGGTCTGCTCAACTGGATGTTAATGACAACTATGTGTTTCTTTCTATAGGAATACAAGTGAGTCATTGATTAATGGTTTCAGATGCAAGTATTATACTGTATCTGTATTAAACTATTAATTCGTACATTGTTAATCAGATTTTAATAATTATAAGTTATAATTTTCAGCAAGTATGTAATACTGTACCCTGTATTGTACCTATCATGCAGAATTTAGAGGCTATCTGTAGGGAAATCATAGCAATCAATCTCCGGAGCATAAAATGTTTTCACTGAAATTAGGGGTATCATGGATTTGGGAGGTAACAACTTAAACAATATTAGAGCATGATATTCATGAAGACATCTCTATCCAATAGTCATATCAACAGCACACACTGTAGCATCATGCAGATTAAGCTTCATAATAGTACAACTAGACATCTAAAGCAGCAGCACCATAACATCATACAGCTGCTTTAGGCGTAAAATGTTTCTTGCGGGTTGTCATAGAAATGTCCAACATTTACTCGACATCTTTCATGGTACTACGGACTCTGCCAAGAATGCCTCTCATACCCACTTCTCCACTCTAGAATAATCCTATTTCCATAATTTGTCTTTACTTAGTTATCATATGTTGTGTTTTTTATGCATCGTAACTTGGAGTAAAAGGGATATACTGTCTAGTACATAAACTTCACTCCTAATTGAACATATTACCAGTAATTTGCCCAGGCCCCATCCAATGACTCTTAAATTCTGTTGCAAATAACATTTACTAAATTTCATTAATTTTTTACAATAATTAATGTATTTTGCCTTTTATCCATCATAAATAATACACATCTTCCTGACTTAACACACACATTACAAAAAAATAAGAAAACCTGAATATAAATAAAAATAAAAACGGTGTTGCATGGTCAATAAGCCAGTGTTGAATGTAATGAAATGCCTCTTTCTGGTGGATCTCTCGGTAACTCCCCTAGCTGCCTACCTGGTTAGCTGACATTCTTAAGAGCTGCACCAGGTTTCATCAATTCATGAGTGCTTGCTGGGGACCAAAACCAGAATCTGGCCCCATCAATAGAGGCAGGGAAGTTGGGAGATCCAGGATCATGCACAGTAACCAAGAGAAAAATCACCGGAAAAGTAGAGCACACCAAAACAAACAACTGCATAATAGCAGTGGCAATACTGGGCTGAAGTAAGCAATCGTTACATGGTTTGTTAGTTATTTAGATTCATTATGCGAGATAAATTTTTGAGGTTATTCTACAATGTACTGAATGTAATTATCATATCAAATATCTTACAATGTGATTGCTGATAGCTTGTCAATTAGCAGTTACTATACTGTAATTATAATGAAGCTATTTACAGTAATCAGACTCTCACACTCAACAGATTTAAGTGGTAAATCTTCTAAACCAAGAAACAGGACAGGTAAAAGTGAAACATCAAGGAAATCAAGACAGCAAATAAGGCATGAACAACATGTGTCTGAAGATGAAATTGAAGTAAGACAGTCGAGTAACAGAGTTACAGCTGATATAGTGTCAAAGTCTATACCTGTAAGTATACTCTAACATTACTAGAGGGAGTTCAACTAATGTTCATGAATCTAAATCAAATACTTTGTAAACACTGCTCATGGTATTCAGAGGATCAATGTTAATTTTTGTCTTTCCTTATTCAGAGGATTTGAATAAAGTATGTTCTATTATATAATGTGAGTTATAAAAACACTAGTAATTCTTGGGTAATGTATTATCACTTAATATTCTCTCAAATTCAAAGGATGAAGTAAATACAGAGAAGGAAGAAAAGGAGGAGTCAATTCCTGAAAGTCTTGTGTGCCCTGTGTGTCTGGATGTGCTGTACAGTCCACTGGTTGTACAACCTTGTGGGCACAAATTCTGCGAGCCTTGTCTACGCCGCTTAGCTCAACCAAACCCTACATATACACACTGTCCTCTTTGCAGACAGATAATTGGCGAATGTATGCCTTGTCCAGGTGAGATTGCATAATTTTCAGTCATGGAAATTAGTTAACTTTTGTCAACTAATTTGATTTTGTATGTGGTGATCATAGCTCCTCTTTTTCTTTCTACTAGTTTTACATGTTAAATGCCTCTGGTCTTTCTTCATAACTCTTGATACAATATCGTGGCTGAAGATATGTTGACCAAACCATACATTAGAAGATGAAGAGACGACGACATTTCGGTCCGTCCTGGACCATTATCAAGTCGATTTTCAACTTGATAATAGTCTGGCAAAATTGAGGCATTGACAGAGTAATCGTCGGAAGCGGTCAGCTCCGCCCGAGCTGTTAGGAAGGAGTTGCCACAAAGATGAGTGGCATCTGCTGCTTGGGCCCCACATTGTTTGAGTTAGGAACACACTACTGTATTTGTCTAATATAGATAACTGTATTTGTCTAATATAGATAACTGTATTTGTCTAATATAGATACTGTTCTTAAAAAGATTCCCTAATTTTGCACCGGCAAGGTGGACCTGCTGCTTCACACACTTTATTTTTGCACGTGACTGCTGCAGCTGGATATTGTGAATACATCATATCCTAGTGTATCTTCTAGTGTATATATATATACACACACACTAGAAAATGAAGAAACGACGACATTTCGGTCCATCCTGGACCATTATCAAGTTGATTTTCAACTTAATAATAGTCCAGGATGGACCAAAATTCATCGTCTCTTCATCTTCTAGTGTGGTTTGGTCAACATAACAAAATTTGTATCACATACTGTAGATGGCACACAAAGGCATTCCTGGTTGTAAATAATATCTGGCTGCAACGAATCAGGCTTGGTCCTGTGTAGTTTGCTGAATTGAGGTTGCACTCTAATTTTGTTTAATCAAAAATATTAGGAGTTGAATAATAAGTATACTCTTAACTTTCAGCCTAAAATTCAATGTAAAACACTAAGGCTGAATAATAGAGGATGTTAGCTGCATATTTTGTATTTAAGGTTGCGTTAATCTTCACACATCAAGTTCTGCCTTAATCCCTCATTATGTTTTAGGAATATCTGGGATAACTTGACATGTCTGCTTCCCACTCCTGAGATTTATCACTTCTGACCTCCCCTTATTACCTGTTTCCAGACTTTTCACAGTAGTATATGATAATCATCTGGGACGAACCAAAATGTTGTCATTTTCTCTTCTTAAATGTATTTAGTATTCAACTACATGTGTGGGAAGTACTGTAAGTATTCAAATACATATAAGTAGTACTGTAAGGAACTAGGTAAGTAAAAAAAAAAAAAAAACTTGCATAAGCAGTGTTACAGTGTAGCTGTTGGCTTGAAATTGCTACAGTTTATAGAGTTGGTCAGAACTGGTTTTGTTCATTTAACCCTTAAACTGCGCAACGCGCCTGCAGGCTCACGTCTGGTTTGCACAACGCGCCTCCGGGTATTTGTATTTTTCACGTTCCATTCAAAACTCCCGCGGCTACATGGGGTTCACATCAGCTTCCTCAGGGCTCTTGTAAACAGACGCCATCTTTAAAAAAAATCGTGGTTCACATTCCCGGGTGTGGGAGCCTCAGTAGTGTGTGAGCAACCAAGGCTGGCGCTCGCAGCATGAGCGCACATCACTGCTGTTCAGCATGTGACCACAGCATCGCCTAATAATGTCAAAATATATATATGACTTGTATTATTTAGCTATGATAGTGTTATATTAGAGCCTGAGTGTGATAATGACTGGGTACAATGTTCAAATATCAGTGATTCAATGCTGTTCACGATGTTCACAGCGCTAGCCACAGCACCACAGCATTATTTCGTTCATCTAGGAATCTTCAAATGATTTCTTAGGTTCCTTTTCAAAATAAACGTGTGGTCAATTATTCATTTACAGGAATTAGTGACCAGGATTGTGATAATAGCAGGATTGTGGTTATAATTAGCGTTGTGCATAGTATTGTGGAAGGAGGAATTTTGATGAGGGAGGGAGGGCGAGAATTGAGGTAGCCTCATTGTGTGTGTGTGTGTGTGTGGCTGCCACTCTTGTTTTGCTCACCATACTAGCTTAGTGGTTCGCTATGGGCAACACATATGTACATGGGTATATATAGTGTGTGTATATAGTGTAAGAACAGCAACAGGAGAATGTTGAGAGGAGCCATTTTGGTGAGGGAGGTGACATAATCGTAGCGTCGTCTGCTGTGTGATTTTTCATGCAGTGTATGGTGGCCACTGTACTGTTTGGACACAATACCGGCTTACTTGCATAGTTCTGGTAAATAAAACATGTAGATAGGTATATAGAACATGTGTAATAAGAACTATAGCAATATGGTGGGAGGAGCAATGTTGGCGAGTAAGATGTTGGAGTGAGGGAGACTGGCTGGGTGTGGCTGCTCTCACTCGAGGTGTTCTGAATGTGTTCATGGCCATATGCTCCTATTGGCCCATACGAGGCAGCTGCTATTGGCCCATACGTGGCAGCTGCTATTGGCCCATACGAGGTAGCTGCTATTGGCCCATACGAGGCAGCTGCTATTGGCCCATACGAGGCAGCTGCTATTGGCCCATACGTGGCAGCTGCTATTGGCCCATACGAGGCAGCTGCTATTGGCCCATACGGGGCAGCTGCTATTGGCCCATACAGGGCAGCTGCTATTGGCCCATACGAGGCAGCTCCTATTGGCCCATACGAGGCAGCTCCTATTGGCCCATACGAGGCAGCTCCTATTGGCCAATATGAGGCAGCTCCTATTGGCCCATACGAGGCAGCTGCTATTGGCCCATACGAGGCAGCTGCTACGCGGTGTTCTGAATGTGTTGATGGTGAATGTATATAGTGTGTGACAGTGTGTAAATTGATTGTATATATACACAAATTAGCATGATACATAGCAAATATGTGCTGCATGTGTGTACACAAGTTTCATGCACATAACACAGTGTCTACGGACAGTACGGATGTTGTACTGCGATATTATAGTGTACGTGTTCATTATACATTGGATTGGCACACAAAAACAATGAAAATGTATTTGGAAAGGTACGCAAAAAATAAACGAAAATATATTTGCGGCAACTCGCGCGCCCCGCCCCGAGCGCCCCACCGCCCCCGAGAGCTTACGGCACGGGCACACGGGGAATGATGACGTCACGCCCCAACTTCCGGACCCCATAGCAGCCAAAGTAAGTACAATTTCGACTTTTTTTTTTTTACATACCCATACTGAGGGAAGGGTTTTTGACACTTTAAAAAGAAAAAAAAGAGCTTTTTCCAGAGAATTTATTTCCTGCGCACTGCGGGGGTGTCACATTTGGAGGCAATGCAGTTAAGGGGTTAATAAATATGGAACCTTTTCCAGATTCATATGAATTACTGTATTCCTTTAGCAGAAATCTTCCTTTATTTTAAGTTTCCAATAAACGTTTTGGGTTTCAGCGGTTAATTACACAGACTACTGTATATTAATTATGCAATTGAAGTTGACATTGTCATGAAGTGCTAAAAATTGTGGTAAATTTTTTCATGTACAGTCGTCTGTATATGTTTGTGTATGATTGAATCATATGTTTGTGGTTTGGTGCAAACCATTATATATTCACCCGTGTTGCACAGAATTGGCAACCGAGGTACGTGAAAATTTCTCTGAATTGTATGAACAGCGACGTCAGTTTGAGAAAAATCACAACAGCCAACACCTACCACTGCCTTGGGACAAAAATTACAGGTGAGTGAGCTCTTCGGTACAGTATTTGTAAGACATTATTTTAAAAATCTTGTCACATATTTTAGCATCCCACATACCTAAATCAAAATCAATCAATATATAGTACTATATATATGATAGGATATTTGCTCCTGGAACAAAACTTGCATTTTATTGTACAGTACTCTGTATGCATTAGGTGTCAAAATATTCTTCACACAAAATCTAAAACCTATAAAGTGTTTTCTACAAGCTATATAATAATCATAGGAAACAGCCCTTTAATTATGACTTATCCAAATTTTACAGGTGGAGGCAGATTCATCATGATGGCCGCAGTTGGGTTGACAGAGCTGGAGGTTGGAGTACAGTAATAGGGATGGGTTCATTATATATCCTGGGTATTGGAATCTGGTTATACCTTGTTGTTTCTGGAAAAATAATGTTTGATACATTTCCTCACTCAGTCACTAAATCAATGAGTCGCAATTTTGTAATGTAGATGACTTGACTGCATACATAAAGGTCATCCATACTCTTTTAGGTGCCCCTGACAGAAGAACAGTTGACACACAATATAGGGTGTGTGTGTGTATATTTTATATTATATATTATATATAAATATATATATAAATATATATATAAATATATATATAAATATATATATAAATATATATATATAAATATATATATATAAATATATATATATAAATATATATATATAAATATATATATATAAATATATATATATAAATATATATATATAAATATATATATATAAATATATATATATAAATATATATATATAAATATATATATATAAATATATATATATAAATATATATATATAAATATATATATATATATATATATATAAATATATATATATAAATATATATATATAAATATATATATATAAATATATATATATAAATATATATATATAAATATATATATATAAATATATATATATATATATAAATATATATATATATATATATATATATAAATATATATATATATATATATATATATATATATATATATATATATATATATATAAAGGGAAGGGAGTACCATCTCTGGCTGGAAGAAGGGGGACCCATAGCCTCGGAGGAAACCACACATAACGCATTGGAGGGAATGTAGGTCCCCCTCCAATACAGTTTCTGTGTGCTTTTCTCCTACCACCCTCTTCCCTTTATATATATATATATATGGATCCTTTTCCAGGCAAATATATATATATAATCTTTGATGTAAGGTTACAGTTGTTGAAGTATTGAACAACAGCATCAAGACACTGCATGTCATAAGTTGAGGTTGTAGGCAGAGTCAGATTACAGCTTAGATTTAAACTAATTAAACAAAGCTGCCAAAGAAATATAAGAAAATTGAATTAACCATCAGTAGTTTCAAAGCATTATATGACAAAGAATGCTGGGAAGGTGGGACACCACGAACATAGCTCTCGTCCTGTAACTACATTTAGGTAATTACACGTAGGTAATTGCAGCTGGTGGTAGATTCTGCTGGTTGTGGCTGTAGGCTAAGTTCATCTGGTGAGATGGCAGGGCTGAAGAGGGTCAGAGGTGGTGTGGCTCCTGGCTGGTCTGTATTAATATGACTGGTGATGATAATGCTGTGATCTCAAAGCCTTATCTAACCATCAGTCATAGATAACCAATTACCAGTAGCTTATCATTGCTTGCTGATTGGTCCTGGGTAATGTGCAGACATAGCAGTATATGTTATCAGCACTGATATAGCTACTACAGAGTCATTTAGTGCCAAGTTATTGAGCTTAGGCAGAATTTAATCTTGTCAAAATAGGTTTTGGTCATTTGTAACACAAATGATTCATATTTTCATGATTTTTAATTATTATTTCTGTACTTGGTAAGAGATTGATGATATACTGTATTATGAAAATGATTTGGGTCCAATTGTTAAATTTTCTGAAACCATTGAACTAGAAAGTCAGAGTTAATAGTAATACAGGCAAATTTGTTTATTGTGCATTTAGTGTTACACTAATTAAGAAGTATTGTCAGCCTAAGAGTGTATATTATGGAATGTTTAAGTTGTGAACGATGTAAGCTAAATTAAAAGGTGGATGATGGAATTTAGGCTCAGGCCCAAGTGTTGAAACCTCTGAGTTATTCAGCTCTTAAATTGCAAATTGAAGAAAATGTTGCATGCAGAAGTTGGGTACTTACAATATTTTCTTTCTATCGTATGTGATTTTGTTATCTAGCTGAACGTCCACTACTGTGTATGTAGTGATGATTCACAGCCAAAGAAATCATCCTGAATCATAAGGGAATAATTTATCCTTTTTACAGGGTCGAGTAATTTTTCACTTACAGTAAAATTGAATCCCGACTACACTGTTATTCTACACATTAAATAATATAGGCTATATTTGATTCTACCTGGTAATGTTCTTTTGTACACTGTATAGTCGAAGCCTTTTGGCGAGGTATTGGTATCTAGTTATTCAGAGAGTTTATACTGTATTCACCACACCTTCAATGTTTTAATCATATTATCTGACATATTGAATTTCTTAAGTGAATGAATGGAAAGAAACAGCTTTGGGTGCAGTAAAGTCATTAATCGTGTTTCAAAATAGTGAATAACTAAGTGTTTATTCTGTGTTTAACGAGGTTAATATCTTGCTCAGTCTACTAACACACACAGTTCTGCATTAAGTTACAAGATATTCTGAGAACTTACATGGTACCACTGCATATAATATTAAAATTGCAGCATGTCAATATACTGAATTGAATTTCATATGGGTCTCGGTAGTACAGTTGGGTTCATTCTACGCACAATCAGGAATCCCAGTTTCTAATTCCAAGCAAGACAGAAATAGCTGTGCACAGTTCCTTTCACCTAATGCCTCTGTTCACTTAGCTGTAAATAGGTATCCAGGAGTTAGTCAACTGTTGTGGGGTCACAAGCTGGAGAAGATTGAGTACTTTGACCTTGGGAAGCCTAAAAATAATCTGACATGTATACATATATATACACAAGCCGCATACCTCTGACACAATGAATTATATTAACAAATAAGTTACAAGAAGTTTTAGGTGCAGTAAAGCCAATGAGCAAATTTTCAGAAGAATTATAATAGTTGGTTTTCATTTCAAATTGAATAAACATCTTCCTTAGAGTATTCATTATATGAAAAGCACCTTTTTGAACAGCATATCAAATTGCTCCCTACTATAGGCTTCTACTTGCCTATTACAGAATATGCAGTTAGGATAGGTCAACATTACAGTGCAATAATTAGATATGGAAAAACACAAGAACTGAAACTAGATACACGATAACAAACATGCAAAGAATCCGTGAATGATGACATCGGAACACCTAACGTTTAGTGAGTAAAATGATGTAAACTTAGAGCACCATCTGCCTGGAAAAGGGTGACAGGTGTTTATGAAAACATTAAAATCAAGGGATACCATCATAATGCTTCATAATTTCAAATCACATATGCTAACCTACTTGAAAACTGTTCTGTACTCTCCTCCAAAGTTCTGTACTCATGGCCAAATCCACAAGGGCCATGGTGAGGGTTCGAACCTATGTCCAGGATGATCCCAGAAGGACGTAGGTTCGAACCCTCATCACGGCCCTTGAGGATTTGTTCATTTGATGTATGACACTATTGTGATTTCTAATAGCCAGTGTCCTAAACCCCCCTCAACCCTCAATGAAGCAAGCTACTATAAAAGAACCATCAGCCAGTAGATGCAAAGCTAAACTAAGGGAAAAACACTGAAGAGCACATCAAATAGCCTTTGATTCTTAAGTGATTAAATGGGCCTGGGACAATTAGGGAGATTATCATCCTGGGGAAGCACAATACAGTGGTACAAGTGACTGCATACCCTATTCACCACACGACACGCCATATTTGAAATGTGAATGAGTGTAGTGTCGTACGTATGCAGCATAAATGCTCATGTCAAGGAGCAAGTTATAAAAAAAAAAGGAAAAAATATAGCAGGAAACTTAAGTGGAGAAACTCCTTTGCTGAAAGTATGAACTGATCATGCATGAAGAATTTAACTCAAGGCAACCAATAAGTCCAGAGACTTGTAGCCATCTCCAAAGTGCTGCACCACTGAATACAATGAGGAAACCCAAGCATAGGCTGTATCCAAGCTAGGCTACCAGGACCCCCAGCTTACAGCAGTGTACACAGGAGGCTTTGTAGCTATGGTAGTAGCTCTAGATTAACCTTAGCCTAACTTTGTCTAAGCAGATAATGACCTACCTAGCTGTAAGGGAGGTTCATGACAGAAAAAAAGAAACATTCCTTTTGTTCCAAAACCATTTCTTCCCATCCTACCTCCTGGTTTTTTATCCTAAGTAGGCTGTATGCTCTGTCTTTGGACTTATCTTTTAAAAAATCAGGGTTTTGGTATTTTTCTGAGGCAAGTACCTAGCTGTACTTGCCTAGTTGTGCTTGCGGGGGGAGGGGGGGGAGCTTTGGTCCCGCCTCTCGACTGTCAATCAACTGATGTACAGGTTCCCGAGCCTATTGGGCGCTATCATATCTACATTTGAATTTGTGTATGGAGTCTGCCTCCACCACATCATTTGTGTTCTTTGTTTGCCCTTACTCTCTTTACGATCTTTTTATATTTTAGACCTGATGGATTGTTTTTGATAAAACTCGTCTTGTTCTTCCAGATTCGAGTTGAGTATCTTCTTTGCCTCATTTCCCTGATGTGTATCTCAGTCTCAAGTATATGACTTTGTTACACTATAAGCAGGATTCCTGGCCACCTCAAGTTCACTGGGTTTCCTTTAGATCCTGCTCCAGAACTATGACCATGCACTTGCCCTGGATCTGAGATCATTAATTTTTTTTGTAGTGTTGCCACTGGCTATGGCTGATTTTTTGGGGCTCAAGTCCTTGTACAAGTAGTGGGTCTTTGGGTCTCAAAGCATGAGCATTTATGAATAAAGTTATGATTGATTGATTATATTTTTGGGGTGTTTCAGTTTTGGGGAGTTATTATCTTCTCTCTGGTTCCAGGAATGCTCCATAGTGTGGATTACTGTAGACCCAAAAAGCGGGTCCAGACCATGCCATCTCTTTATGATTGAGATTTTGGTGTCTCTCACCATTTTACTGACCTTGGATGCCCTTTGGCATTCCTTCTGGACGTGCTTGTTCCAATTAATTGTCTCATTGCTGGCTACCTTCTGTTGGCCAAAGTTTGCACCAGGGCGTGGTCTTGTGTTAGTTTCAACGTGTCTGTGCACCTCTTATTTCTTCCCGTTTTATTTCCTTATTTTTTGCTTTAATTCAGTTGCCTTTTTTTTTTTTTTTTTTTTTTTTTTTTTGAGATATATACAAGAGTTGTTACATTCTTGTACAGCCACTAGTACGCGTAGCGTTTCGGGCAAGTCCTTAATCCTATGGTCCCTGGAATACGATCCCCTGCCGCGAAGAATCGTTTTTTCATCCAAGTACACATTTTACTGTTGCGTTAAACAGAGGCTACAGTTAAGGAATTGCGCCCAGTAAATCCTCCCCGGCCAGGATACGAACCCATGACATAGCGCTCGCGGAACGCCAGGCGAGTGTCTTACCACTACACCACGGAGACTGCTAATTTGGTGGTGAACCTTGCATGCTTCTTGCATTACTCAGGTCTTTGCTCTACCATTTCACCTTCTCTCTTAATCCTGCATCCAAAACTGCAAACCTGCATTTCTTCTGAGGGATTTTCCCATTTATCCTTCCAGCTGACTTCCTACCTTAGAATGGTGTGCACTGTTTGTTACTTAGGAGGAAGAAGCCTAGAAAGCTGCCACTGGTGTTACCTAGGCTTGGAATTGATTCAGATGTTGGTCTCACTTGGATGCTTCTTGGCCTCCCCACGTTTGTGTGGCACTTGGTGCACTGCTGGTACTCCTCCATCTCTCTCCCATGAGTAAGCCCATCTCTGCCTTGTTTTGGCTTTGGTGCTCATGTATTCTTTTATTTATATCACACTGCTGATGAAAGTAAGCACTGGGAGACTACTAAGGATGGGGAAGAGCTTCCCAAAAATGAATGCTCGATTTTTTACAAAAGGTTCTTAAAATAATAAAGTTTGATTCTGCATTGTCTTCTGAAATATATCTCAAATTAGGATCCAACTGTATTTCCTCGTCATTGTCTTTTTAAGAATATCCATGTTGTTTTGAGAACATTTAAGACAAACTGATATGCACAAAAATGGGGTAAGTTTTCAAAGGCAAATATAGAATCAGGAAGACTAACATCACTGTTTTTAAACTGGAAATGATTAAGGATTTATTATTACAAAATGTTCACTTGTTACCAAGTTGTATTTGCTCTGTATAATGTGTAATCTCTCGCAAAATTGGCAAATTACTGCATTCCTGTGGAAAAGAAATTATAATTGTGTATAATTGTTAATAAAGTTTATTTTGATATATAGTATAGTTGTTTAAATTATTGTTGTTGGATTAAGTGTTGCCATTATTTGTTACTATATCAAGTGCATTAATATAGCTTTTTATTTTTAATTTATATGAATTTTGCTGGAATGAAGACTTACACTATTTTCTTTATATTCCTCTTCCTCCCCTTGTAAACCATGGCTTGAAAGGCAGGTTTGTGAACCCTTTCAGCAATAGAACGAGGCTAATAAGTTAGCAAAGTAATACAGACAACTACAAGTCATAGAAAACGAAGCATCGAAATATCCAAACTAGAAAACGAAGCATCGAAATATCCAAACTACTCTGCAAAAAAATGGTTCACTTGACCTAGCTTAAGGTCGGGAGCCGGCCAGCCGAGCGGACAGCATGCTGGACTTGTGATCCTGTGGTCCTGGGTTCGATCCCAGGCGCCGGCGAGAAACAATGGGCAGAGTTTCTTTCACCCTATGCCCCTGTTACCTAGCAGTAAAATAGGTACCTGGGTGTTAGTCAGCTGTCACGGGCTGCTTCCTGGGGGTGGAGGCCTGGTCGAGGACCGGGCCGCAGGGACACTAAAAAGCCCCGAAATCATCTCAAGATAACCTCAAGAAGGTCCCTAGTGTAAATACTCGTCAACAAATGGCATGCCGGCCCCAAAGTCGGTCTGGATTCGATAACGGCATACTGACGAATCTGGTGAATTGACATGCCCTAAACGCCGCGCGTACTAGTGGCTTTACAAGACTGTAATTACCATATTATGTATCCTCACATTCCCAATGTACATTCTTGTATATGCATAAATAAATAAAATAATTAACATGATGGGTGAACAATCATGTAAACCTACCATCTCAATAATGGTCTCGACGTGGACAAGAAGACGTTGACTTGTCAAAGGTTCCCTTATTTGTCCTGATTTTATCCAACTGGATTTTGAATTGCAGCAGTTTTGGTATCTACGGCGGGTAGGCGGTTCCATGGGTTGATAACCCTACGGGTTAAAAAACATCTTTTCTGTTCTACATTTTGGCTTGTCGAGTTTAAAGCTGTTGCTCTTTGTGTGTCACCAGCCCGTTCACGCGAGCGTTCCCAACGTCAAGAAACTACTGTACTAAAACGCATTATGCTAACTTACAAAAGGACCCACGAACAGAAAACGGGACATTGTCATTTTCGCTAGCCGCTATCATTTTCTAGTATTCGAGTTTTTGGCCTTAGATAAAGTATTTCAAATGCGACGTACCGTTATAAGGACGGGTCACACACGCAGCTCAACTCCAAAGTCCATTATCTTCCAAAATGCCAAGTCCACGCAAGAATGTTGGCAGATAAACACAGGCACGTGAAGCAAATACTAAAAGTATGGAACGATTGGCCCCTACAGAATAATGTCCGAAGGATGACAGGCACTGCTGAGAAAGTGGGACCCACTATGAAGAGGCGACACGGGAAACACTGCTACACATAGGCGTACCTGTGACAGGACTGATATTGGAGCCAACTGGGAACTCAGGCAGGAACACCATCTGTTGGCAGGTGCTGCAACCCGTCCTCGAATCAAGTCCATTACATCCAGCGGTCGACCCCACAGACGCATTCATAAATTTTAACATGCAGTAAATTCAAAATGGGAATTTTCTCAAATATAAATGAATATTATAGTATATCAGCATGTTATGCATATAAAGGTATAGGTTAGGTGTTTAGGTACGGTTGGCGATTATTTGTATTTGTAGTATGTGGGTGAAGCATTTACAGCGTTGTTTTTCGAACAAAATTCGTCAGTGAAGCACTTGTTCCGGAAGTGTTCGAACGAAATCAGCTGTGAGTCGTGTGTAAACTGTTTTTCATTCATAAACAGGGGGTTTAACGGGTGCATTGAATCACTTTTGGGTCGGTCTTTGTTTGAAGGACGGGCTGAAAAGTGATTGCATGCACCCGCCAAACCCCCTGTTTATGAATGAAAAACGGTTTACACACGACTCACAACTGATTTCGTTCGAACACTTCCGGAACAAGTGCTTCACTGACGAATTTTGTACGAACCACAACGCTGTAAATGCTTCTTCCACGTACTACAAATACAAATAATCGCCAACAGAACCTAAACACCTAACCTAACCTTACCTATGCCTATATATGCACAATATGCTAATATATTATAATATTAATTTATATTTGAGAAAATTTCCGTTTTGAATGAACAGCATGTAAAAATTGATGAATGCGTCTGTGGGGTCGACCGCTGGATGTAATGGACTTGAGTCAAGGACCGGTTGGGTAAGACATTGGCATCGCGTTTCGCGAGCGTTTTGTCCTGGGTTTGTATCCTGACCGGCGAGGAGTTACTGGGCGTCAATCCTTAACTGTAGCCTCTGTTTACCCAACAGTAAAATTCGTATCTGATTGTAAACGATTTGGCGGGGTCGCCTTCCGGGGAACATAGGATTAAGGACTTGCCCGAAACGCACGGGTTACTGACTTGTGATAGTTTCCTCGTGGTTAAGTTGGCGGTATCTGGTTTCACCGATTTAATAGTCAACTCATCTGAAGTTGTATCTCACTCTACACCTAGTAGGTTTAACTTTCTGGAAACCCAATCCTTAGCTATGGACAAGAAAATTGAATTTCGACTTTAATGTATAAAGTGCTACTCAGCTATCAACGAAAACAGCTTTTTCGCCTTGGGCTACTTCATTAAAACTAGCTAGAAAAGCCTGCAATTCAGCTTGTGTACACGAAATATAGTATAATTACTAATTCGAAGTTCAAGCACAGCAAGAGAACTGGTGAATTTGATGAACAATTAACTGCATATTAGGCTACTCTCATTGTTCACTGGATGACAGGATGAATATAGTGGTCCGTGATGAGTCTGTTTATTAGTTATTATCTCCATCTACATTCATTAAACAAATGTTTATTGAAGGGTGGTGGGCACGAATATATTGTTATATATACTGATTAAATTGTTTGCTTTAATATTCAGTGGTAATTCACTCCAGTGTTACAGTGTCCTATGTTAGAGAAATATTAACTTAATGTCTTCTTGACTTCTTAAAACGCTCAATTTTATGTCTTCTATAGATAGCGTTATCATCTTGCTGTTATCGACTCACAATCGAATATCCTGGGTTAGATTCCCGGGTGGGACAGAAATGGTTGGGTACATTTCCTTTCACCTAATGTCTCTGTTCACCTTGTAGTAAATAGATACCCTGGAGTTAGTCAACAGCCAATTCCATCCACAACTTTTAAGATAAAAAATATGATGAAAACGTTAATGAATGTTAAGAGGGGTAGTTAGCACGCCAGGTATAAACGGTTATAGGAGGCAGGGCATGAAGAACTTGATCTCACTCCCCCATAGTCACTGAGAGATAAGCGCCCTAACAATCCTATACACGCATACTAACCTCCCTACTATGCACTAATTAACATTTCCATACCCACTTCCCGGACGCGTATAATTACCTTCCTCAACTCAGCTTCTCGGACGCCTGTAATTACCTACCAAACTGCACACTCACCCAATTTACCAAACGCAAACACGCTAAACTCCCATACGCACATATTAAACAACCCACATATCACGTGCTTATCTTCTCACCAAATACGCACAGGCCTGTCTTAATGCGCATACTATCCTTCTAATACGTACACATAACCACGCTGTAAACATGCACGCGTAGGTAGGCTGCGTACGCACTAACATACACTCTGATACGCACACACACGGCCCGTAAGTAACTATTGATCAGAGGTCCGGTGCGCCTCTCCACTCGGGCTTCACTGATGCCAAAACCCACAACGCAAAACCCCCGTAACAGTACTCGTAAATAACCAAGATTATCTTACAACTTTATATTCTATATTTTTATTGTCAGTGACAACATTTTCCTAGTAGTAACATGAGGTATATATGATGACCTTCGAAAAATATAGAATTCGTAGATTAAAATTAGATTTGCAAAAGCAAGCTAGCCTACACAACTCAAAATATATCGTGTATAGTAACAGTACAGTTGGACTTGATGCCTCCAAGCGCCAGATCCCTGACAACTTCTGCTCTCAGCCTGGCACAGCGTCAACGTTAAGAAATCTGTCAAGTGCTGTGGGGTACCTGTGGAGGTGCATCAGGAGCTGAGGTAAGCCTTCAGCACCTGCGTCAAGGATGGAGCTCAGCCTTGTGTGTGTGTGTGTGTCTCATGCTGGGTGGCGTAGGTGCGTGGCAGAGTGCTCAGTCTGATGCTAACTCCTCAACTCTTTAGTCGACTAACATTTAGTTATTGTCAATAACTATCACTACTGTGGTATAGTCCACGGGGGCCTTATATTAACCTTTCAGCCTATAAATATATATGCACTGTAGAAAATATGATGAAGCAGCGTCGAGGAATGTATTAAATGATCAGCAGCTACGGTAGTGACTGTGCGCATATTGTGTTATGTTCATGTGATTTATTAAATATATTAATAGTCACATTTAAGAAATAATTGTAAGATACACTTTCTACACTAATATTATTTGAGTTAACGTTGGTAGGGACTCGGGCAACCTTGTGGTCGCTCACCTTCAAATGCTTTCTTATCCCAATTATAGGGAGCCAAAATTGTCCTCCCTTCAAACAGGAGACATACAGATACACGCTGATGTATTAAATCCATTTATACTTTGATCAGTAACAGGGAGATTCGGGAAATTTGCTGATATTGAAGTGTACCATCAATAAGAAAAGAAGTCTGGAACAGGACACCAGTTTACACTGACAACAGAAAACGGACGGGAGTTAGATGAGACGCCGTAGGAATAAATAAAACGATATTAATGCACTAATATTAATTTTTTTAGCGATAATAGAATTATGACAACACGCAGAAGCTTTACAAGGATATAGTATACCGTATGGAAATGCTAGCGAATAAAAACGTGAAGAGAAAACGAGAGGGGTAACTAGGTGTAGTTGTCAGAGAGCGCCAGAGTGGATGTGTTGGGTGGAGGGTGTTGATGTGCTCAGTGTGGTGGAGGCGGCCGCGGGTACTAGACGCACGGCTGCCAGTAACAGTCTCAGTGGATCAGTGTCTCTATTCTTAGTCGTGGTGTATTCACGTTAGATATATATACTTATGTTGTGATTAGACATTCTTGTGGTGATTTTTTTGTGACAGTTTTTGTGGCTTGACGTGGATTTTTAAAACAAAAAGTGACAATAGCATCTTGGACAACCATACACAGCTGATTAGGTAAGTGTTGTTTTCCTTGAGGGCTTCTTATTGATTGTTGAACATTGTGAATTATTTACTTACGAATGTACTATGAATGACTAGATACCTTGGATAGCTGCGGCTTCTTTCTCAGCTGCTTATGTACTCATTTCTAACCACATTGACGAGTGAATTATTTCATTCACTCGGTCCATAGCTTACCGCACTGGATACCACGATAAGCCAGGATCCCAAAGAGACGCAAATGGTATTCTTCTCTGGGGTGTCACCTGAGTGCACCTTAATCTGTTTAGCAATTTATATGACAAGAACGTTGATCATCTAATACCTCTCTGACCTCAGGTGGCACCCCACGGAAGGCCTGTACCCCCCCCCCATGCGATTTTCATTGTCTGAAATGAAATTGCTGATGTTTACCGCGTATTTTCAATGTTTAATCGAAAACAATAAACTGAATTCATTCAGGTTACAGTGATGAAGATAGTAGCGAAGATGGTTATAGTGATGGCGATAGTGAGTAGCTGTATTTAGTATGATAGTACGGCATTTTATGGCATTTTACAGGCGATTTCACAATTTAGTACCCTATGTTTACAAAGCATTTTTGCTTTGATTCAGTTGGACTCTTGAAACAAACTAGAGATACATGTATTTGTCGGGGTGTCCATGGGCTCGGTTGGAATTCTCTGAGGCGTTTGAGATTAGGGTTAGTATATATTACACCTTTAGAATATCGAAGTGTACAGTGTACACTTCAGAATGTGTAGTGCTCTCATGTTTACTCTTAGAGGATTTGCTTAATGCTGTTGGGATTGGAGTTATTTTAATTGTGAATTTGTGTTGAATAATTGTCCTAGATTTATTTGATTGGAAGATTTTGTTCTAAATAATTTGGAGTATGTCTTGTCAGTTTTAAGTGCATGTGTGCTAGTATCCAGCGATATGTAGCTCTATTTGAGTTCAGCATTTACTATGGCATTTGGGATGATTGGGTTAGTATTTGATAAAATGAAGGCCGTGTCATTTAGTGGGTAATTGTTGTACATGAGAAAAAGGAATGGGCTAAGTATGCTTCCCTGCGCGACGCTGATATATTTGGTAGTATGGGAGAAGTAACATTACTCACAGAATGACACTGGTACCTGCCACTGAGGTAAGATCTGATGTATTGAAATGAGCGATGCATTTTTAGTGTTTTACGGTTAACAGTGTCAGACCTTTCGAAGATCAGTGCTTTCTATCGGGTTATCATTTTCGTCAAGAGCTGAATGTATCAAGTCAATCATATTTATTACTTAATCATTGGTGTTTTTAAAGGTCTGTGGTAAATTATGTTTAGCTAGGTAGCAGTAAAGTGGCGTGTACAGTAGTTTCTAAATTATCTGGGTAGGTTTAATATAGTTTTATAGTTAATGCCAGTGTGTGATCACTTGTATGAACAAGGGTTACTCGGTTATTTTTTAATATGAGGAAGAGTTCGGATTTTATGGATTTGTAGAGTAGCCTAATGTTATTGCTAGTTACAAAGCGTTTGAGGCTTTTTCTTGTATAGATTAGGGTTGGTATTTCAGAGTGGTTGCCCGGGTTAGTTTGAAGTTGGCAGATTATATAAGTAGCATCTGAAGAACTTGTTTAGGCGATGTGTATGGAAGGGAAGGGAACTATCAGGAGAAAGCGCCACGCCATTAGACTATATAGCACTTGGAAGGGATCAGGATGGGGATTTGGGATGGGACGGGAGGAAAGGAATGGTGACCAACCATTTGGACGGTCGGGGATTGAACGTCGACCTGCATGAAGCGAGACCGTCTCTCTACCGTCCCGTCCAAGTGGTTTGAGAGAATCTGGGATAGTTGCCTGTGATAGTAATTTACGTTGGTTTGTGACGCTTAGATATTATTTGCTAGTGCTTTTCATATTGAGATGAAACTGTTATATTCAGTAGCAGTGTTATTGGCTGAAAGAATGTTTACCATTTATTCACGCGCAGGAATATCCCAAATGTATTCCATTACACTTAATTCTTCACTCTTCTCTATTGTAAACGAAATATGGCATGCCAAGTCCCTGGAGTTTTATATCCACATATAGTATATGTACTGCCGAAGCGAGTACAAGTATATCCACATAAGGAACCGAAAATTTACCAGTGTAGGCTATCTTGAGGTTATCTTGAGATGATTTCGGGGCTTTAGTGTCCCCGCGGCCCGGTCCTCGACCAGGCCTCCACCCGTGGGAAGCAGCCCGTGACAGCTGACTAACTCCCAGGTACCTATTTACTGCTAGGTAACAGGGGGCATTCAGGGTGAAAGAAACTTTGCCCACTTGTTTCTGCCTCGTGCGGGAATCGAACCCGCGCCACAGAATTACGAGTACTGCGCGCTATCCACCAGGCTACGAGGCCCGAGACTACTACGAGGCTACTGATGGTATGATTAGCCATCCTGAGTGATGGGGATTTTTAGCATCACTTTTGACACGTTCTGTACTCCCCTTCATGTAGTCTAGGGTAGCTGCACAAATGCAGATGTATCTAAATGTGTTAGAAAAAATCTCCCAACCAGCGATTGGTGCTAATAAGCTATCTTGAGATGATGATTTCGGGGCTTTTTAGTGTCCCCGCGGCCCGGTCCTCGACCAGGCCTCCACCCCCAGGAAGCAGCCCGTGACAGCTGACTAACACCCAGGTACCTATTTTACTGCTAGGTAACAGGGGCATAGGGTGAAAGAAACTCTGCCCAATGTTTCTCGCCGGCGCCTGGGATCGAACCCAGGACCACAGGATCACAAGTCCAGCGTGCTGTCCGCTCGGCCGACCGGCTCCACGGGTTATATATCGCACAGCTAGCTCGCACTTTTTACGAAAAATGGTTGTGGAAAATGCTTTTACAACCTTATCAAAGTGAATATAACTTTTAAATACAATGAACTTATTCCTGATATCCTAATACACCTGCGTTCCACAATTCAGGTATCATATACGCACTCCCCAAAAGTGTAATGAGAATCTTGATAGTCTAAAAGCAGCCACACTTGAAACAATTGCCATCTATCAAGAACCTCGGTTCTCACGACCATCGTGTTTACACCAACTGTTTAGTCCAATCATCAACAGGACGTACAGCAGCAGCCTGCAGATTTTATATAAATATTATTTGTTCACAATCAGTATCAGATTAAACACCTGGCTGAAACAGAAGTTGAACTGGCTGTACTACAACTAACTACCAGTACACACAGAGATCACACTAACGTGATGCATCAAATGAACAAATCCACAAGGGCCGTGACGAGGATACGAACCTGCGTCCGGGAGCATCCCAGACACTGCCTTAATCGACTGAGCTACGACAGGGTAAAAGGGTTGAAACCGAAGTTCTACTGAACTTACTGGATCCCGTAGCCTCTCCGAGGCACAAACCAGGCTTTTACACAACCCCCCCCCCTGCACCCGAGCTATGTCAATAGGCCGTTCTCCCTCTTCGCCCTTACATCCTCACACACAGAGATCACACTAACGTGATGCATCAAATGAACAAATCCACAAGGGCCGTGATCCTCGTCACGGCCCTTGTGGATTTGTTCATTTAACTACCAGTGCACTAAAAGCACCGGAGGGAAAGTAATTTCCCGATTCAAAATCTGCTCCTTAAGCAGTTATAAAAACTAATGCAAGATTGGCAGCCAGAACCACCATCGAAACATTCCTTGCTGCACATAATAAAGGTTTCAGAATCTTGTATGGATGCAGTGTCAATTAAATATAGTTCATCATTATGTCTTAGAGCAGCTAAATCTGCATGTAACGTTACCTCAATCTTGGTACCCCTAACTGTTGACTCTTCCTTCCTTAGCTGCATTTTCAGTTCTTCTCTCAACCGTCTCCCTCTCTTCCTGTGCTTTTATCATTCTGTCTTCGTCTTGCTGTATCATTGTCTTTCAAATAATGTCACAGGTAGAAAATTATATTACAATCTGGTATATGTATTGCAACTTCTTTGTTTCATGGTTTTCCACAATTAATGACTTTCCTGGGGCTCGTAGCCTAGCCTCTCCTGGGGCTCGTAGCCTAGCCTCTCCTGGGGCTCGTAGCCTAGCCTCTCCTGGGGCTCGTAGCCTAGCCTCTCCTGGGGCTCGTAGCCTAGCCTCTCCTGGGGCTCGTAGCCTAGCCTCTCCTGGGGTTCGTAGCCTAGCCTTTCCTGGGGCTCGTAGCCTAGCCTCTCCTGGGGCTCGTAGCCTAACCGCTTCCTGACGGCTCCTCATAAATTGTTATCAATAGGGTGTGCTGTCCCTCATATGGTCTGTCAGTGCTTACGTGCTTGTCTTTGTAATGCTCTTTAAGCAATTGTTGTTGCGGCGGGATGCCAGACAGCTGCCGGTGGGTCTGGTCACCGTGTCACCCACCTCACCGCTGACCTTGTGTTCGCGTTAACCTTTGCTCTCCGCTCTGTATAGTGTGTCGTTGGGTGGAGCAATGAACAAGGGGTCGATTGCAGTGAGATGGTAGTGAGCGATCAGCGGGTGGTACTGGTCAGGACACTGTCATGGATGTGTTACACACACACACACAGCTGTGGGCTTGTATTGTGCACCTCACGAATTAGCCAAGTTCAGTAGCGGGAGGGAGCCGACCGATATGCTGCTTCAAGCTGCCCTCCCACCACCCACCCGCCCTGTAATGCCACCCACTAGCTCTACAATACCACCCACACCCTCCCACCACCAGTACCTCCACTGGATAGTGGGTAGGACTATTCCTTGCCATCCGTTATGACCACACATACACCGGTATGAACATACTGTGTATGAGGAGTTCATACTGTATAGTGATATCCAGGCCGATTAGCCTAGTGTCACAAATATTATTATATCTATATAATCTCTTTTTGACAATACTCTAGTATATATTTCGTATTGTCATTGTATGTTAAATATACCTATACATATTATGTATCATTACCAAAAGTGTGTGCCATGTATTTGTGGAGATATTGGAAGTATAAGAAATAACGGAAGCC